TGAGCAGTGCAAAGAGTGACGGTAGAAGGATAATGGCAACCTGGGCCATGTAGAGAAGCCGAGCAGCATGCATCACGAGGCCCAGACTGGTCTGGGCTGCTTGGCGAGGGGAGCGAAGGTATGCGCTTGAATGCTCTCGCACGAATTCAAGTGCGGTACTAGAGTGGTACGCCAGGTAGGCAAGCGCACCGACCACACAAAGACCACTTGAAAAGGCGTAGACGTCGTTCACCGGAGCCGGAGTAGAGGAGTATGACCCGATAATCTTCCGACCAATGACCAAGGGAATAATAGTGATGCCTACCCCGGTAGTGGCGGCAAACAGCCAGATTAGAAGGATAAAAGCAGCAATCCGAGTCCGGAAGGAAGGAGGGATGTAGACTTTGGTGAACATGTTGCTGGATCGGCCATGTAGCCCATCGGCAGGATCGGGCTTCCTATCAACGCGTTCATTGTCCTCGGTGACCTCAAGGAAAACGTGGTTGCCTTTTGGGATCCGGACCTGATCGGAGCCAGGAGCGCGCACGTATCGACCATCGCGCAGGAAGTATACGTCACGGTTTTCCCGCTCAGCTGCAGCCTGCTGATCATCTCCAATTACTGGGTGTTCCCAGTCACCCTGGCTTCTAGAGAGAATACCCCACCAGGTCTTCCGAACGTGGTAGCCTTCTTCCTCCAGGTGCCTTTCGGGGAAGAAAAAGTTGCTGAGACGCAAGAAGTGAGCGCACTTGTGGAACCACCAGTCATATAAATCATGCAAACCATCTGAAGGTTTGAATGATTGAATGACCACAGGCAACACGAAGTTGTAGAATAGGAGATCAACCGGGAACTCGAGCATCGGGGCACTAGCAGACCAGTGAATTGGGAGAACGCCATCAAGGGTAAAGTGCAAGCCCCAGACGACACCTCCTAGACAAACGATCACTAGTGCACCGTATACAAGGGCACTGAAACCGATCTTACGGAGCTGGGTAGTGATGCTTCGTTCGAGAACATCGCGTATTGGGTGGAAAGTTGGATCATCGGGGTCACGGATGAAGTCTAGAATGAAGCAGTTAGTAACCAATCAAACCAATCAAAGTCCATCAAATGGATAGCAGCACTTACAAAGCACACCGCTTCTCAAAATCTTTCTGCACATGGAAACAAAAAGGGCAAAGTGGAACATATAACAAGTGCCAACAAACCAGTGCACGAAAAGCGAAGTGAGCGGGGATGCAGCTGTAAAATCGATACGAGAAGCCACTGTAGCGTCGGAGAAGAGCGGAAGTAAAGCAATATCAAGAAGACTGCCACAATACAGAGGGAAGACAATCATCTCAATCCCGATGATGAGGATGACCTTCATAACCCCTCCGGCTTGTATCAGGACCTCAGCAAGCAGGCCTTCGATCCTCTGTCCCCGATTGGCACCAGAGAGCAGCCCTGTGATTCGTAGATAGAGAAGCCCGATCATGAACGCAAGAAAATATCCCATGAAGATAGCGATAACACGATCCTTGGAATCCCATACTGCCAGGTCATAATCGACCGGTACTGTGGCAGAGGCTGCTTTTGCTGCACTTGCGTTCATGAACCTTGTTCCAGGCATCGAGAAAAGCGATGATTTAGCGAAGGTGACCAGTTGCTGTTGGGCCTGACCAATAAAGTTCTTGAAATAGGAAATATCAAAGTCCAAAGAAAGGGCACCGGGAACACCGAGGGTCACAAGCCGAAGTGGGAAGTCGTGCAGGATGAACTTGACAGTGGCATAGCCCGATTGGAACACAGCACCAAGGCGAGCCTGGTGTAATTTAAGGGCCTGGTGCGAAAGAACTGAGAACATGGGAATATCAGACTCATGGAAGACTAGGAATGCTTTGACCACTTTGTTCAAGCGGTGACTGCTTGCATCGATCAGGGAAAGCGATGCACTTGTGACAGACTTGTCCCTGCCGATCCACTCTCCAATGGGCAACAGAGCACTAAAAGGGCTCAGCACAATCTTGAAAACAAGGCTGAACCAGTACATGAGATATCCCACGACACCAATAAGAGTATCAAGAGCGATGTCGGCGACGACTTCAACGGCGGTGATGGGAACACCAATGACGAGTTCAAGAGGGTTGGCTAACAACACAAGAGCAATTTTACCCCATAGGTACGGGAGCCAGATACCGATGGCTACTGTGAACGCAATCAGAAGGGCACAGAACACGCCGTTCTGGAAAAGTCCGAAAATCGGACCATGCATGCCAATAAGGTCCATGATCCCTTCAAAGTCGTCCCCTTCGATTGCATCGATATCATTGGGGTCCAGCCCAGCATCGGCAGCGGCAGCAGCAGCATCGGCGGCAGCATCTGCTTGCATGTTTCCCATCCGATTCGGCAAGGGCACGAATGGGTCTTCCAAAGCCGGATCCTGAACAATATGCTCGTCATCTTCGGGAACTGGTTCTTCTGTACCGCGCTCTGCGGGTGTGATATCTCCCCAAAACCATTCGAACAACCGTTCAGTGAAGCCGAGTGGAGGCCGATCATCCACTTGTACATTGATGACTGGAATGGCATTGTCTCTAGTTGGTAGTCCGTGATCCGCGTTCTGGGCAGAAGGTCCGGCGTGGGCATTAGGCGAATGGTCACCGATACCTCCATCTTCAAGATTAACAGCATCGGCACTGTCGGAGTCTTCTGAATTGTCGGAATCGTGAGGACGAGTAGAAGGCCCTGCTGATGAATCCCGGTTTATAGTCGCTCCGGTGATAGCATTCACAATCCAGTCTAAGTCATCCCCGTGAGCCTCTTCACGGAGAATGCGCAGCATTTCTTCATGGTTACCATGAGTCCGGGCCACTAGGTCTCGGAAAGCCAGAGCACGAGCCGTAGGAGGAGGGCCTTCTGTTTCGTATTCCGGGTCGTTCACATGATAGTCCCGTAATTCCCCTTCAGACCCAGCGAGACCGTACTCGGAATCATTCGAGGACAGACCTGGGGAGGGAGGAGGAGCAAAATGGGGATGGATATGATTGTCCAACTCATGGGCTGCGGCGCGTCCATCATTGACCTCATTTTCCGGGTGAGCGGGGTTGGGTTCCGGTTGTCCAAGACCGCCTTCTTCATTGACTCGATCATTGATCTGATTGTTGGCATTTGCAATTAACTGGAGAGCAGCCTCACGTTCCCCTTCTGCGATATTGACCATGGGTTGCTGTTGAACAACCCATTCCCGAATCAGGAAGAGTAGAATAAATGCAACGACCACAAGAAGGGTGATGAGCTGCCCTTCCAATGTGTCCATGATCATGTTGTTGATTGTTGGATACGGTGTCAACGAGTTTAGGAACTTCACATCGGAAAGCCATGATGGGTACCGAGGTTTGGTTGAGCTAACCGTGGCGTTGTTTTGCCCGTTGCCTTGCCCGACAGTCGAGGTAAATGCAGGCATGAACAGAGTAGGGATCACCTTTTTGATGAGGGTGAGCATGAGCGGCTCACCAGCCGAGAAATTGAGGATTGAGGATCGTGCAGATGGTACAGCAGTAGTAGATGAGGTAGCCGCATTAGAAATTGTTGAAGTAATCGAGTCCGTTATCGCAGCATTTACAGCAGTGCCGTTTGAGAACAGCTGCCCTAAACCACCTTCGGCGGTTTGGGCGACCTGGTTCCGACCATTTTCATTGGCAGACCACCGGCCATCAGCAAGCCAAAACAGTGCCCTCCAGATTGCGCGCATCGACCACGGTAGCCATCCCAGCCAGACAAATGCAACGAGAACAAATCTCAGCCATGTCACCAAAGTTCGGAAGCATTGGATCAAGGCTTGCTTCGCAAACAGCGGGGCGGGAAGGCTTGTGGGCATGTTTGGGTCGTATAGTTTGGTAAATCGGAATGGCGTTTTGCAGAGTTCGCAGTGTTTCTTCTGTGAGTGTGACAACCATTCAACGAGACATATTTGGTGGACGAATTTGATACTACCGCTGCACTTGCATGGGTAAAACAGTGGTTCCTCCTCTGTTGCCTCGCCATGACATATCCGACAGGTATCCAGGTCGTCAAATCCCTTTTCCCTTTCGTCATAAGCCGGGTCGTTCATTAGATCGGGGAACGCGGTATTATCCGCATTGTGGCGGAATTGGTTGTCCGCGGGCTCCATAATTCGTGAATCTCGCCGAGTTGGACGATGGTGGTTGATCAAATGTTCACCATATTCCTAGTCAAGCGGGAATAGGAAAAGATGTAAACATGCGGAAGGCTTGTGTTGGTGTGACAATCCGAGTTGAGCTGAATGTAAAGATTAGTGAGGACAGGGGTTATACAACATTTTATAGGACTAACGTACCTCACAAGCCTAACTTGTAGATCATGTTTGAATTGTAACAAAGCAAATCAGCCCAGGTAGCTGCCCAGACGGGATCCAATTCGCCTGACTCAGCGGTGTGCACTGGCAGTACATTAACAGTACATTAAATACGGTATTAATTACTTTTTAATGTGATGGACAGTGGGGTATTGTGGTATCTTCAGTACAGGTTACGGGTAGCCACCGATGACCTCACTGAACTTCAAAAACACCTGGGCAAGTCCTTGATTAACTAAATTGTGTCATATCGTCTTGTCTCATTAATGTACTTTGTAATAAACATCCTTTTCATCAGACCTAAAACATTATGATCCGATGTGTTTCACATTTTCTTCCTTAGAACTAACAATTTTCATCTTTGAAAATTGATCCAGCCTAGGTATCTGACCGCGGCCCGTGAAAGTTGCTAGCGCCAAGACCGACGCGAGCATTCCGCCTCCCAGTATCTAATTTGCTTTGATTCATTTAGTCTCGAGCTCCAATATCAAAAAGCCACATATTTAACCAGGCAGTGAGCTTCTCTCCGATGCAGCGATAATCCTCTACTCCGCAGACTCGATCTAAGTGTGTGGAAGGGAAGCCCTCTGCAAATTACGGTGGCCGACCTCGAACCTCGCAAGGAAATCGTGTGACCTCGACAGGGTCAACCTCATCTGTGATGGTAGTCAAAGAGAATGGCCAAGTGACAGATGTCACGGCGAAAACAAAGAGCCGAACGGATCTTAAAAAGTCACGGAAGAAGGGCTTCGCGCGATGGACAGTCGGGCTTGTCGTGAGGTGAGTGATGGTATCGCCATGCTTGTAGTTAATCAAGTTCCTCTTCTAACCTGTTCATTTCTTAGGCTATGTATCTGGTATGCACTCGTGACATCGTTCCTCAGATGCCCATCCCGCCTCGCAGACCTCACAGAGACCTCACCTCGAGTCTGCAAGCCTTACTTGATTGCTCGTTCGCACGTGGAACCTTATATGACACCATATTATGATATTTATGCAGCGCCTTACGTTGATCAAGCCCGACCATATGTTGATCAAGCCCGGCCATACGTGGAAATGTTTAATCAGCGAGTTTATACCCCAGCGTCAAAAGTTGCCAAATCAGGATATGAAAAGTATGGAGCGCCGGCATTGAAGCAAGCTCAGGCATATGGGATTGAGCAATGGCAAAATCAAGTCACACCAAGACTACAAACTGCTCAAAATAAGGCGCACCAGCTTTATTTCGCCGAGATTGATCCCTATGTCCAGCAAAGCGTTGCTGTTGTCTCTCCACACTATCAATGGGCCAACACTGTTGCGCTCAATGTCTACCAGGGCTATCTAGTACCTTTGTACGCGCGTTCCAGGCCTTTCATCGGGAAAGCTTACTCCACGAGCCAGGATATTTTGATAACCCATGTCTTGCCCGGGGCGCAGTACACTTGGTCATCCGCGGTCTACTTTGCGAACAGCTCACTATGGCCGCATGTTACTGGTCTTTACTCTGAGCAAGTCGAGCCCCAGCTGGTCAAGATTGGCCAGCGATTGGCAAGCTACAGGGAGGGCAAGCGGCTTCGCGCTGCCGTAGAGGACGTGGATAGGTACTTATAACCCCTTGGTTTCTCCAGTCTATATCTTGTTAACCATATAATTAGCAGCTCAACAGTCGAGCCCGTTACCTCCTCGTCCACTAAGTCACAGGAACAAATCCACACCACGACCACTGTGACTTCGACTTCCACGCCCCAGGCTTCCGTCCAACCCACTCTAACTCCTACCGAGCAAGCGCAGCAAGTCCGGGAGAAGATAGATTCGGACCTCGAGCGATGGCAGGCAAAGTTTGCTTTGGCAGCTGATAAAGGCATTGAAGACCTTGAGGAACGTATTGGGGAGATCGTGTCCGCCCTGGTTGCAAGCAGCGCGAACACTCACGGCCAGAGCCTTTCTACCGCGCTTCAGTTGGTTTCCGCTGAGCAGCTTTCCTCCATCAAGCAACGTATCAATGAACTTGCGGATTCCATGCCAGAGGAGGATGCCCCGGAGATCGAGGAGTCTACTAAAGACTTGCTGGTTCGGGATATCCGAACTTCTGCTATCTCTGTGAGAGATCGCGCCCATGCACTCCGAGAATGGTCCATCTCGTTCGAAGACGAACTTGTTCGCCGAGTCACTGCTGATGTCAATTCGACACTGGATGTGCTCGACAGTATTCGCGATCTTGGGCTACAAGAAATTGGCATGCGCTGGGCGTGGATGGATGGCGTCACATACAAGGATTGGGCGAAGTACCACGCCCTCAAAGCCCAACTTGAAGAATGGCGCAACGACGTCCGAAATGTCGGCATGAATCACAAATCCGTATCCGACGCCAGGGCCGTGGCAAGTGACACCTTGGACCAGGGCATGCATGAAGCCGAACAAGCCGCCAAGGAACTGGTCCGGTTGAAGGATGTTGGGTTCTGGAAGATCGCCGCTCGTGAAGTAAGCGATGATTTCGATACTCGCACCGAAGCCCCGCCGGCGAGGCCTAAGCCTCAGGAGGAGACAGAGGAATCTGACGAAGAGGCCGCCGAGGTGGATTCCGATCACGATGAGTCTTCCGAAGAGGTGATAGCGTCGACATCGGACGACGCTTATGAGGAAACCCCTCCACCGATGCACCTTCCGCCGCTGTCGATGCTGAGGCGGATTTCGATGACGCTGAGGAGTCTGTTATGAACGATGATATTTTGGTGGAAGAGCAGCCCTCCGCAAGATCTGCCTTTGGTGTTGCGGCCGCCGATGCAAATTCGCATCAAGCGCCTATCCTAGATGACGAGAGCCAAGATGTCCTGGACAGTTTGGCGAGCAAGGCTGGCGATACTTACGCCGAGGCGAGCAATGCTGTCAGCGAAGCTATCCATGGCACTCCTCTGAGCCCCGGTGAGAAGATCTCCAGTGACGCCTCTCAAAAATATAGCGATGCAGTAGCCGCGTAAGTAGTATAGCATATCGAGCGTGTTTTAGGATTACATACAAAATCAAATTATCGCTAATGCGAATTTCTGCCACAGTGCATCGTCGGTCATCTACGGCACCCCATCACCGGTTGTCCAATCTTTGGTGGGTGGAGCTAGCTCGGCATTTGCTGATTCCATAGATCAGGCCAAAGTACTCTATGAGATCGCGAAGTCTCAAGTTCTTGGCCAAATGGCTGAATCTAGCGCTCCTGCCCATGCCCAGCTCCTAGCTTCCATAGAGTCGGCCTATTCTGGGTCTCTAAAATATGCCACCGATGAGCTGGAGTTGAAGCTCCAGGCTGTTAGTGCTACCCCAACGCCACCCAACGCCGGACCTCTGGCCCAGATTTCGTCCACCGCATCTTCCCGGCTAAACCAGGGACTGAGCTTAGCATCCGAACAATTAGCACAAGTGCAGCCACCGGCAACAACAGCCAGTCTTCCTCAGGGAGGTCCCGACCCATTCGTCCTTGATGCGCAGCGTCGCTACTATGAGGCAGTCGGGTTGGCCCACGATCACTACTCTGCTTTTGTCTCTACGGCATCTGAAGCGGTTTATGGTTCTCCAACCCCGACCCCCACCCCAGCCGGAAGCTCGAAGCGAATCATTGAGGAAGCCGGGTCTCAATACCAGCGCGCTTCTTCGTTGGCCTCTGCCAGCCTTGCCGCTGTCATCGCATCGGCAAGCTCGGCCGTCTCTTCCGCGGATGACGGCAAAGCACAAAGCATCATTGATGATGCTTCATCCAGATACAATGCTGCCCTCTCTGCAGCTTCTTCTTCGCTCTCTGCGGCATCCATTTCGGCCTCCTCGGTCATCTATGGGACTTCCACGGGCCCCGTAGAGTCCCTTTCTAGTCAAGCATCTGAAAACTGGGAACATATCATTTCCAAAGCCAGCAAGCAGATATACGGTGCACCAACGCCGTATCTGCAGCAAGTGGTGAACGGGCGCCCGCAGTTTGAGGCAGTCCAAGAGCTCGTCTCTGAACTAATTGTGGGCAAGCAGCCTTCATTCACCGAGAGTGTGCTGAGCAAGCTGCACGCCGCATACGAGACGCCTTATCCGGCTGCCACCGTCTCATCTGCCTCTAGCTACATCAACCAGGCTTATGGATCTGCGTCCTCCGCCGCTGCTTCTATCGCTTCAGACGTCCCGAACGTAGAGGAAATCGTGCAACACGCGAATGACCAACTCCATGCTGCTGTTGAAGCCGCCAGCGTTGGTATCTACGGAACCCCCAAGGGTTTCTACGGAAAAGCCACTGGAGCCGCAGCCGATGCCTACTCAACGGCTTCCGCTCAGGTCAGTAGCGCGGTCTACGGGCAGGACTCTGGTTACATCGATGTCGCCAAGGATGCCATTGAGCATATTCAATCCACAGCCAGCGCTGCTATCTACGGTGAACAATCTAACGAAATGGAAAGCGCAACCATCCGTCTTGCTGAAGCCGTTGAAAGCGCCAAGTCTCAGCTCGCTGATCTAGCTGCCACCGCCGGCAGCGTTGTATCCGAAGCAGTCGAGACCGCCGCATCCCACGTTGAAGATACCACAAGCAGCATTAAGAGTGCTGCAGCTTCAGCCAAAGATGAACTCTGAACAATATTAATCCAGCGTTTATCATCTCTTGATTTCTTTTTTTGATTTGGACTCATTCGTTTTGCTCCGAGCTAAAACCATGCCTTGGGAATGCCATGCGCGGCTCACGACGCCATTATTCCCCATATAGTTTGTCACGATGGCGATATGCCCATGATCTGCAACATGCACAGTCTTGCTTTCTTTTTTCCCAGCTTCTGTCTTCTCATTTTGCGTTTCTCTCTAGTCACCCCCTTGTTGGAATACGAGGCTTGTTTTGATGTGAGATATCATTTATTTAATCACTCATGGATGTTTGTTAAACTTTAAGGTGTTTCTCTGTCGGTGGTACCTACATCCTGTATCAGCACGCCATTGCCTAACTACCCCCATTACTGAACACTGATAGGACTACCTAAGGATAGCAGGGAGACCCAGTTTATTTCTTTGTTGCTATTCAGGGTTTAGCGGACCTGAGTACGACTGGAGTATAGAGCACATATGGAGCACAAAGGAGAGAGCTTGATGACATTCATGTTCACAATCGGATTTAGTGCACGGAGATTAAGGCTCAAGTCCGGGCACCTAGTTGACGGTACAAACTTGTCTTTCTGCAGACAACTGTAGTCGAACTGATCTGTTTTAGAGGGGCTGAATTTATCCTCAAGTCCACGGAGGCTGTCCCGTAGCTTCCTGTGTTCTTCAGACTCGGTGAAAGACATAGTTGGAACAATCAGATGACCTTTCATTAGGCCACCATGCCTACCTAGGTACCTCAGAGTAATGAGTAATCCCTCGCTTTACCAAGGTAGTTACGCTAGTCTTCATACGGTTAGGTGGAAATATTATATTTCTTGGCAGTGGATTGATTCTCGACTTCTTGGCTTGGCACAACTCCTAACCCTCGTCGACTGGGTATTTCTAAAGCTAGTTATATTATGCCTGGTGTGTTTCTTCGTATATCTTCCTCCTAGAACTCCCACGCCACGCGACGAAGGACAAAATGCCACTCCACTTCATTGAAAAACATAACCCCCAGATACCTGCTTGGGGGGAGACTAGATTGGATATTTATTTGCTTTCCGAGTGGGAAAAACCTCACCCAGACCCCTCTGTCTCCACTGAGTCCCCCGCCGACCGTCGCAAAAGGCTTTTACGCCAATTTCTCGCACTGGGATGCGAAGGAAGACAGGTGCTCTCCATACCTCGTAAAAGACAACCAGGCAATGCACCACCCTCTCCTACTCAAGCTCAAATAGATGATATTCTTCGGCCTGCAAGGCCTGAAGCACTGCGTGTCTACGGTCATAACACCACTGCTGATAATGGCTGCTGGCTTCGTCTCTGCTACACGGATGAAGAGGGTCATAATGCTCTATGGTCTGCCAATAAACTCGCAGAATGGGTAACTTATGATGGGGTTGTCCTTGACGATGAAAGTATCTTCGGTGGCCTGGATTTGGCAGCTGCTCTGGAAGTATTTCCTGAGCGTGTCGATGAGCGGGTTAATTTTGAGATCAGAGAGGAGAGCCTCAGGGACGCGATAGAGGTTGCCGAAGAAGGCGACTGGGATGAAAATCCTCTTGAGCCCTACGCTCTGTATCAGGCAGACTGCGTTGTTACCCATATGTATGTAGAGGATGATGTCGCGGTGAATGGCGGGGGTTTGTTACATGTGTTTTTGGACGACCGTGGGAATGTGGTCAGGCAATGGCGGGTGCAGGATGATGGATCGGAGAACAATTATGATGGCGCTTGGTTTGAGCGTGTTTGGAAAGGGGACTTCGAAGTTGAGCGTGGAGAAGTCGGTCCTGCTTACCAGGAGGGTGGAAGCCGAGGTCCTCCATACTCTCTTTGAAGACGTGAGACTGTGAGCTAGTACATGTAGATATAAAGCCAGTCATTCTCGTCTGGTGAAGGGTGATCCCCTACGGGATACTCGCGGCCTATCGCGACGAGGGGCGATACCGCAAGGGTCCTTCTAGAACTTTTGCTGCAAAGTGAATTCCAAACTGAAAAACTGCCACTGGGTGCCTGAAGTGGAGAAATTCTCTAGCGGAGGTGACGATGAAACCACCCTAATCACCTTACCGACAGCACAAGAGTGCTCGAAACGCTTCTGTCTATCCACGCAGTTCACCGCGTCTAAGGCCAAGCTGCCAAACCGATCGGCTGGGAAACGAGGTCCTTGCGATTAGGCGTACCCAGGCCTCCAGCATCGGCTATGCTGACCCGAATCCAGATCGTGATCTTCCGTTCGATTTGAAGAAGATATTCGCCAATCCCATTGGCGAAGAGGTCGCCTAGCGGTATACGGACAAATACGGCAACAACAATCGCGACCCCTATGGGCCCGACGAGACGGACGTCGGTGACGATCCGTACGGATTCATTGTCATAGACGGCGACGAAGACGCGCTACAGGGGGAGTTCCCCAGCGATTTCCAATTTATGCACGCGGAAGACGGCACCGGCAATCCGATTAAAAAGCGCGAAACCCTCGCGCGCGATGACCCCAATCTGATGAACTGGGTCTTTGAGCACGAAGAGTCGCATCATCTAGTGTACTGCCGTAAGGGCCGGGAAGACAAATGCCAGCGGGTCTTCCAAGGCGGGGCCTATGATACAATCATTGGGCTGCCAGCTCGTTCTGTGTACTTTGAGAAGCTATTTCGGCAATGGCCAAGAAGAGATGTCTCAACATATAGCCCAAGAAGATCTACATAACTACTTTGCAAGGGGACGTAAGTGGGTGATGTTGAAAAGGGTCAAGATTATTGTCACGCCGCGGAGTACTTATTGCTGGCGTTCGGCAAATTCCTCTAGCCCTATGGGGGACTTCGTTAAATCACTCTGTAGATCATTGATCCTTCGACAAAACTTGATATCACCACCACTCATCGGTTCTTTCCTGAATCCTTATCGTCAAGGCACGCTAGTCTATATCAAGAATTTTTCCGGGGTGTCCTTGTCAGTGGAGTCTGTATTGGTTCGTACACCGAATAGGAGTGTATTCACTTATACTGTCAACCTAGCTCCTCCACATCCCACTTCGAAAATTAATGCCCTGCTACCTCTTCCTGGCCTGAGCCCTATTTTCTTAAGCAAAAAGATAATTTCCTATGATGCCCGAGACAATTAATGACGTGAACACGTAAGTCTGAAATTACCTAAAACAGCTTCTTCACCAGAGCCATTCAAATGGAAATTAGCTAAGCTCTCTCCAGCTTCGACGCAAATGAGCTTCCGCTCCTGATAGTCTCGCATACTCTAATAGTACTGCTGAGCATCGTCCTTCTAATGGGCATCCTTGTCCTTCCTTTTACCTCACGGCATGACATATACTTTTCTATGCGGAACCTTGCAGGTCGAGTTGTGCGCACCCAAATACGATTCCGTGTTGCATATCCAACGTTTTCAACGGCCCTTGGCTTTGCCGTTTCCTTTGCGTCTAATGTTTTGTTGCTGCTTTGGCTACAGCCGAAACTGGATCCAACCCCTTCAGCTCCAGCTCCAGAACCTTTAGGTGTGTTCATTGAAATACCTTGGCCGAATGGGACGATCAGCACCTATTGGCTCAAAGATAAGGATGCGATTTATGAAACTATTCCTACTATCCTGGCGGAAGTTTTTATAAATGGTTGGTCTATAGACATAGAGACCCCTTCTCCGAGCACCACGATCGGAACAATGACCGCGACTGTTTTGTAATTAGAGAAGCTGGTTTGTACCTAGGTGCACAGAATGAAGTAACACGTTGTCCAAACCTCGAGGCCCCAGCTTTGTTTTGACTTGTTTTACATTATATCTATGAAGAACGTTTGTACTGTACGATAACAATACATAAAATAATTTATCCCTAAGAGTAAAATACTGTATAGATATCTTACGGGAATCATGATATTCCGGGTCTATTCCAAGTATATGGTATGGTATATTTTGGCATTGAGTCTGAGAAACAATCGAAGAGTGATATGTGGTGACACCAGTAAACAATATAAAAGAATCAGACCATTGAAAAGTGACATTCTAATTGATACTCTTAGATTGGAGAGAATCTATCTTGGCAGGATCGTTTAAGTATATAAAAGCAGAGACCTCTCCCAGCAATGTCCTTAAGAAAGTCAAGTGTCAGATCAACAAAGATGGACTTCGCTCCTCATGGTACGCTCTCCAACCACGACATCGTTATAAAGCTAACTTAAGGAACCCTAGATCCTGATAAATTCTTGCAAGAATTTAGAAATACAAGAACGGGGATCTATGACGCTCCAGATGGTCGGAAAGAATATACCTATTAGGCTAGGCTATATTAGCTGATAACTTACAGACTTTGTCATAAGATTCGATGTAGATAGTTTGCCTTCATTTAAGCTATCGACAAAAAGCTAAGAAGATAAGGACCTATATATAATATATTTATAAGGACATAAAACGAAAAGGGCGTTCGAGATGGCAACTAGTAAAGATAACAATAACTTTAAAGCTCCCATTCTACATCAACTCATTTTTATACATGTCTTCCACACTCTGACAAAATCACCTATACTTCACACTGGAGCCTCTCTTATCTTTCTTCATCTGTGTCTTGCTCTTTGGGGCATCAGCCTCCTGACCGGCATCACCACCACCCATTCCAGCAAATCCCTTCTTCACACCCATGATTGTGGTGTAGGCAGCGTACACGGAGTATAATGGGATCACAATCCACAGCCACCAGGCCCGGTCATTGAAGAGGCAGACAGCGACAATGCATCCCTGGGTCCAGTAAAGCACGTCCCACATATACTCTGTCAGGCCAGTTGCGTTAAGATCCTCACCGGCGGAGCGCAGGGAACCATCTTCATGATAGCGGGGCCGACCCATTCGGTCCAAATAGTATTCAATGGCAAGGGTCGGAACAGCCAGGAAGAAGTATGGCTTCAGTGAACGCGGCCGCTGGAAGACAAAGTGCAGCAGAAGGAAGAGTAGGTGCAATGCAGCAGAGATGAGGTGAGTACGGCTGAGGACGGCGCCATTGCGGGTCGCCAGGGACTTGGCTGCTTTCTGTAATACAGTCAGAAATTTCCCACACAATCATCAAAGCTAATCTGAAGCTTAATCTCAACAAGAAAGTGTCCTCTTCACATACCTGAGCCATGATTGAAAGTGATCACCAAGTGATCTGCAATCTGATGCCAAAGTTGATCCTTTCCGAATTTTCAAGATGACCTAAATAAATTGACCGAGCTTTTCCCTCTTTCAAATGGCAAGCAAACGACCGGAATTCAAGGCTGAGTGGAGAGGGAAGAAGAAGAGAGGGGACCTGCATATGACAGCTATAGCACATAGGGTGATTGTTGCCCTCCACTACCCCCACCGCCCTACAAAAACGGCAGAAATGACAAAGGCCGCTTGAGACCAAAATAACAGAAAGAACGGCCGATATTCATCCCATCTTAAGCACATCTTGCAGTCCTCTGCTTCTTTGGAAATGTTCCTGGCACTCTGAGAGACTCATCCTGCGTCTGCAGATGACGTAACCAGAGGAATCCCTTTTCACTTCTTTCTATCTTTCAACCGCTTACCATTTCCGGCTTGGGTTTACATTCCTCTTCCACACCCGCGTACCGAGAGCAGTCGATAGCTCCTGCATCTAGACAAATTCAACAAAGACATCGCACTTGCTGCTGTCCATGTCTTGGGGTTGTTGATGGGACCATTCGCTCGCGCTACAACAACCCACTCGATCACGTCGTTGTTTCCTCCCCGCGTCTTGGGGAACATTACAAAGACGCCGGACATTGATGTTACAGTGACGCCGAGGAACCGACTCTACCAATCGCATTATTATCTCGACTTTCAATAATCACCACATAATCCCCGCCTTGCTTTGTGCTATCGCATACCGTATTGCCGACCCCTCACCATGGCCTTGTCCACCGGGCATGTTGCCAGCCAGCTAAGGCACCTCATCTATTACCAACTCGACAATAACCTAATCCGCAATGCGCTCTTCCTGGCTTCACGCCTTCACGCCTATGAACCGCGATCCTTTGAAGCCCAATATCTACTCGCCCTTTGCCATCTACACAACGGAGAAGTGAAGGCGGCGTTCGAATGCAGTCAAGCTTCGGGCTCGCGCGGTCTGCATGCTGGATGTGCCTATGTCTTTGCTCAGACTTGCTTGGACTTGGGGAAATACTTGGATGGTGTTACGGCTCTGGAGCGCAGCAAACCCCTCTGGGCCTCCAAGAACCACTGGAGTAAGCGCCGGCAAGCTTTTCCTTCAACTTGGAGCTCAAGTGCTAACCGCATTATAGACAAACATAGTGAAACTCAGCGACAGCACCTGCCTGATGCTGCAGCTGTTTATTCTTTGCAGGGGAAACTCTGGCACGCACATAAAGATTTGACCAAAGCAGTTGACTGCTACGTGGAGGCACTGAAACTAAACCCCTTCATGTGGGATGCATTCCTGGGGCTTTGCGAAACAGGTATGCGCCGATTCTTCTCTTGAGGCAGGATTTTTCTAATACAGTATCAGGTGTTAATATTCGAGTCCCGAATATCTTCCAGCTCAGCCCAGAGCTTCTTGCAATTATTTCTTCATCACCAGAGGAAATAGCTACCACGCCAGACAGCGTAGCTTATGAAGACGGCAACTTCTCCATGCAACCTCCTGGTAACCCTGAATCCGACCCTTTTATGGTCTCTGCCTCCCGTGGCGAGACTGACACCACATTTGGGAGCTCCGCTCTTTGGGAAAAGTTGAATGGGAGCTCTGTCAATTTTGCTGCTATGGCACAGCCGGTCTTCCACGATGGAATGGAGACCCCAGGCGCACAGAGCAGTGGCTCTGATGACTTCCGCATTGCGAACGGCGTCACTGATCCAGAAGCTGGATGGGAAGCACCTTTGGCCCCTGCCCGAAAGACGCGGACAATCCAAACTATGAGCCTTGACCATACCGGGCAACCTCCGCCTCGAATGCGACCAACAGGCATCAGACCTCGACACAAAACACGAACCGAACCAGAGACTCAGCCGACTGCTCCGGTAGAAAGAGACCCCTCTCTCGTATCGAGATTCGGCGACCGCAAGCGCACAGTCTCTGGACAAGTCGCCCACCCCGTTCCTTCGTCACAACCGACTGAACCAGGTGCGCCCCAGCGCCGAAGTGTTCGGCTCTTTAACCAGATCAAACCTACAACCAGCAAACTTTCAAATGGCACGCTTACTGGTAGAGATGGCCGCGAGATGAAGAAGCTGAGAGGAGGGCCTACAAAAGGACGGTTAGGAGGTGTACCCACTGTTGGCCGTGTCGTGAGTGGCAATCGAAAACCCATGGAGACACCGGACAATGATGGTAAAGATAATCGGACTGGCTTGTCACAATCCCACCCTGTCCCCCCTATGCCCAAAAATGCCGAAAAAACAAAAGAGCTCGAAGCCTTGGATTGGCTTTTGGGTCTTTTCAATAAACTTGCATCTGGATATTTCTCATTGAGTCGTTACAAATGCGCGGACGCCATCAGCTCGTTTAACTCTCTCTCCCAAGGGCAGCGTGAAACCCCTTGGGTTTTGTCTCAACTTGGACGGACGCATTTCGAACAAGCAAGCTACACAGAAGCTGCCAAGTACTTTTCCAGGGTTCAAAAATTAGCCCCCTCTCGCATCGAGGATATGGAGATTTATTCGACCGTCTTGTGGCATCTGAAAAGTGATGTAGAACTGGCCTACTTAGCCCATCAGCTACTCGAATCTGATCGCCTATCCCCTCAGGCATGGTGTGCTATTGGCAACTCTTTCTCTCATCAACGGGATCACGATCAAGCACTCAAGTGCTTCAAGCGTGCGACTATGATCGATCCTAGATTTGCATATGCTTTCACGCTACAGGGACATGAATATGTCGCCAACGAAGAATATGACAAGGCGCTGGAGGCCTATCGTCACGGCATCAATGCGGACAATCGACATTACAATGCTTGGTACGGACTGGGAACGGTGTATGACAAGATGGGCAAACTTGACTTCGCTGAGCAGCATTTCCGCAATGCAGCCAGTATCAACCCAACAAACGCGGTGCTCATTTGCTGCATTGGTCTAGTGTTGGAGAAGATGAACAACCCCCAAGATGCCCTGGTTCACTACGGTCGAGCCTCTTCGCTAGCCCCCAACTCGGTATTAGCCAAGTTCCGCAAGGCGCGCGTACTGATGAAGCTGCACGAATACAAGTTTGCTTTGGCGGAATTGAAGGTCCTAAAGGATATGGCGCCAGATGAGGCAAACGTGCACTACCTTCTTGGAAAGCTGTACAAAATGCTCCACGACAAGGCTAATGCTATCAAGCATTTCACGGCGGCCTTGAACTTGGACCCAAAGGTATGTCTTGGAGTACATTTCTCCAAATCCCCCACCCCTTTCTAAGTCCTTTCTGACTGTAATCCCACACAGGCTACACAATACATCAAGGACGCAATGGAGTCGTTGGACGACGACGATATGGAGGATGAGGACATAGCGTAGGCCTGTAATGTCCCAGGTCTTTCTATTGGGTTCCCGCGGGGGCTCTCTCTTATGAACTCGGCGTTTGAGGGCCTCTTTGCACAGCATCACTGTGGAGTTTTCTTTTCCAGGTTTAGACATCTGGCATATGATGGTGTTCTGTACATTAGTTGAACGATTTTTCCCTGGACATGCATCATGAGGATGGTGCATGCATAATTCCATTATTCTTTTGAGAAAAATGGTTCTCATTATTGGCCGTATTCTTAAAATATCCTTGATTCTACACTCTACACTACGCATATCCCCGCAAAGTGCCCGGGTGACACCGTCATATGCACCTGCCAGGCGGTAAGTCGGCCTCGTGGCAGAAAAACGATTCAACGTTTCTACTCCGATTTGCCCTTCCCCACAAGCCATACATGGCTCAGTCTTGGTTTTGAGCTTCTATTCCTCTTATTTTCTGATTCCTTTGCCATATTGCAGTTGTGGGCTGGGTGTTGCCCACATACTAGTGAAAAAGAGTACGTCTACTCTCAGAATTGTAATTTCCGTCTTCTGACCGTATTTATGCAGCTCTTCTTGACTCGCCCAACTATCGCCATCATGTCTTTCGCCTCTTATATTGTTTCAGGTGTTAGCTCCTTCGTGGTGGTAACCGTATCCCTCTTTGCAATCGGTCAAAAAGTCCCTCGCGCCGCTTTCGCTGCCCGTTGTCTCGCCTCATATGGCTGTCTCCTCGTTAGTGCCGCGTACGGCGTGGTTGTCTCGATCTGTCTGCGGCTAGTTGGATACGGCCGTGTGTCCCAATGGGCAGCAGGCCGCAGCTTTAAGTGGCTGATGCTGTTCACAACCGGCGTCAAGTTCGAGGTTATCGAAGGCGAAGAATACCTCTCCACACGTCCCGCCGTTTTCCTTGGTAACCACCAGACTGAGCTCGACGTGTTGATGCTGGGCAATATCTTCCCGCCATACTGTAGTGTGACTGCCAAGAAGTCACTGCGGAATATTCCTTTCCTGGGCTGGTTCATGTCTCTGTCCCGGACTGTGTTCATTGACCGTGCCAACCGCGAGACAGCCCTCAAGGCTTTCGATGGTGCCGCCGCCGAGATGCGCGATCACCGTCAGAGCGTTTTTATTTTCGCCGAGGGCACTCGGAGTTACTCCGACGAGCCTACCCTGCTACCCTTCAAGAAGGGTGCTTTCCATCTCGCTGTCAAGGCTGGTGTCCCCATCGTGCCGATTGTAACGGAGAACTATTCGCACATTCTGTCGCCTCGTGTCTGGCGATTCAATGCTGGAACTATCAAAATTAAAGGTGCGGCATATTAGATCTTGCCAAGAGATAGAGCAAAGCTAACAATTTTGAAATAGTTTTGCCTCCTATCCCGACTGAAGATTTGACATCTGAGAATGTGGATAGCTTGACCCTGTCGACGCGGGATTCAATGCTCGAAACTCTTGTAGGAATGTCCCATGCGCAGAAGGACGAGGTCGATGTTACTCGCACCAACGGCGTCTCCAGCGCCATTGAGATCTAAGTGCCAAATCAACAGTGTGATTCGTCACATAGCTCCGCGCTCGGCACTTGTTATATGGCTCTCTTGGTTTGAGTGCAATATCGAGCATTCAAATCAAAGTCATAACAGGAGAGAGCAAGCCCGAACCCTACAATTTTACCAAGAAATCCGCCCTCGGTGCCTACTGCCCAACTTTTTGGCTCTCCGGTTAATGACCCAAGAAATGATCTAGACATTGGCATTGTCTCTTGACACACTTTTTCACTCTTGATTCACCTCTTCCCTCTTTGCAATTCGAAATGTATATATCCTTAGCGCAAACGCATGACACGACCCGGCTACTATTGCATACCTGATTTTCTTGTTTTTGTATATTTGGTTTACATTGGGCCATAGAATAGAAATAGGATTAAAGTCTTCACTCGTGCTTTTCGACACAACTTGTAATTCATCAGAGGTTGGGGAAAGTGACATCAAAAGCGAATATTCGTTGAGGGGCTTATTGGATAGGAGTAACCATCTGATTAGCACTCACCTAGTGTTCCGGAAAAGAAATATAATTATTCCAGAAGGATTAGGCTTGGAACAAAATGACCTAGTAATCAGAATAGAAGGGTAGATATGGAATGAAAGGAGTGGTTTCATCTTCGCTAATCATAACAAGACAATGCATAAATATGTTCAAGGGGAATCATCACGCCGAAAGGCTCGGTCAGAAAGGAACATGAGATGAGATGCAACATGCAAGTAACTTGGGGGAAGATCACCTAGTTATATCCTAGAGAGAGGGGTCTTAGAAACCCGGTACGCTCCTAGCATGCTCACAGCGGCCCTCGGCACAAGGCCGTATATCAATATCGATATCGACCTCCTGCATGGGCAACCAGGGGTCGCTGATTTCCGAGTCCGCGCACCAGGGGTCCTGGTCGCCGACTGTGCGAAGCGCGAGGGGGGCAATGCGGACGTTCTGAGGTACCTTCTCAGGATCGAGCGCTGTAATACACCCGGGCAGGTGGTGATCGCTGTCATTCACGACTGCCTGCCGCGAAACGGCTCCGATATTGGGACCCGAGGCGGCCGTGGCTACAATGTAGTCTGACTCGAAGGCGACGAGCTGGACGCGCACAGAATGGACGGCAATGCCACGCAGGGAGATTTTGACGTCGGAGTAAGGCGGGCCCCAATTTTGGTCTGAGGGCGCAGTGGGAGAGTGACCAGTAGATCCGAGTTTCCGAACGGGTTCGGGGGGAATGACGTTCGTGAATTCCAGATCTTTTATCCAAGTGGCTAGAAGGCCGTCTCCGGTCATTTTCAAGTAAGACTCCTTGAGAGCCCAAATCGAGTAGAACAGCCGAATGCCGTAGACAGCAAGATCTTCCTCGCTGTCTTTGCTCGGGTCGGTTTTACGGAGACCAAGCTCACGAGCCAGTTTAAGAGTCGTGTATGGGTTCTTGATGGTCGCAAGCTCGCGGAAGGAAAGAACATCACTGAAGACATTCACGAAATTTGCTAAGTCGGCAAGTGTCTTCGGGGGACGATTACTGCGACGACGAGAGGGCTCATCAACACATGCAATGTCAATTCCCACACGGGGTAAGCCTTGGGGTCCACTGGTTGAGTGAGCTGTTGCAGCACGTGTTCCCGCGAATATAGTGAGACCAGCCTGGTGGCTGACATTGAAATCAAGACTTGAGTCGTAGAATGGGCGATTTTCAGGTATGGGGGTACGCTGAATCTCAATCTTATTCCAGGGAGTGGCAGTGGCTTGGTGAACGTAGTAATATTTCAGCAACTGGGAGGCCAAGGACAGGCGCTGATCCGAAGTTTGATAGTACTTCTTGACGGCGGTCTGATCAGACTGAGTTAAGGTTTGGAGGAAAGGAAGGTCAGAATATTTTTCATCCCAATGTCTGACATCGATGTACCATCGGACCAACGTGGGCTGGTCCTTCAAGATGTCATTCTGTTTGATCTCATTTGTAGCCATTTTAGTCTGAGATTGGTTAGTGCATGCATTTCTAGAGGCACTATAGCTACTCACCAGTTCAGACACTCCAAGTTCTACTATTGCATTGTTATCACAGGTTCGGATGTAGTATATATTCGCACCGAAGATGCTCCGCATCCCACCTCGAGGCTATATTGGCTTATCGGAGATCTTATCTATCAACACGTGTCGATAAGACATATAGTTGTATGCGTGGAACTAATAGATGCATCTTGAGAGGCCTCGATGCCTCCACCAACAAGGACGTGAAAAGGCCGACATGCAGGGAAAACGGCTATGTATAATGCCATGAATATGATACAACCAAGAGAGGTTGCAATAATAAACGCAATATAACTATGATTATTCAAGAAACCATGTTTTGAAGCTGAGCGAGAAGATATATATATTGGAGTCGGCATGATCATTCCAATGTGAATCTGATTGTCTAAATTATCATGACTGGGGCTATCTAGTCGAGTTCATAGCATTATCATCGGAGTAAAGTGAGCACATGAATATTCCAAAGGAGCCTGTTAGGAATAGCATTGCGTTAAGGCTCATATGCTGTTCTTGATGTCGCGTGGAATTAAAGATGGTGATAAGAGTCTATCATGTGACGATAAGTTCCCCGCCGGAAATTTTAGGTCACGTGCCTCAAACCGAGTCATCAATATCAAGAAGAATCCGAGCTCGGAGAGTTCTCAATTCCTATCTTTAGAGACAATGGCTATTACTGTCGGGGTTCTGGCTCTACAGGGCGCATTCTTTGAACATGTGCAACTTTTGAAAAAGGCTGCAGAGCAAGCACCGTCGTCAGAATGGCAATTCATTGAAGTACGGACGCCACAAGAATTGGCCACATGCGATGGTCTGGTCTTGCCCGGAGGCGAGAGTACTACCATGTCTTTGGTCGCAGCAAGGTCAAATCTTCTCGAGCCACTGCGGGAATTTGTAAAGTAAGTGAATTTGGTCAGTCCATTTCAATTCGATCTAATACGTTGGGTCTGTAGAGTGGATCGCAAACCAACGTGGGGTACATGCGCCGGGCTCATTTTGCTCGCCGAGTCTGCCAACAAGACAAAAAAAGGCGGACAAGAACTGATCGGTGGTCTTAATGTGCGAGTGAACCGAAACCACTTTGGTCGACAGACAGAAAGCTTCCAGGGCCCGTTGAATCTGCCATTCTTGGGCCAAGACGCGCCTCCCTTCCCAGCAGTATTTATTCGAGCTCCTATCGTCGAAAAGATTCTTCCCCACCACGAGGGCATCCAAACCGAAGAGATTCAACAGGAAGATGTTGTCGTGGCGCCATCCAGAGAAGTACGAGACTCGGTGGCGCAAGCAGCAACAGCAGAGCAGGTCGAGGTATTAGCAACATTAGTGGGACCGGCAGCTCAACGCGCAACAGAGAGTCGAGACATCAATCCAGACAAGGAAGTTGGCGACATTGTTGCAGTGCGACAGGGCAATGTATTCGGCACCAGCTTCCACCCGGAGCTGACAGGCGACGCAAGAATTCACACTTGGTGGTTGCACGAAGTTCAAGCAGCAGTGCTGAGGCGAAATAAGTTAAAGCAATAATCACCAGCATTAGAATGTGATTGGGGAGAAGAAATTTGTAAATAGGGTATTCGGTGAATAGACATTTCCTGTTTCTGCTAAATTGGATTCACCCTCCCATGAAGAAACGCCATTGCTTTGCCAAGCCAGTACTTTTCCATTATGTCCTGAGTCCTGACCTACCTTCCGGCGCCGTATTCATCCTCCTCGCGCTGGCGTTGCTCGTCATAGGCGCGGCCATATCCACCACGGCCCGGATCGTATTCTTCGCGATATTCATCACGCACCTGGCCGCCTGATTTGCCTCGTCTGCAGAGAAAGTCAGTCATTACTTGCCCGTAACCGCAATTGGTGAAGACCACATACCCGAACTGCCGTCCTTCCTCAAATCCAGGGTCAAGGTCTGTCCGAATGATACGCTCGTCCAGCTTGGTTCCTCCAATATACTTCAAGCAATCCAGCGCATCCTGGTGGGTATAATACTCGACAAAGCAAAAGCCGCAGGGCGTTTTGTTGAATCGGTCGAGGCCCATTACAAGTCGCTTGATCTCACCACACCTGGAATTCGAGGTTAATCATAATTCGAAAGGGAGCGAAGGCGCATTCTCACTTGGCGAAGAGTTCATGGATTTGTTCCTCGGTAGTATAAAAGGAACTTGAGTTGGTCAGTAACGGAAATTGAAGTCCAGGTTCCAGGTTATTGCATGTTTGCGTACAGATTTCCCACGTAGAGGGTTGTCGCGTTTTTCAATTTGTCGTCGGGCTTCTCCTGTTGCTGCGGTTCATCCTCCTCACGGTCGTTGAATCTGCGTCGCTTGTTCTGTGTACAGTGGTTCAGCCTCTGGCCCATTTGGACTCGGTTCGACACAGTTTAGTAAAGGGCAAGCCTTGGGCGAGTGCTCACCTTGCTAACATAGTATGCACTCGGTCGATCCAGTCGGTCGACTGTATTTACAGCCAGCAAACTCATGGTGAATTGAGAGGAAGTTGAACTTTGAAGTGCGTGGTTGACGGAAGGTAGTTGGGGAAGCAAAGCAGCTCGGAGCTCTTCGAAAGATCTTGGCACCCAAGAATTCCACTCCGCATCAACAACTTTGCTTTCGTCAACTTTGTTTTTTTTTCCACCCGCACCACTTGTCTGCTATTTCTGACCGCCCCAGGATGGTCTAAGACTCTTAACACATTCAGATTATACAATTCAATCTACGAACCATCCTTAATGCCGAAGGTCAACAGTTATGCGCCTGCCTGGCTGTGCCGGCCCTCGCCTGGCGCAAAGTTCCTGTCTAGCAGTTTAGCCCAAAGTCCAGCGGAGGACCTGCAAAATGGATCCAAACCTATAAGCAATGGAGCTACGCGAACGATCGCTAAGAGGGGGAATGAAGTGTTCGCCGTTGTTGACAATGAGATTCGGTGGTCAAACCTTGCCCGACTCAAAGACCAATGGCAACAAGAGATTAAGCAGAGGAAGGGATCTGCTACCCAAGATGAACAGCAAGCCGACCACACTCAGCTTCCTCCCTACAGGGTATGTGCACCTATTACACCTAAGAGAACTAACCAAATTCAGGTTGAATTGAATTGCGACTAACGGTTCTGCAGGTTTTAGCAGTGCCTGTGTACGGACTGATCAAACAGATCATCCCCTCCCCCAACGGCGCATTCCTTGCCATCATCACTGAACACACCGTTCACATCTCCGTTCTCCCCGATTCTTCGCACCTTTCATCCTCCGACTCCGACTCTATCCGGCTGAAGACATATCAGTTAGGACCGACAACCCATGTTATTCCCGAGGCTCCGGTGGTCTCCGCGCTGTGGCATCCGCTGGGATTGCACACCAATCTAGGGGGCTGTATTGTTACAGTCACGGCTGACGCTGCGGTGCGTGTGTGGGAGTTGGACCGGAATAACCACTGGTCCTTTGACCAGCCGACCCTAGCAATCGATCTAAAGAAGCTCGTCGATGGGACCTCATCTGACCAGGACTTCACGCCTTCTGGATTTGGCAAAAACAAGGGATTCTCTGCTGATGTCATTGACATGGAGGTTGCGTCGGCCTGTTTCGCTGGCAATGGAAACGAGAAAGAAGATGCATGGGCGCCTATGACCCTGTGGGTGGCAATGAGACCCGGTGATCTCTATGCGCTTTGTCCTCTCCTGCCTTCTAAGTGGCAAGCCCCTTCTACGACCATTCCTTCTCTTTCTGCCGCGATTATTCCGAAACTTGGTGCTTTGGAACAGGAACCCGAGGAATCGGAGGAGGAACTGATTGCCTGCCGGCAACAGTACGACTGGCTTTCAGAGCTTGATGAACAAGAGTCTCTGGACACACATTCTGGATCAGAAACAATCAAAGGCGCGGATGTGTTCACTCGTCCGGCCAATCCTAGCGCCATTCCAAGATTACAAGGGCCTTTCCGCTTCGACAATGGCGATGAGCTGGATGATTTGGATCTCTGTGATCTTCTTGTCATTGCTGCCAGTCTAAACGTCGAGGATCTCATGATGGGCGAGGAAGAAGAATTAGCTGTGGAAACCGGAGACCAAGATAAGCTTTCAGCAACGGTTCTCTCTCTTACTAGTGGGAATGGGCGAGTCCACATATGTCTGGAGATCGACGGTGTTGAAGGACAATGGCTACCCAAAGCTAGAAAGAACGCGTTCCGGACTCCTCTTTCGGAGCCGACTGAATTGATCTTGGTCGAATCACTGGATACAATCAAGAATGGAGAGGAAACAGCTACATGGCCTACTTTCACCAAAGATATCCATTCTCGATACTCGTTCTTCGTCACAACTGCCACCAACGTGGTGTTCCTATCTCTATCCGATTGGGTACCGAGACTGGAGGCTGAATTGCAAGCAGAAGACACAGCAGGTTCCGCCTTCCGTCTCCAGGTTCTCTGTGACGGGAATGTGACCAACCGAGAGAGAATTTTGCAGGTTTCGAATGCCGATATTACCGCGAAGAACGAACATCTTACCACATCTCTTGTTTTCTATGACTTCGACCTCGGCTACTTGCTTCTCACCTACCATCCTTCTAACCCTTATGCAGCTGTAATGGATACACCAGAAGATTCTCTGTCCGTGGCACTGGACAAATCGCTGTATGAGCCCAGGGCCCCAGTGCCAGGCTTGCCTATTTTGCCCCCGAGCCGAGCCCCATATCAGGTTCCCGCCATTTTCTACGCCAACTCCCCACTGGATTCCTTTGTCGAGAAGCACGTCCCGCACCGGCAACGCCACACGCTCAAGGAGCAAGTGCGCCTGTCTCCTGCGACATTGGACCTTGTGGCCACTGCGCATCGTGTGCTATCTGCTCATACAAATGCTCTTGAGCGGGCAGCTTCGGATTTATTCCGCCGCTGTGAGCGGCTGCAGGGCGAGATGCATGACCAATTGAAACAGCTTGCAGATGTTGCAGAGCGCGTTAAGGGTGTCACTAGTGAGATTGGAGAAGACGGGAACCGCAAGGAGGGAGTTCGAAATGGAGAAGCGCTGGATAAGAGATTGCAAGCCGCCCAGGATAAGCAAAGTGAACTGAACCGACGATATGAGGCACTGCGCACGAAGGTCTTGAATTCTGGAGGTCGCCCTCTGAGTGAGAGGGAGAAGGCTTGGGTAACGGAGGTGAAGACATTGTCCGGATCCTTACAGCAAGGCGAGGACCAAGAGGAGGATCAACCATTGATCTCACGGTTGGAGACTGTAGGTTTCGTCTTTCTCGCATTCATATCAACTAGAATACTCACATATTATCTAGGTCAAACACCTTGCTTTGGACCTTATGGCCCAAACCAAGTCTGTGGCAGGCAAAATGCCTTCTCCAGAACCTGGCACTCCGTCCTCTCCTGGGGGCCAGCCTAAAGTGCCCCAACGACTGCAACGGGCCAAGGTTGCAGATGCGATGAGGATGGTCGAACGAGAGTGAGTGGCTTCTTTCATTTTCTTATCAACGCATCGATGACTAACCTTCTCCCAGGTCCGCCGTTATTGACGCGATCACCTCACGTTTGGAACGACTGAACACGAGCTTGTAAACTGTCTAGCTCTGCATGTTATCAGAGGCTCTAGTTTTTCCCATGTTATTACGCATCAATCCACGAGGCTTGCGAGATGAGCCACTTTTTGAATTTTGAACCTTCCAAGGTTAAGCCGTATGCTATTATAAGCTAGATCTAGGCTAAAGTTAAAGGCCATCAATCGTTTTTACAACGTGTCTCTTTTGGTCTATATCTCCTTTCCCCCTCTTAATTAATTTGGACAGCTTCAAAGGCTGCTCTCTTGCATGGGTCCACATTCATCCTGTTACGATCTACGCAATAATTTTACAATAATCGAACTCTAGTCCTGGTGATGATCTCGGAATAATAAAGGACTGCATCCAAACAAAAAGACCTTTTAGAAAATGAGGGAGTCTAACATCTAACACATTTATCTCTCCTACTCTTCTGTTGGGTAGTAATGCTGCACTGAGCCATATGAACGCAACGATCTGTCCTCCAAGCTTTTGATCAGGCCTTTGGGCCTAACATTGGGACCCACAATGCTATAGTAGACATCATCATCTTCATTCCCAGAACTGAAGTCTTCCTCATCGGGAATTTCTTCATCGAGATATTCTTCGCAAGAAACAAAAGAATCCGCACCATCCGACGAGTACTGGGATGAGTTCATGTTGCGGCGCCTCGCTCGATAATCCCTCCGCATCGACGCAGGATCCACCGGGTCACAAGCCCTGGTCAAGTCGAACTCGTTATCCTCAGATATGGGACACAGCTCCGAATGTACCTCATAGTATAGTTGCGGGGTCGTTGGTCGCATGTATGGAGATGTCGACAGGAACTCTTCAGCTGAGAAATAGTCCTCGTCATCATCGGAACTATTGCCACTCCCATCTGCATCGCTTTCGCAGTCAAATGTCGCCGATTTGCATGGTTCTCCGTCTCTGTTAGCTTCGTCATATATCTGTGCTTCGTAGACCCGCTTGTCCCCTCTCGCCCAGCAGTCTGCGCATGTCGCTGTGTGAGATTCGAGTGTTATCATTCTTGGACCCCAGCACAGGCGTTTGTCGGGGCATTTCGATGGGTCCATGTCCCATATACAGCCACACAGTGTGTATTTGCAGGTCCAGTAGATGCACATCTTGGGGGATGGGGGATGGGGGATGGGGGATGGGTTGGTACTTTGGCGACTGATAGGGTTTAGTCAAGTGTACAGACGAGAGACCGTATATCTTATACTTCACTCGCCAGTTTCATTCATCCAGGGGTATACATAGTCATAGAAGCAAGCTTTGGTTGACAAGTCAACTCTAAAGGCGGTTCCAAATTTGACAAAGACCTCTCTGTCTTTCCCTGGGGTTTCTTTGTCTGGTTTTCTTTGTCTGGTTTTCTTTGTTTTATTCTTTTAGCAGAAAGCAAACAATGTCAAGGTACCTAAGTAGCTTTCTTTGTTCTCCTCCGGGGCTGCTGCCATCGATATGCATGTAGGGTTCAAATACACACGTGACCATTGACAGGCAAGTCAATGTTCTATTTTCTTTCATTAGGCAATTAGATATCAGATTATTAGGTACTTCTGATCTGAATAGCTTCTGATATTGATCCCAGGTAATAGAAGTCTAGGAAATAAGTGTTGTGGACCGAAGTTCGCTGACGATTAGGTCAAACTACTATTTTCATATAGCATATTCGCCCTCAACTATGACAATCCGTTGTAGATTACATGTTTTGTTTTGTAGTTTGTTGCATTCAGAGGGAAATAGATCAAAAATCAAAAATCAAAACCAAAACTCCTAGTTATCCCAACCCGATTCCCATCAGGCTGCTCCATACCAGCGCCGAATCTGGACCTTAAATCCTAAATCACATTGTTGTCGTAATTGTTGCCATATCCATTGAGCCATGATTGCAGAAATTGAAAGGACAGATGCTTGGAGCCAAGCTAAGTGGTCGAAGTCAGCCCGGGGGTGCTGATGTAGAAGGTGTTGGCCAATTCTTGGGCATCCTCAACTCGATCGTTGATCATCAGGTAAACATCATCGATGATCTCCTCCCAGGTAGGAAGAATCAAGCCCTCAAGGCAAACCTCCCATTTCCACATGTCATCAGAAAACTTGCCCTCCCACCAGGCACGCCACTCGTTGTAGTCGTGGGGGCTGTGGCTCATGAGACGGAAGGCCAGGTGCCCGATCTCCATGCGAAACTGGCGCCAGTTCTGGAAAGGACCAGACATAAAGCCGTCGATCTTGTTGGTGTAATCGCAGGTAAACTTTCCGTAGGCGATCGAGTCGACGCAGAACTGCAGAGTGTCGCGGGGGATTTTGGCAGAGGCTGCAAGGGTCGGGTCGGTGAAGTTCCAATCCTCTTTCCATTCGAGGAGACGACGCATGGAGGATTGATGGAGCTGGTAGAGAACGGGGGCCATGTCCTTGGGGCAAAGCTCGAAGTAGCGGTGGTCGCGGGCGACCATGAGACTCTTCATGCCGTAGACTGCTATCATGGCCTTGTACTGAAGGGTGAGCATGGCAGTGCGCACCTCGGGGGGGCGCCAAGATCCACCGGGGGACGATGAAGGCGGTTGGGTCGAAGTTGTACTCGAGAATCGAGCGGCCTTCATTAAGAAGGCGCGTCATGGACCGCTTCTGGCGGAGTTTAAGGGTGACGCTGCTCATGGTGGGTGTATGGGAAGACAGTGGAGGGGAAAGAAGTAATAAAAGGAGGTTGTGGGTGGAAAAGAAAAGTGAGAGTAAAGATGGGAGAAAGAAGAGTAGAGGAGCTGGGAGATGTCTCGTCTGTAAAAGCAATGTTTTGCATACGCTCCCTTTGACATCCTTATTTAGACCTCGACAACCACATGTAATCTTGCGGCTTATTTTGGGTCTCCGTTTACCTTTTTGTCGGAACCTTCCCTTTTTGATCGAAACTTTTGAGCCTAAAATGAGTTATTGTTAGCCTAAGGCAGAGTCTATTAGAGTCGTTATGATATCAGGCACGTCCTCGAGTTCCATCATGTCTTTTTAAGAATCAAGATAGACCACAAGCTTCAAGACCTGCTGTAATACAAATATTCTTTCAAAAAGATCCGAGAATTTTGAGACTTCATCAAAAAGAATATTAGCATCTTTCTAAAGTGAAGTGAAAGGCTGTCGTAGATTCCGCTACTCGATTGGTCCTGCCCGAGACAAAACACAAGACACTCTAAAGCAAGAAGAGAACAAAGATGGCATTTCATTCATTGTAGTTTATTTCTTTTGAAGATCATTCCAAAACGTGAGACCAGAGTTTGCAAAGTGTTGAGGCGAATCTTCCGCAGTGGAATTGACCAAGACATGGGCAGGAGCATGCAATTATTGGACACTGGAGACCGAGATCTCAGATTAGCCATATGTAAATAGCTTCACTTTCGGGATGGGACACACCGTTCAATGAGGTGAACACCGGACGCTGTCTCAATGACGCTGCTGACTTCGCCAGGCTGGAGGCCAAAAGCGGCATCTTCGAACTCCTTCTGCATCTCGCCGCGACCAAAGAAGCCCCTTCAAGAAGTTAGCGGGGTATCTGAGATGTAGATTACTTAGAAAAAACTCACAAATCGCCCTTCTTCCGGGCACTGCTGCAGTCGGACTCAGCGACTGCTAGGTCGCCGAGAGTGATCTCTCCAGATTGAATGCGCTGCTCATGACCCTTGAGGATCTCAATAGCCTCCTCCTTTGTGCGAGTAATGTCAGCCTCCCTCCAGCTACTGGGACGGCGACTATCACGATGCTTGACGAGCAAGTGGCTGCAACGGATCTTTCCCTCGCCCTCACCCGAGGCGTCAGGGCGAGCAGCTGGGGTGTGGTTTTGCGCCATATAGACTTTCAGTTTATCGGTATCGGTTTCCGCAGGTGGCTCCCAACGAGACTCTTTTGTGGAAGGGTTGAAATAGTATGGGAGATTCTTAGAGTTGGAATGGCGAACTTCCCAACCGGTGGGAAGACCTGTGTCGGCCTAGGTCAGAGGGTCAGCTATGCAAACTTTCAGAGTTGGTTTGGATCCCACCATTTTCCAATATTGGATCTAAAAGATTCAGATAATTTTTTTTTTGAGTAAATAATAATGTACAAATCAATATCCACTCCAATGGATTTTGCAAAGTAAACGATACAATAATCTTAAGTGGACAACCGGTTTGTATGTGAACGGAAACTGCGGGGGTGAGCTGTTGCAAACAACACAAACATCTCCCAAGCTTGAGCTCTCATCACCAATTTAAACCACTCTCTCATTGGATACTCCCTGACCGCATTTCCCACCCTCGAAGCATTCGAAGTCAATTTCAATTTCAATTGTATAAAAATATAAAATATAGGATTGTTAGGAGAAGTCTACGTTGTGGACGTCGAAGTGTATTGTTAAAGAAGTTAAGTTACAGTGAGACTTGTTAGGTGAGGTCTACGTGGTGGATGTCGAAGTGCATGGTGCAATGTGAGATTGATTGAGTTGAGAGTTGTAAAAGTTGAGTTACAGAGAAGAAATCCAACAAGGCTAATAATCTAACACCCCCCACGAACATAGAACCATAGACTCGTTATGAGTTATGACCTCACACGAAGCAAACCTAGGCGTCGAAAGGGTTGTTGAAGCGTATAATGGGATTGCTAAGAAGAGCATTGGCTGTGGTAGGCTTTTAGTGGTAGTGACCGCGTTAGCAGACTTAGCTTAGCGTTAGCGGGGTTCTGGAAGCACTCCTCTAAAGTCTGACCGGCCTTTCGTTGGTGGAAAGTGTAGAAGTGCTTTGGCTTGTTGCTTGGCTTTTTATAGGTTGCGTTTGCGTCGTAAAAGACTAGATCGGAAGTGTAGTTTGGATGGGTGGCGAGACGTCGATTCTCGGAGATAACGAAGTCAGAGGAATGTCCCGATGAGAACTTGCTCGGAAGTATCGTTGTTCGAGGGAATATAGAATAGCTTTATGCAGAGCAATCTATCACCAGTTATGATCGCAGCTAGGCGGTATTTGAGAGCCTCCTTTGTACTATAACAAAAACCTAAAGTCTAGGAAGGGATCTACAATCGGTACTGAGGCTAAATTGTGCCATCCACCGAGATGAACCCATAAGAATTAGAGGAATCCTATCACTACTTCTGTTTAGTTCGTCCCGCAAGTTGGCTGATGCTGCTATTCAATCTATCGATATCTTAGACCCATCCCTTTAGTTACCATGTCAATCTTCATACCTGATATGTTCGTGTCATTTATGGCTTCTTCCGCCAAAGTCAATCCTCACATTGTCAATGTCCGAGAGGAATCAGAGTCATGATCTCAAGGTATGTGCCTCTGATGTACTTATAACCCACAGACAGTTGGAATAACTAGGCGTAGAGTCTGCCGGTTTAGCCCGAGCCAGTCGAATACTCTTTATAGTCTAGATTTCAGAATTTTCTATACAGTGGTCATTCCTTTTGCAGATGAAACCAAACTGCGTCTCTTGTGTGACATTATTATTTCCTTTTTTGCGGCCTGAATACTTGACTCCAGCAAGTGCTAGCTCTCCATATGCAGATACTTCCTTTTGATGAGGGCTGTTAAGCTACTGATGAGTAGCGGGATTTACGCTAACGGTAGTACCTAGGTAAGGGAAGAGGAAGTACTAAGCCGTATTCGAAATGTAAGAGTGACCGTACGCCTCTACGAATTCGGTGTAGGCGGTACGCCACTTGATAACGAACTGTTATAGAGTGGTGGCGTTATTGTGGAAGTCTACTTGTGGAACTTACCGAAACCTATGTTGTAGGTATAGACGGCGAAGGTCTTATAAAGACTCTGGTACAGCGGGAGCGCTAGTGGCGGTGTTCATGTAAGGTTTAAGAGACGCGTGAACGGCAGCGTGAAGGTAAGAGAGAAAGTGACGTGACTGACGAAGCCACTCTATAAGACTGGGGTCCTCAGAACCTGGTTGAGGTATGTGGCCAGTAGGGATTTCGAAAAGGTAAGGGTCTCGAGTGTCGAGAGCGTATTTGAGTGCTGTGGACCACGATGCGAAGTTGGATTCGCCGGTAAGGGTGGGAACGAGCTCTGAGAGCTTTGGCTCCGCGAAGCTAGTTGCTGAGAGCGTTTTGTGGGGTACGTCGAAGGAGAGACACTTGGCTGCATGGTTAGCAGATGGTGTGCGTCGAATGGAGAGGTACTTAGTATTGAGAGGTATACGTCGAAGAGAGAGGTACTTGTTGTTGTGGTGCATCGAAGGAGAGACACTTGTGTGGGATGAGAACCCTATACGAGAAAAGCCCTTGGTTAGGGTATGTTAGGATTGTTTATTTGTTTTGATGGAGGTAATACCGTTTAGAGGTGGTTGTGGGGTTGGCCTGGCCGATGATGTTGATGGCGAGGATGGTGTCGATGGTAATGGTGGTGATGGTGACGGCGTCGATGGAGAGGCCGTATGGAGGATGACGATGAGGACGGTGAAGAGAGCATTTAAGGGCTTATAACATGTTAGGAGAGGTCTACGTTGTGGACGTCGAGATGTATGGTGCAATGTGAGCTTGATTGTTAAAGAAGTTAAGTTGCAGTGAGAGTAACTGTTTATAAGTTTCCAGCCCTGGTTACCTAGGTAACTAGTTACGTTACCTAAATAGGTAACTATACCACTTTGATTATAGTTATAATATTCTACTAGTTAGAAAGTTTTCTTTAATATGTACTATTATAAATCAAGATCTCTGGCTTTTAATGATCGTTTGGAAAGGGCTAGACATCGTTCTAGAAAAACACACCAAAATATCCAGGCATGATGAACTCAAGAGATATAAGGTCCACCAGTTCATTTAATATAGGCGGTATAGCTAATAAGGGAAGGTGGTATATAGGTAGGGCTAAAGGGGGTGTTAAACTTATGAATAGTTAGGGCAAAGCAAAACAAGACTGCATTCAACCAAGCACTTCCACACTAGCACGAGTAGCCTCTATAGACCTGCCCGAGCACGGGTAACCCAACCACATCACACCAGGTCGAGCATTAGGCCACACCAGATTGGAATAATGAATAGATATGAATAGGAGAGGTAAAGAATGTTCATTCTCCTAACTGCCGGGCAGCAACCCTAGGTTCATATACCCCAGTTCTGCTGGAAGAAGCCGCCGGGAGCGCGTTATCTCTGGTCCCGGGATCCCATCAACATACAACATCACACAGTCACTTGTCCTTCCAACTAATTAGTGGATCTAAAATTCTGCCTGGCAATATTAACCAAAATGAGAGAGTTGTGCCCCGCCTGGCATAGCTAGTCGCCCGTATTGGTCAACGTAGTTAACTAACTAGTTACCCGTGGACCGGTCGGTCTCTTATTGTTGTTATACGAGGTTGTAAAATATCGAAATTACTATGTGTTTTGGAGATGGCCACTCGGTAGTGAAATATGCTAAGGGCCGAGGGCATTGATGGTTGGTGAAGAGAGAATAACTAACTAGGAGGTAGGTGGATGCTCTTGATGGGTGTCAGACCGGGACCTGCACCACCTGCAGATCTCATATTGCAGAGTGCCATTATCACACCGCCTTCCAACTCCGTCAAACCACGTGGTCTCAATCTCGGATCGGATGATCATTATTCCGATCACCACCCTCACCCACCGAGGTATGCATTATGCGTTTACTCCTTCAAGCTCGAAGCTCCCGAGATCTCCATCGACTTCGTGGTTTTTCATCGACTTCGTGGTTTTTCATCGACTTCGTGGTTTTTTATCGACTTCGTGGTTTTTCATCGACTTCGCAGGTTTTTTATCGACTTCGTGGTTCTCGGTACACCACCTTCATCTCGAGATTCGCGACTCATTTTTTTCAGCATGTCGGCTAGCCCTTCTGCTACGGCTGGTGCTGCGGCTGGTGGTGACACCAAACCATCGGACCAGATTCAATTCAAGTTCTGTCGCGAATGGTAGGTTTGCAACCTTGACTTTATCGTCTCAGGGAAATATATGGCTCGAGAATTATTTCGCTAACTTTCCAAAGCTCCAACCTGCTCTACCCCAAGGAGGATCGGGTCAACAATCAGTTGATGTTCACCTGCCGTACCTGCCATGTCGGCCAGCCTGCCTCCTCCCATTGTGTCTACCAGAACCACCTCCATAGCCAAGTCGGTGACACTGCTGGTGTGACTCAGGATGTTACTGCGGATCCCACGGTTTGTTGTCCTCGTTTCTGTACTCTGCCTGGTCTTTGTACCCTATGCGGTGATGTGATCCCTTGTTCTATTTGCGGACCCGCCCCGAAGGAGGATCTTCCCCAGGATGCGCCGCCTGTGGGTGACAGCCTGGAATCCTCTGAAGTCGAGCCCCGGGCGTCCAACCCCGCTCATTAACTTCATGAGCATTCATAGGCTGACCCCCTATTTGCAGCTCCCACGAGCCAACAAGCTCTGTCCAAGCTGCGGCGAAACTGAAGCCGTCTTTTTCCAATCACAACAACGATCCGCCGAAACCGGCATGGTGAGAAACTAATCCTCCGATGGACCCCCAACCCTCTCCTCAATGTAGAGATCATGCGCTGACTTATACTTCTATTTACCCAGAAACTCTACTACGTCTGTTGCGCGTGCGGTCAAGTCTACATGTGATTTCTTTCTGCGATGCGGTCTCCATTTTCCGATACCCTTGAAATTTTTTTTTTTTCGCGCTTTGTTCTTTTGCGATATCTCGGAGTTTGGCGAATATTTCGGAGCAGGAACGGAGAAGATGCGTGGAGATTTCGGAACAGGGGTGAAGCTCATGCTACCTAATACGAATACATATGGATTGAAACCAAATCAAACAAACAAAAAGCGCTCTCCAACGAATGTAGAAACTTGAAATTAAACATGAATCGGCGCCAATGACAAGATCTTCGACCACTTCTTGTTTCGTAGCTCTTGTCCCACCACACCTGTCGAGATATCAGCATCTAAAACGTAGAGACAGCGGCTATCTTAGACTCCCCGATTGGCACTTACCGTTCATTCTTGTCCCGATGGGATCTCCGGACTTGTTGACCAATACACAAGCATTATCACCAAACCGGACAAGAGACCCATCGGGCCGTTGCAACTCCTTCTTCACACGAACAACAACGGCATGACGAATGTCACCACGGCGGACTTTACTGGCGAGCGCAGCGGCGGTAGTGGCCTCGGAGCCTGCAGATCGCTGCTTCTGGACGACGACGACTATCCGGTCACCTAGATATCCAGCCATAATGTTAGCTTGGGTTCCCAATTCCCTTCTTGCTGTGCAGTATGCTGGGTTCGAGTGTCGTGGAGACTGACCGATTGTCGCGGGCCGCTTCTTCTTCAAGACGTTCACGCACTCGACGATCGAGGCGCCGGAGTTGTCGATGCAACTTAGTAGTGTCTGGCGGAGCGAGGGTCAGTATTTTCCAGGCCATTAAAAGGGCATCACTTGCGCACCTTTAATTGAATCATTGTGTTTTAGTGCTTGGTCTTGAGATAGTGCTTGTCCGCAATTTGTTCTCGCGGCCGGAGGGAGGTTTCCCCGGAGAGTAGGTTTATCCGGACCTATAGTTATGCCTTCTATAAAAGATCTAATAGGACTTCAACTTGGATTCTTTGGGAATTGATTTCGTGTTTTGGTTCAATTGTTGTAAATCTCGGCTCAGTTTGGTTTTGTGCTTGTAAAGATCTTTTTTTCCAAGGTTGGTTCTCCAATTGATCATATCAGTTATGGTACGTCCTACGCAAGGATGAGGAAGCCGTCTCTTGATTATAATATACCCTGGGTTTTCTTGTGTGTCTTTTGTACTTGCTTATATTAATCTAATATATGGGGGATATCTATTCTAGTTAGTTTAGTAGCATCCCAAGTGAGATTTTGCTGACTCGATCCATGTGCATCACATCAACTAGACATATAGTTCAACAACATCCCGGATTCAGAGCTATACAATGCTAGATTTTTCTTATTTTCTGACCTAGCTAGGTAGTTATGTAGACCAGCCTTTCTATGCTAACGGTATTCAACTCGAAACCCCACCTATTATTTGTAGAAAACCCACGTACAGGGTACTGTTCTATGTTCATACTTGAATCCATCAGATTCTCCAGCAGTTCATTGGCTGCGAGTATTCCACAGCAAATACCTATTGAGGGATAATATACAATGCATTTTATACGCAGGACAGAAAAAGACCGATCACTTGATCTCGAAAATTGATCTTGATTGGGTGTAATTGCGGTGATACGGCATAGGGGAAGGATTGGATGGCTTGACGCACGGTGCATATTGTTGTATGCGAGCTGGGCGCGTAAATTCAAGTCAAAACAAAGCTATACGGAGTAGAAAATGAAATGATAACAATAGTCAATCCCCTCCTATCCAATATTTACTAGTATAGAGTGAAGGACAACATGCCAAAAGGGAAAGGCGGAAGAGGAAGAGTAAAAGTAGAAGAGACGGCAAGGTCTCAGCTGGCACTCCCGAGTGTCCGTTCCGCCCCTAAAAACATCTGTGAAGGAGGCCCTTCTCCCTGGAACAGCCTCAATGGTGACAATCATCTCATAATGTCCCTTGTGTTGATTGTCAGTCACTCATTTTAATTCCCGTCTTGCCCTCGAATCATTTTTCGACCCCATCCCTCGGACCTCCGCCCTCCACCGTTTGCCGATTATCCTTTGCGCCCACTCTGCATTCTATGAGACCACATATTCTCTCCCGCCTCGATCTCTAGCGGTCATCAGCTTCTTGTTACATTCACCATGCCTCCAAAGAGAGCGCGAAAGAACTCGCCTGCCGCCGAACGTCGCGAGCGTTTGACCCTGGCTAAACTGGCCAGCTATGACGATGTCGCAACCGATGCGCTAGTGGATCACGTATGTTCTTTGCCTGCAATCCAACACAGAGATCTGTCTGCTGATATGTGCTATTAACAGGCCTATTTTTGGACCACCACCCGCAAGAACCGCACCAAGTACAGCCCTGCCCGCGGAATCCACGATGACGATATTGGGCGCATTCTTCTCCATGATGTGATCGTCGACAAGAATATACCCACAGCGGAACGCAAGCTGCTGGAGATATCAGGCTTAAAGAAATATATGACAAACCTCCGTAGCCCTCGAGAGAAGGAGTGGTTCCGCCGACACCTCCGCAAGTACATTCAGATGTATCTTCCAGACTGTCCTTTTGAGGTCACCACGACCAATCGATACATTATCACACAACATGAGGCTGCGATATGTGCTCGCAGGTTCATTAAAAAGGGCGAGGAGATCAAACACCTGAGTGGAACGCTTGTGTCCATGACCCACGAAGAAGAGTTGGATCTCGGCTTGACCCGAAAAGACTTCAGCATTGTGATGTCAAGTCGCCGCAAGGCCCCATCCTTCTTTCTGGGCCCTGCTCGTTTTGCCAACCATGACTGTGATGCCAATGGCAGCTTGACAACTAGGGGCAACGAGGGCATGTCTGTCGTAGCCATGCGCGACATCCACGAGGGAGAAGAGATCACGGTTTCCTACGGAGAGGATTACTTTGGCGTTGACAACTGCGAGTGTCTGTGTCATACTTGCGAGAGCGCTGTACGGAACGGCTGGTCTTCGAATGCTGACACAGAGGCAAATAGCAAAGAGTCCAGCCCCGTGTCTGAAGAAGCTACGCCGACTGAAGATAGCAATGCGAGCAGGAAGCGTAGACGCAGCTCGGACGTGGATGAACCAGAGAGCTCTTCTACCTCGACTTGTTCAACTCCGCGCAAACGTGCAAAGTTCCAACGACAAATTTCTAAGTTGCGAGAAGAGATCTCGGTTTCTGAACTTGCTGGGGAGTCAGGCCCAACTCGCGGATCAGACGAGACCCCTATCCCGGGCACTGTACTGATTCCAACTGCTCTTCTGGCGGAAGCTGGACAGGTGTCCGAGCTAAAGAAAGAGACCAAAGAGCTAAACGCAGTGGCATCGTCAACTGATTCACCAACTTCCCTCCCAGTTGCCACATGGGCGGGACAACCAAGCGAGGACATCAATTCTACTATTGCCACGGACTGCGAATCTCCAAACTCCACCGCTGGTGAATCCCACCGGTCGTCGACGTCAACTACCCCCACAACTGTGGACGACATGGGAACCAAGATCAAGACAGAAGAAACTATACTAGAGCCGTCTGGGTCGAGAATACTCAACGGTGAGGATCATCCCGATGCCTCTCCTGAAGGTCAGCCCGCCACCGCCCATCCCATGGACATTGACCCCGAAGAAGGATTATCAGACTTATCAAATTCCACTAAATTAGACGACGCTGATGGTGCTGTTGTGGATAAACCCAAAAAGCGAAAGCCTCGCACCAAGCGGCGATTCATTGTAGACTCCGTCGAGACCGAGTCACAAGTTGCCCGAGTCCCTGGAGACTATACCAAGACATCACGATTGCTTGCCCAGAAGTACGACCGCTGGGTGGAGTGCCAGACCTGTGATACATGGTTCCTCCAGTCAAACTCATACCTTACACGACGTGAATGTCCGCGATGCGAACGCCATTCCAAGCTGTACGGATACCAGTGGCCATCCACAGATAAAAGCCCGGATGGCGAAGAGCGAGTAATGGATCACCGCACCATCCATCGGTTTTTGTCCCCCGACGCACAATCTCGTATCTGTCGCCGGGACCGCGGTGTTAGTTTTGGAATCACCCCCACCCCCGAGCTGTCCGACACAAATACCCCAGAAACAGAGACCAGCGATGCAATTGAGTCTCGCCGTGATGCTCGGGCAAGTCGGCGTCGTACTAGAGAACTTCGTATGACTATGTAAACAGTACAGCTTCTGGAGCCATGTTTGATCTACGAGATAAGACGGTTGGGGACGGAGTTTTGGTTTAGGAGAATGGGGATTTGTGATAATATTTGGTTTTAACTTGCATTATATTGCATGGAAATTGGATCTGGAGTTTGGATTTCCTACAAGGAATCATTTTCAGGGTTGGAATCTGGAGAGGACAGTGTTTACTTGGGCTTTATTCGCACGGGGACTCCATTGACAGCTACATTTTGACACGTCCATTGTGGACGCGATGTTGAATATAAATATAACTAAGTGTCCTAGGAATTCGCCAGCTAAATATGATTTGTTCTCACTATATGATCAACGATGATCAACGATCTATCGGGGTGATCGAGTCCGAGTTGACAACCACTGCACAATTCCCCGCATTTCGTTCCGGGCATCAACAATAACTGCACCAATGAGCTGCTCTCGTACCTAAGCCCAAGAGTGTCTGCTTGAAAATGACCGAATTTCTTGAGAGCCACACAGAGAAGCTCGGGATTTCCTCTACCGAATGCGATTGCTCGTCATATGGGGCTGATGCTTCCTCATTGCGTACAGAAAGGCTATCGATGGTCTGGCTATATATGACCTGGGGCCCACCAGGCTGAACACAGCTATGGATGGAACGATAGCACTTTGAACCGAAAGTCGCTGAAACCAGAAGATGAGGTTCTCAGACCTGATTGTCACCCTACTCCTCGGATTCGGGGTCACAGCCAGCACTGCATGGGACAACCCTCTAGTTTCCCTCGACTACGGATCCTTCAAAGGCCAATATGACAGTACCTACAACCTCTCATATTTTCGCAAGATCCCATTTGCTGCACCACCAATAGGGGAGAACCGCTTTCGCGCGCCTCAGCCACCACTGAAGATCACCGGAGACCTCTATGACACAAACCAGGACTTCGACATGTGCCCCCAGCGCACAGTTAACGGCAGTGAAGATTGTCTCTATCTGGGTCTATTCTCACGGCCATGGGACGTAGCCAAGGATACCAGCAGACCAGTGCTGGTCGTATTCTACGGCGGGGCTTTCATCCAAGGCAGCGCGGCATTCACCATGCCGCCATCCTCATTCCCGATCCTCAACGTCAGCAACATCAACGATTACATCGTCATCTACTCCAACTACCGCGTCAATGCCTTCGGCTTCCTACCCGGCACGGCAATCAAGGACTCGTCGACCTCAGATCTAAACCCGGGGCTATTAGACCAGCAATATGTCTTAAAATGGGTCCAGAGCCACATCCATCATTTTGGTGGCAATCCTCACAACGTAACAATATGGGGCCAGTCAGCCGGTGCCGGCTCAGTAGTCGCGCAGGTCCTCGCAAACGGCCGCCATGGCCAACCGAAACTATTCTCCAAAGCCCTTGCCAGCTCGCCGTTCTGGCCGAAGACATATAAATACAACGCACCCCAAGCAGAAGAAATCTACACCCAGTTGGCGAACCTGACAGGCTGTGATAGCTATAACAACGATGATGAGACACTCGCCTGTCTCAAATCCGTGGATGTCCAGAAGATCCGTGATGCAAGCCTGGTAATTGGAGCAGGCAACACTTGGACAACGAGCTCTTACACTTGGGCGCCTGTGATAGACGATACCTTCCTAGTTGAGACACTCACAGACACTGTGAACAAGGGCTCCCTGGACACAGAGTTTGTCTGGGGAATGTACAACACCCACGAGGGCCAGAATTTCATTCCGTCGGGTCTTGACAGCGCAGTTTTGGTTAATGGATTTAATTCCTCTGTTGCGAGTTTCCAACAGTGGCTTTCGGGTTTCGTGCCTGGGTTGTCGACCAAGCAGATTGGTGACGTGGAATCTCTTTATTATCCCGCTGAGGGGGTACGGAAACAATCGACAGTTATAATACTTCTTATATTAGGGCTGGCTTGGTGTATCGGGATGTTGTGCTTGCTTGTCCGGCTTATTGGATTGCGTCGGCTGCGACGGAGAAGGGGTATCTTGGGGAGTATACGATTTCCCCGGCGACGCATGGGAGTGATACTATTTATGTTTGTTCTTCTCTTTCATTGCTCCTTTCTTTTTTTTTTTTTTTGCCGGGCTAGTCTCCTGGTTTTGGTGACATAGGCTAACTTGAATGATATCAGTGGAACAGAATCAACGATGTCCAAGAGACTAACCCTGTCGTTTATGAAGGCTACGCGGGGGCTTTCGCGAGTTTTTTTCCAGACGGGAGACCCGAATGCACACAAGGTGACGAATACTTCACAGCCAGGTGTGCCGGAACTACATACGGGCGAGGAATTCGTCGTTGTGGATGATGGGCTTGAGAATGTGAAGCTGGTCCACTTGAAGAAGAGGTGTGACTTCTGGCGAAGGCTGGCGAGGGAGATACCCGTGTGAGAGGTTAGAATGAAAATAGTCGTTTACAGTTGGTTTGATACAATTGGATGATTGCATATCGTACATACTTCCAAAAGATCTAATGACTATCGCAGCGACAATGGGTATAGTCGTTCTCCAGTTCCCAAAAAAATCAAAATCTCAAACCAACGCCATGTATGTTACAAGATTTATACAGTGTGATAAATGCACGCACGCGCGGATCTGAATCTGGATCTAGATCAGAGCCTGGCCACGGAACATGCCCTCGCGAACCTCACGGACGACGTCCTTGCGGTCTTTCTTGCCCACCAGCACAACACCACGACCACGCTTGCCCATACGACCGAGACGACCCAGACGGTGGATGAAGTCAATGGTTGTGTGTGGCACGTGGTAGAGAAGCACTGTCTTCACTGCCAGGGTATCAATACCACGGGAGGCGATATCGGTAGTGACAAGAACCTTAGTGTCGGGAAGACGGCGAATGGGCTCTTGGCGCTCAGGGAGCTCGAAGGGAATGCTACCAGCGGCGCGGTTCTTCTTCTTATTAATCATGATCTCCTCTGCAGTCGGTGGGAGCTTAACCTCTGTGAACTCAGACAGGGTCTGTTGTTGCTTCCGGGAATCGGTGTCACGGGATAGCGAGACAGCATCAATACCCTTGGATTGCAGGAATCCGGCGACCTCGTCGGCTTCCTCGCGTTCGTTGACGAACACAATGATCTTCTTGACCTTCGGCTCCATGTACGCATTGAGCGGTCCCCATGTCTCGGTGTGCTCGTGTCTATCTCCTGCCTTGCCGATTGACCAGATGACATCAGCACAGGCAAGGTTTCGGTTTCCGCGATATGGCTCCTTCTCAATGTCCACGACACCTAGTTGCACGCGACGGGGAATGGCGTGCAAGTTCGGAGTCGTCAAGCGCTGCAGGTCAGGGAAGCGCTTGCGCAGCTGGTTGTCGAGACTCCGGGGGATGGTGGCTGAGCAGAAAACCAATTTTTTGAGTGATGGGGCGACCTTGGCAATGAGTTCGGATGTTGTTGGGATGAACGATCGGTCCATTAGGGAATCAGCTTCGTCAAGGACAAGGTGAGTGACTCGGCTGAGAATGTTGGGGTTCGACCTCGCAACAGAGCCCAAAAGGTGAGGAGTTGAAACTAGAATATCGATACCAGCGGGGTGGAAGAGGGTGTTCTTGATCCGGCGAGGAGTGAAGGTCGATGAGATTTCGCCCGAGCGGTACTTGACGGTGTGGGCCAACTCCTTGAGCTGGGATCCAACCTGGGATACCAATTCGGAAGTAGGAACGAGAATAATGGCCCGAGGACGACAGGCGTTTGTCATCGGTGCCTCCTCAGGCTCCAGATCGAACGCCTTATTCTTCATTCTCTCTTCCCGCTCCAGTGCCTTTCGTTCCTCAAAGGCCTTCTCTTCCTCCATATCGACGACTTCAGCACGCTTGACGGCATCAACAATTGGAAGCAAGTATGCGAGGGTTTTTCCCGAGCCGGTCTCTGCTGCCAGGAGGTACTGGTCAAAATCATATTCTTCTCCGTCTTCGTTCGCCTTCTTCACGTTCTTCTTCTTCTTAGATCCATCCATCAACAGCTCGGGAATCGCGAGCCTTTGAATGGGCGTGGGGCTAACATCAGTGAGACCAGCCAAAGCCTGAGCGAAAACTGACTGTCGAACTGCAGGGAGGAGAGGGAAGTGGTCGAAGCTGGTGATGTCGGCAAGTCGGGCTTTGATAGCTGAACGTCGACCGTAAGGCACAGGAGTCAAAGTTGTCTGCATCTTCAACGCCCTGTACAATGGGCTTTCCTTCTTCTCCGTCTTGCCCTCCTCCCCTGAACGCTTGAGGGCGGCCTGTGATCGTGTGCGTGGGGTGTCTCGAATCCGTGCCTGAGTCTGGTTCATCGAGGCAAAGGGTCCAGCCCGTTCCCGTCGTGGTTTGTTAGGAGATGGTAAAGACGGTTTGTCGACAGTAGGCGACAGGGCCATCCGAGCAGCCTTGCGGCGCAATCGAACGGTGGCCATGCCTCGCGTGGTCTGCCATGAGGTCGGAAGAATCGATGGGGCGATCAGGGTCGCTTTAGTTTGACATAGAAAGCATATCGAGGATCGAATCGGCAGAGGCATTCTACCTAATTGAATGCGATAATAGGCGCAGAAGTGGAAAATACGGAATGATCGAAGGGAAGAGGCCAGAACAGGTTCAGATGTTTTTTTCCCGCGATTATAGAAGCCATTCCTTTCTCGGACTAGCGCAGATCATAAACTTTGGCATAAAGATCAGGTGATTTTACTGCTGACTCATCATGTTCGTAGTTTGGGCCGCCTCAGGCATTAACAAAACGACAACTACAACTGTTGTAGGTGATCATATTGTCTCCTCTCTAAACCGGTGCGAATATTTAGTTCAAGAGCTCAGAGATAAATATTTTAAAGCACTTCGTCATGACCTTTCTCCATTTGTATTTTAATGAAGTAAAAACTTTGTAAGTAACATATTTATAGGCATAACTAGGTAGGTATATATATATCTGTCTGAGATCCAGTCAAATCCCCCACTTGCATAGAGAAACCAACAGAAGACCCACCCCAGAAGTTGCCCTCGGTCGAGTTCATATATTTAACAGAAGCAGGATATAACAGACCTCGGAGGCACAATAGTCTAGGTGATGCGAACGGAGTTTATAACGAAGTGGTCTGTCGTGGCTGTTGTTCTCCAAGTTCCCCTTTGCAAGAATCATGCCTTCGGACAAAGGTAATGTATGGAGTTATATAACTAGTAAGTCGGGAACTGTCCACATGGGAAGTCTGTATTTTTGATACTATGTGGGTGGATTTTCTAGCCGGAACTTCTGCCTGGGTGTCCGGCGTTTCTTCGGAATGCAGTTGAAATGATAATTGGACTATTTAAAAGGACCTGAAAGTAATACTTGAGCTTTGCTATATACCTAACCATATGCTATATTTAGGTACTTCTGATAATTGAAGGTGGTAGGTGCATGCTGATATCGAAAATGATCCACGAAGCTATTCCACTTGTAGGCTAGCGCCGATCTTAGGCACCTGACGCAATGTCACGGGATGCTGAAACACTCGAAGCCAACCGTTGCCATGACAACTCCCGCAACAACAGTTTCTTGCTTGGGGTAACAATCCACTTGAATCCATGGGAGAGACATATCAAGTTTCGTTGTTTCTACTACTCTTCTTCACAACTTCTTTCTTTGTCTCTGTTCCTCTTCCCTGCTAACTTTCCTTGAGAGTTGGCATTCGTATCCCTTCGTTACTTCGTTATCCCTATCCTCTTTTTTTTTGCCTTAGTTTGACACACAGACACACAATTTGGGTTTGTTTTGGTACCTTCGCCCTTTGCAGCAGCATTCCTGCCACGATCGACACGACTTTTACGCCTGCATTAGGACTCGCTGGCAAACATTTCCCACGCGACTACTAGTTATTAAGAACGGTATGGTACCCGATCTCTATGCAATCTTGCCTTGTGCCATTTGTCATCAGCCATAACCCACCTGCCGATCAGGATTCGATGAGAAAGCACTGACACATCACAGACGTCCTGTCTTGGTCTTTATTACGATTGCACATTTCGTATACTGAGTCACCAGCAAACCCAACCTCAGTATGGGTAACGGATCCGGTCAGCGGCCACTCTCCGAAGTGAGCCCCATGGCCCAGAGGCGCAATTCGCCTAGCTGGAATCAAGTTGCCAAGGTACTGTCAACACGATATTTCGCATGTGACGAAGCATACTAACGAAGACTAGCAGGTGCCGCATGGCGAATCGCCTGCATACGATGTCTCGTCTCTGAATAACAATACCTCCCCACGCCTGTTTTGGAAAGGTCGCGACTCCCCAATGCCGTTTCCCAAGGGGGCCGAGAATAAAGCGCCATATGATCCAGAGGGGTGCTATTTCCCCTCAAAGCGCCCATCGCTTGAGAATTTAAAACGCGTTTCGAAGGTCAAAAATCACAGCATGTTCCTCGAAGGTGGTCAAGAGTATGACCCAGCTTCAGTAGTTTTTCCTCAGAAACCGTTGACCTCGGAGAGGTCTCCACAACCGCACAGGCAAATGAACGTTGCGAAATCCCAATTCGACGAAGATACCACCCAGGTTTCTCGCCCGTCTTCCCCAAGCAAAGACCAAGCATCGCCAAGCAAGTCCTCGCTATCCAAAGGTAGCCGGTACGGCAAGGGATTTGACCCTCAGAATGATATTTGGTCTGAGTATGACAGCGCTGGACATCGACATGCGAAGAGTGTCAAATTTGATCACGCCCCTCCTCAAATCAATGAATATGAAATGACAACACCGGATCTTTCCTCAGTTGCATCTGAGTCACGGGAAAACAGCTACGAGTCCGAGGAAGAGGAGGAACTTAGTTTCGAGGCTGAGTCATCCATTGAGCGTGATGATAGCTTTGACGCCTCTCTGGAAGATATCGAGAAGACCCCTGTTGTGCTGCCCGAAGACTGGCGTTTCATGAGCCAAAGCACGAACAGTGATGGTGATCCCTTCATCGAGGACGTCGAAGAAGACAATACCGAGGAGCGACCTATCTCGCGTGAAGGAGGATCTTCTCACCACGCACGTGTTGAATCGCTGGACTCGAATGGCGAGCGACGTCCCCTCCCGCCTTTGCCATCGGTCAATCGCACGTCTGGTGCTCGTCCATCCTCGGCTGGCAAGCTCACTGCTGCTTTTGAGCTTGGCAGCGCAGGCCAGCGAGTGCTACCAGCACCTCCGGCTCCCGCCTCATGTACAAAGTCTGATCTCCCCGGCGCTGTATCCATAGAGGAGAGACTCCGTCTCATGATGCTACAGGAGAGAAGTGATGATGATACACATGATGACCACGCGGAGAACATTGAGGAACCCTTGGAGCTTCCTAGAGCAGATGAAGATCCGACACCAAAAGACGATACCCACACAGATGACGAGGCCAAAGAGAACTTCTTTTCTCCTCCTCGCATTTCTCGCGACTCAATATTGCGAGGAATCCGCAAGGGGGACGACTATGACGATGACAGCTTTGATGGCTCTTCCCAAATTGCTTCCAGCCCCCAACGTTATGACCATTATGACCCTGATGTTCCCATTCCATCCATGGAAACCGACGACGATGACTCCTCCAGTGTAATAATTAAGCAGGAAGAGCACGACGAAGACCTCTACTCTATCTCTGGGTATTATCAGCATATGTCAGACAATAGCCTGTCGTCCCGTGATCAGCGGGCCAAGTACGACGAGGACAGCAATTACTCCCTACGCTCTGCCGCCGAAGCCGCCGAGCGCGAACACGCTGGACATCATAGTGACAGGCAGGAATCTGAACAGACCACCCCTAATGCTGAAACCCAGACCGACGCCCAAAATCCTGCACAGCCAAGCCAGGATGGCCAGGAATACAAAGAGCCAGACGCCCCTCAAGACCAATCCTTCGATATGGCGTCTATCCGTCAGTCTCTCGCGCGCCCTACCACCCCTGAGATGCAGCAAGACCAAGCTTCTGAGCCCTCTACTCCAGACTCTGTTATTCGTCATCCGATTGAGGACGACGATGACGAAGACGAACGCGAAGAAGAAGAAGAAGAAGCGGACGAGGAAGAGGAGCCGGAGCCGGAAGTTGGTGAGAGCTCATCCGACGAGTCTGTCCCTGAGCCCGTCGCAACAATTCGAGCTCCTGGTGCTGGTCTCAAGACCCGACCCTCCCTGACCCCTGCGGATATGCAGTCCATGGCTGCTACCCGGCGTCAGATCAGTGGCCAGCATGTTCCACCCGTCCCTTCATTGCAAAAGCAGATCTCCAATGACTCGAATACGTCGGATCGTGAACAAAAGCAGATTGACTTGCCACCGAAGTTGGGCTTGCCTACGGATGTTGCCCAGCGACAAAGCAGTTGTTTGAAACTCGATATTCCCTTCAGTATCCAGGAAGAAAGTCTCGGTTTTGGACTGGACAAGGAGTTTGATCGTGTCATTGAATCCCAAAAGGTTGCGTTTCACCTTGCCCTTTCCCAAAGCCCTGGTTCTGTGACGACTTCTCAAGCGAAAGCACCCAAGGATCCCCTAGCAAATAGTGCAGACCCCGCTGACTCTTGTGCCCCTAAACAGAGAGGATATCTCATGAGACAGAACACCAAAGTTATCGTTGCCAGCAGCCGTAACGAAGAAGAAGCAATGCCTTCCACGGAGCACACTGCCCAAGACCCGCGGGGTACACGTTCTGCTGGCTCTTCCCCACGCAAGGCTAGCCAACAGACTTGGACCACAGTCCCTTGGAATGGCTCACCGCGCCGCCCAAGTATTAAGGCTGCCACCGGTATCCCGAAGAAAAAGCCCGTGCCTGGTGCGGGTGGAGTCCCGCCTCTCCCTGGACAGCCTAGTAATGTCCAGGAAGCCCCAGCGACTATCGAAGAGAACGAGCCCGCCATGTCCGAATCTTTTGAAGATGGAGAAGAGCGAGGGCGTTTGTTCGTGAAGGTCGTAGGCCTCAAATATTGTGACCTTCCTCTCCCTCGTGGTAAGATCTCATCATCAAGACCTATGCAATTCATGTTACTAATCGAATTTTAGGTGAACGGTCGTACTTTGCACTGACTTTGGATAACGGACTGCACTGTGTGACCACCTCCTGGTTAGAGATGGGCAAGTCTGCTCCCATTGGACAGGAGTTTGAGCTCATTGTCCAGAATGACCTTGAGTTCCAGTTGACCTTGCAAATGAAGATTGATGAGAGCAAGTTCCAAACACAAGAACCCGCATCATCCCCATCACGTCAAAAGGCGTCGGCCCTCAGCCGTGTATTTGCATCCCCACGCCGGCGCAAGGAGCTTGACATTAAGCAACAAATGCAGTCTCAGCAACAGAAGTCCAAGGACGTTAATGCCCCTGTATACGAACGACTTCGAAACTTGGTTGCGCGTGATGGTAGCTTTGGCCGCGCGTATGTGGCTTTGAGCGACCACGAGCAGCAGGCCTTTGGCCGCCCCCACATTGTTGACGTTGCTTGCTTCAACGAATGGGCAGTTGAGGAACAAATGAGCAGTATCAAGAGCAAGAAGAGTGCGACTAGCATCAACACCCAGCGCCGACCACCATACAAGATTGGAAAATTGGAAGTGCAACTGCTCTTTGTGCCTAAGCCCAAGGGTAGCAAGGATGAAGACATGCCCAAGAGCATGAACGCTTGCATTCGCGAAATGCGTGATGCAGAGAGTGTTGCAGATCGCTCCTGGGAAGGGTTCCTTTCCCAGCAGGGAGGAGATTGTCCGGTAAGTGTTCACGAAGTCTTCTGTTCCCAATTAAAAACTAATCAATCAAAATAGTACTGGCGCCGTCGCTTCTTCAAGCTCCAGGGATCCAAGTTAACGGCCTTCCACGAAACAACGCGTCAACCTCGTGCTACAATCAATCTCGCCAAGGCCTCCAAGCTCATTGACGATCGGTCCTCCCTACTTCAGAAGGAGACCAGCACGAAGGGTGGTTCCCGCCGCAAGTCTGCATTTGCAGAGGAAGAAGATGGCTACATGTTTGTTGAGGAGGGATTCCGCATCCGCTTTGGCAATGGTGAAGTGATTGACTTCTACGCGGATAGTCCCGCAGCTAAGGAGGGCTGGCTTCGAGTCATGTCTGAAGCTGTTGGGAAGGGCTCTACCTCCGGCAATGGTGCACTCAAGCCCTGGGCTGATCTTGTACTCAAGCGCGAGCGTAGTATGAAAACCAGCAATGAAGCTGCTCCTCGTCGTCCGCCCAGTGGGATTCCCACAGCACCTACCTCACTCCCATCTCCTAGTCGGAGCCGAGTCAGTGCCATAATGGGACCTCCATCTTCTGCGGGATCCGGGGCGCCGGCGTCTCAATCCTCACGTCCTCGTCATAAGCACACCTACTCTCAACCCGAGATGGGTAGTGTTGAAGCACGTCGACAGAAAACCCGCTCTCTCATGTTCTAAGTACTACTCTGAAATGAGTAGAATTCCAAAGCACAGATCATCCTTCACTTCTTCTGTGCATGGTGTCAGTTGTCACAATAACTCTTTTTATTTGTCTCTCGGAGGTCCCCCATTGCATTCCAATTTCCTTTTTTGTTTTTGTTCCCCGTTTCCTTTTGCGTTTCGCGATGACAGTCACTTGGCTTTTTTTTTTGTTCATTTCCTTTTGAAGCACTTTCTCTTATGGTGTTGGTGTATGATGCGACTCGTTTCCCGACTTTTCTTCTTCTCTGTCAATTATCTTTTCTTTATGAGTTGTTGCAGAATGGCGAAGGCAAACATGGCAACTGTACGATTCAAGACCCCATAGCACGCACAAATGATTTCTTTTTTGATAATTTTCTATGCTTTCCCTGTACCTTGATGGTAGATACACTTCTCCTTACCTTGTTCTCTTCCCAGGAATCCATAATTCTGCTACAAAATTTCTTTGTTGATGTTAAAGACTGTCGGATTCTATGTTAAAAATCAAATTCTTCAAAAGATTAGAAAAACTCGAGAGTCCAAACGTCACCCAGCCGATTGTTTGATTCTCCCAGTCCACCGTGGACTACAATACTGCCATCATCAAGGACATCTCCATCAAACCAACCCCGTGGATCAGGACGCTCATCTCCCCGAGCCTCAATCTTCGTCCATAGCTTAGTCTCAAGATCAAACACCCACACATCCCCCAACATCTTTCCCGCACCCTGATGTCCCAATGAACTAGGATCCCGCTCACCGAACAGGGTAACCAAGTACCCACGACCAGAAACAGCAACAGGAAGCAAGGCCGCCACACTCCGCGGCGATGGCCCACTCACACCATCCGGAACAAACGAATGCGAGCTCCACACATTGGCTTCAGGCTCATAGACATCTACTCTACCGCCCTGTTCCCGCTCGCCATCAAACCCATTCATCCGATACAGTCTGCCCCCGGCAAACGCAATAGAAGTCCCACCGCGTGGTGGATCCGGCGCCGGAGCAAGTTCCGTCCATTGCTTCTGGGATACACTGAACGCCCACAGATCCGATAGTCGGCCCTTCTCGGGACAGCCTGCGTGGACGAAGACGGTGTCTTTTCCGTCGTTGGATGTGCAGTGGTAGCTGCGCGCTGCTGGGATGGCTGGGTTTGGATTCGATGGTGCTAGGAAGGACCATTCGTTTGTGCTGGGGTCGAATTCCCAGATTCCGCCGCTTTCTTCTATCGGTGCCATTGCTGTGCCTCCTCTTCCGGAGAATAGGTAGATTTTGCCATTGAGGATTGTTGATGCGGTTCCTACCCGTGGTGTGGGGGATTGGGCCGGGGCTGGTTTGGTGGATAGGGTTGCGGCTGTGGGATTGGTTAGTTGTATGTATGTGGTGGTATTGGTTTTGAGGGTTTTTGGCTCTCAAATATGTATGATGTTGCCTTGTGGAAATATAAGGAAACTCACGCTCTTTGAGTGAAACAGTGTGAACGTCATTGTCTCTAGGTTCCCGTGGCCGCAACTCTCCGCCAAAGATGTAGACCTGTCTGTCAATGACGGAGACGATTTGGGAAGATCGCTGTAAGATCTCTGCCTCGACGACTTTGGTCCATCTTGCTTGAATAGCTGCCATGGTGGGGGGTGGGGGTGGATTTGGGTTGATTGGAATCTTTTGTGATAAATTTGGATAAGGGGGGTTTAGAAGATTTTATAGAAAGACCCTGAGGATATTAGTTTTAATTCAAGACGGTCTTATTGGGGCCCAGGTGTATTTGAATGCTGAGGCAGTTGGTCTGATGTGGATGTCAGACTGCCGAGGGGAAAGCCGATGTCGTTGCTTTTTAACTTTGTTGAGGGGGACCTTGGTGGCTATGCGAAGGCAATGTGTATTTTGGACAATCACCTTTCTACTTGGATTATATACATTCGTATTTATTCATGCCATTGATGTTTGATATCTTGCCTGGTTGCTAAGAGGATGAGTATTCAACATCTGTGTACAACTATGAAAACGACACTGTGACTGTGATTATAAACGATTTACCCGACGTATTAGCAACAAATACCTCCTCTTCAATCATTCAATAAGTTCTTCCAAATGCAACTCATGAGAACCATCTAGACACCGCGCGCCCATCTCAAAGCACTCCAGGCAGACAACGAAGCCGAAAGTCAGGCAGATAGAACATTCGTGGTAGGCACTCCCAATAGAAACAAATCGAGTGCATATATCACACCTCTCGCTAGAATCACCTGTCGCCATTGAGCTGGCCTCCACAGCCAAGTCACCCTCGCTAACTTCAATGCCCCTTGTTTCAGTAAATTGAATGACGGCATCAGCGACTTTGGTATTCCCGCTTTTTCTGGCCCACCAGAGCAAACTGTGACCAAAGCCGTCTTCAACCTGGATGCAGGGGCCCTGAAGGACGAGCAAACACATAACAGCTGCCTCATGCCCGTTTCTTACAGCTGCAAGAAGCGGGGTAGAACCGTACCGGTCTTTTATATCGACCGCAGCCCCATGGGACAGAAGTTGTTGTAGGACTTCCACATGGCTTCTCGCGGAGGCATGGAAAAGCGAAGTCCGTCCAAATTTGTCCGGAGTTTCAACGCAAGCTCCATGCTCGCGTAGAAACTTGACAATTTCAAGATGACCCGAACATGAAGCCGCATGTAGTGGAGTCCAGCCATCATCCTTTGTCGCCGTATGAATGTCGATATCTGCACCATGCTCGTATAGAAACTTGACAACTTCAAGATGGCCTAGATATGAAGCCGCATATAGTGGAGTCCAGCTATTATCCTTTGTCGCCGTATTAATGTCGGTATCTGCCCCATGCTCGTATAGAAACTTAACAACGTCGAGATGGCCCGAATATGAAGCCATAAATAATGGAGTATAGCCATCCTTTGTGGCCGTATGAACGTCCGCTCCATGCTCGCATAGAAACTTGACAATTTCGAGATGGCCCGAACATGAAGCCGCATGTAGTGGGGTCCAGCCATCATCCTTTGTCGCTGTATGAATGTCGGTATCTACTCTATGCTCGTATAGAAACTTGAAAACTTCGAGATGGCCCGACTCTGAAGCCATATATAATGGAGTATAACCATTCGTTGTAGCCGTATAAACGTCCGCTCCATGCTCGTACAAAAACTCGACAATTTCGAGATGGCCCGACTGTGAAGCCGCATGTAGTGGGGTCCAGCCAGTCTTTGTCGCCGTATGAATGTCGGTATCTGCTCCATGCTCGTATAGAAACTTGACAACTTCGAGATGGCCGGAATATGAAGCCGCATATAATGGAGTATAACCATCCTTTGTGGCCGTATGGACGTCCGCTCCATGCTTGTACAAAAACTCGACAATTTCGAGATGGCCCGAATCTAAAGCCGCATGTAGTGGGGTCCAGCCATCATCCTTTGTCGCTGTATGAATGTCGGTATCTACTCCATGCTCGTATAGAAACTTGACAACTTCGAGATGGCCCAAATATGAAGCCGTATGTAGTAGGGTCCAGCCAGTCTTTATCGCCGTATGAATGTTGGTATCTGCTCCATGCTCGTATAGAAACTTGACAATTTCGAGATGGCCGGAATATGAAGCCGCATATAATGGAGTATAACCATCCTTTGTGGCCGTATGGACGTCGGTATCTGCTCCATGCCCGTATAGAAACTTGACAACTTCGAGATGGCCCAAATACGAAGCCATATATAATGGAGTGTAACCACCATTTGTGGCCGTATTGACGTCCGCTCCATGCTCGTATAAAAACTTAACGACTTCGAGATAGCCAAACTCTGAAGCCCCACATAATGGAGTGTAACCATCATTTGTGGCCGTATGAACGTCCGCTCCATGCTCGTACAAAAACTTGACAATTTCAAGATGGCCCAACCCTGAAGCCGTATGTAGTGGGGTCCAGCCAGTCTTTATCGCTGTATGAATGTCGGTATCTGCTCCATGCTCGTATAGAAACTTGACAACTTCGAGATGGCCGGAATATGAAGCCGCATATAATGGAGTACAACCATCCTTTGTGGCTGTATTGACGTCCGCTCCATGCTCGTACAAAAACTTGACAATTTCGAGATGGCCATTCTGCGATGCTCTGGAAAGTGGTGTGCACCCATCACAGTTGGGGTTTGTCGTCCTACTTCCCCACTGGCAGAGAAATATCACCATTTCAAGGAAGCCATGCTCTGCAGCCAAATGTAGTGGGGAATCACCTCTCTTGTTCTGAGCATTCACTAAAAATTCACCTCTTCCTCCCACCGTCTTCAACCCCATCTTAGCTATCTCCCGCGTTCCCCCTCTGTCCACTTTCACTGTATCGGAGCCCACAACCCTTTCCCTTGCCTCCTTCGCACTTGTGTTTGACTTTCTCCTTGATCCGGTTTCTTCCTTCGTGTTCAGTTGCAGTTTTCGAGTTCTGATTGGCATCGTGTTGACTTTTACCTGGCCGCTTGTCCTCGCCGTCTTCATCGCCGAGTCTCTTGCCATCGACTTGGAAGTATCGCTCATTCCCAGCTTTCTGTGGCTTGAAATAGTTGAAACCTTTTGGTCTGTGCACAGAATCCTCTTCGCTAACTTTTCAAGGCCAAATTCAGCTGCGATATGCATCAAAGACGTCCCTTCGGTAGCGGTTTCGCTTGAGCTGTTCTCCAAACTCTTGCATGTATTGATCCACACATCAAGTATGGTTTCTGTTGGCCATGCAATCTCCTCTCCTAGGTTCTCCCTTTCCGCTGTAACAGCATGTGAGACCCAACATGTCGCTGCATAACCTAGAAATTGAAATCTTTCTCTTGGCAAAATCTCCTTCTCTTGGCAAGCAAGGCAAATCTCCTCTGTTGACAAGTATTGGAGACACGTGTTTGCTAGCTGTACACTAGCAATCTGCGTGAGGCTGCGAGGCTCATGCAGCCGTCCGTTCAGATAGCTTAGCCCTTTCCTCAGCATGAAAGCTCTGATTGTGTCATGGTGAAAGCCAACAATGGCTTTGTCATCATCTAGCTTAGCACTTCCCACATCGACAAGACCTCGGCTCAAGTGAATCATCCGCTTCCTCATCTTGGCTTCGCTTGGTATTAACTGAGGATTGTCGACATCTTCATACTCTCTTAATGACCCCTTTGATCCACTCAAGTGTACTGTCATTGCAATTCTGAGTTCATCAAGAGACAGTGACCGGATCGCAAAACAAATCCATTGAAACAATGTGTAAGCTTCCAGTAGCTCGTCATCTTGAATATCTTCTAGGAGACCTTCGTACAGCCTATCTAGCTCTTGTGGACATTCGAGGAGCTCTGATTTTATTCTTCTCAGACTCAACCCCTTGCCACTCATATGGTGTATTCGTTCAATAATCAAGACAAGCCAGAGAAATAGGCCATCAGCTTTGCCTAGCAGAGCACGCTTCAACTCTTTTGTGTCCGTCACCGATTCATCGGGCAGGCGCAAGTTGTTTTCCACGAAACTTTCAATATCATCCTGATTCTCCTCTTCAAGTCGGACCTGGAATTCTGCCTTGATTTGGCCATCCTGATATGGACGACATGTGACGCAAATCCCCGGTCTATTCAGTCTCGAATTAATTTGACCACGTAGACCATGAAGGAAACTGATGAGACGATCCCGATCCTTGTCGTTACACTCGTCAAGAGCGTCGACAAATATCAGTATCTTCCGCCGGGAAGAACAGTCAACGACAAGCTTCTGGAAATGAGCCTCAAGCTCGACCTGTTGCCATTTTAACTGCAACTTTTCCCTTGGCTTGCAATATTTGCGGCAGATTTTCATAAATTCCGGTCGTGAATACTCATCCTGGTCAAGCAATTGAAGCAGAAGAGATCGGAAGAAGCCCAATGTGCTGCTCTGAAGTTCCGTGCCGCTGGCATAGAAGAAAAAAGACAACACGATAGAGCCCAAAGGGGCAGCAGCTTCTGTCTGTTGGCCTAATGCAAATTTCAGAAGTGTGGATTTCCCACACCCAGCTTTGCCTCTGATTAGGAGTAAACCATGTTCATCGACCCAGCGCAAGTATTCCGGTGATTTCATCAGCCATTCACAAGTACCTGCTGATTGTGGTTCTATGTGTCGTTCCCTGTCGTTTGATTCGTTGAATGCAAGTGATTGGAGACATTCTTCTCTGAGTCAGACCATAGGTAACTATCAAAGGGTAAAACTCGAGCCACGTACCGTCCCAGTTCAGGATTCCACCCTGTCCAGGACCAAACATCCCATCGATCTTATCATGAACACGTGTAGGAGACTCCGACATTGAGTTGTTTTGTGTGGATGCTGTGTGGTCTTCATCCCTCTCGCCAGTTGCCGAAAAGGAAACGGGCCCGTAAAATTTGTTGCCATTCAGCAGGTGGGCGTTGCTCTTGAAGCTACCATCGAAATTCTGTGTTCTTTCCATGCTTGGAACTTCGACGTAATTTCACGTCGTGGAAAATCGAGCACATACGCTTCGAATTGTTACAACTAGCAATCTAGTCTCTGATAAAAGTCACGGCGTGAGATCGTGATGGCAGGAATGTTCAGCCGCACGCGGGGTACGAAGATGCATAGGGGCCCAACTGGGGGTTGGGCCAAGTAGTAAGCTAACAGCAGGTGACTTCCATCATTTCAATTGACTATTCTATCTTTCAACCCCCCGTTATATTCACTCCGCCAGTACGCTTATTGATTTTCTATAATCATATGCCCTTTCGGACCAACACACTTAGCCATGTTGAACACCAGACCTCGGGATCTCCATGCTTTTGAGATTGCCATTTTCTGCGCTCTGGGCCTCGAAGCTGATGCGATGGTCGCGTTGTTCGATGACATTTGGGAGCAGGAAGAACATTATAAGAAGGGCCCTAGCGACACTAATAGCTATACCTTCGGTCGAATCCATCAACACCCCGTGGTTCTAGTCCACATGCCTCGTATGGGCAAGGCATCAGCATCCAGTGTGGCGGCCAGCTTGCGGTCCAGTTTTCCCTACATCCGAATGGGTCTCCTGGTCGGAATATGCGGTGGTGTGCCTTTCTCCGGGCGTGGCAAACGAGAGATCATCCTAGGAGATGTTATTATCAGCACACATATCGTCCAATCTGATTTTGGAAGGCTATACCCGCACACCTTTGCTCGCAAGAACTCGCTACAGGACAATCTCGGCAGACCAAGCCCGGAAGTTGGTGGGTTCTTATCCAAACTCCAAGGGCAAGCTGTCCAGACCGGTTTCAAGGACTCAATGCGAGCGGACCTTACGCCTTCGAAATATCCCGGTACTAGTAAAGACAAACTCTTTGAAGCGGGCTACAGCCATAAACATGCAGTCACAACGGCGTGTACAGTTTGTGCCCAATGCACATCCCCCCCAATATGATGTCTGTGCTGAAGCCTTAAACTCATCTTGCGCCGACCTTGGCTGTGATTCTAGCAAAGTGGTACCTCGAGCTCGGATACAGACGATGAACACGGAAGGTTACAGCGCATCATCTTACTGTCCCGCAATACATTTTGGTGGACTAGCCTCAGGCGATCAGGTCATCAAATCTGCATTCCACCGCGACCACATTGCCGAACAGGAAGGTGTGATTGGCTTCGAAATGGAAGGGGCTGGCCTATGGGACACGATCCCGACTATTGTTGTTAAAGGAGTGTGCGACTATGCCGATAGCCATAAGGGCAAAGATTGGCAGCTTTATGCTGCAGCAACAGCAGCAGCCTGCGCAAAAGGTATGCTAAAGATATGGAGGGGGTCAGTAAGACGGATGGAGGATACATCTAATGAAGAACAATCTGCCCCGTCGCCAACGCATCAAATCTTCAGTGGTAGTTTCACAGCTGGGAGAAACATCTATAACGGTGGCACTTTCACTGCCCAATCGATTAATTTCTGATGATATAGTGTCTCGCCCGTTGCATTGAGGCATCCTCAAACCGACAGGAAGTTATTGAAAGGCCTTAACGGCAAGTGGGATATTTGAAGATATTCCAAGATTAATGGTATGGGAGTAAATTATCCGATTGGTTCTTCTCTGTGTCCTACAACGCCTTATAGGTATCACCTATAATAAAAAGAATGGATTATAGGACAAGGTCTTAGCTAAAGCTAGGGGAGCAATGTTGTTGTTTCTATAAATATGCGTCATCTCCATACTATATTATAAATGCACCTGCACGACATCGTCCATTAATAATGTGAATCCATCACATGTTGTACTTCTTCCTTACCAGAGGGCTTAATTCTTGTATTCGCCGGACATAACTGTGCATTTATCAGCATTTCTCCATGTCATACGAATATTGCGTGCTCTACGTGATGCATTCTGACAAATAAAACTCACCCCCGCAACAACAATGATACTATATAAAGGATCCTTCATTATCGCCAACACTAACTATTACCTGGGGATCATCTTTCAATAAGCATCCAAATAACTCATCATGGCTTCTGCAGCAGTTCAACTTCCCGGTTCTCACGGCCCTCTGCTCTCAGGAAATCCCGGAGTCCTAGTTTCCGAAAAGCCTCACCATGTTCAGACTACACTGAACTTCTTCAAAGAGAATGAGGATGGTTCTCCTCCGGAACCAACATATACCAACAAACCAGAAACCTACGATCGACCCACGGCTCCTCTCGAGACCACCATCCACGACATCAGTGGCCATGAGCTTGACTACAAACTAGACACCCATGGTTTCCAGCTCTACTACCACGAAAGCCAAGAGAAGGACTTCCTAGATGACGAGAAGATCAAGGCCGAATACTACCCAGAGACAGAACAACTGCTAAAAGACGCGTATGCAATCCCGAAACCCCCATAATCCCTTTCGAATGAAACTACTAACAATGACCTTTAACTACAGCACGGGAGCTTCCCGCATCTTCATCTTCGACCACACCATCCGCCGCGGCCAAACCGACGGACCTATCCGTACCCAGCTTCGCGGACCCGTCCAGCGCGTACATATCGACCAATCCTACACCGCGTCTAAGGGCAGAGTCTCCCACCATCTCCCAGACGAGGCACCCGAGCTCCTCAAGGGCCGATATCAGATTATCAACGTCTGGCGCCCGATCAAGACAATCCTGAAGGATCCATTGGCTGTGGCCGATGCACACTCAGTCCCAGATAGTGATCTTGTACCTATCGGGCTCATTTATCCGGACCGCCAGGGTGAGACATATGCCGTCAAGCCGGATCCTGATATCAAGTGGTATTACCGCTATGGTCAGACTCCGGACTTGGTGACTCTTATCAAATGCTTTGATTCTAAGGTTGATGGGAGAGCTCGTCGTGTGCCCCATACTGCTTTTGTTAACCCGGAAACGGAGAATGAAGCCGGACGAGAGAGTATTGAAGTGCGAGCGTTGGTTTTCCATCCTGATGATCGTGACTAGCTTGTGTCTTGTCTCTCCAGAGTGGAGTAAATGGTTTGTCATCTTTGTATACTCGTTTTTTTTTGCATTGTTTCGAAGAACCAGATTGATAGTGCTAAGAAGTTGTTGACTTACGAATTTGATGAATTGCTATCTATGAATATCTTGCCGATCCTTTGTAAATTGAGTATGGGTTGATATTGAGAGAGCTCAGAAAGGAGTATAATCTAAGACCAGGTTGGATAGATGATCGACACCCCACAAAACCCTGGGCTAAGGGCTTGGCTAACCTGGAGCTATCCTTGTTTTGCATTCTGCAAACTGGCGAGTGATAACAAAACTGCCACGAATGAAATGAGTCTATATAATTATTAAAAATAGTCTAGGCTGTAATCTAAGCTGTAAATACAAATGCACACAATACAATATATCCCCGCAGCACCTTATTTTTCCGCGATGGCCTGCTTCCAAGAGCTAGCAACTTTACCCCAATATTGTTCAGGATGAAGCCTCATATGTCCCACATGCGGCGAGCCTTCAAACATCTCAAGATCAACCGAGTAGCCCAAAGTCTTAGCATGAGCAACATTCTCCTCCAGGTCCTTGTACCCAATAATCTCATCTTCCTTGGAGTACAGGTAAACTCTGCTAGAATCGGTCGTGATACACGACTTATCATTCATAATCCTGTCCGCCCACACCCCGGAAGCCTCGGAGCCGCTGATGAGTTGCCACAAGTAACTGCCCCAGAGGAACAGATACCACATACCCTGTGTGATAACGAAGGGCCAAGGGAAGAATTTGGCAGTGCCGACCGCCATAGCACGCGACCACCGGGTAACCTGGGAAGTGAAGACCAGACTTCCAGGCGTGGAATCCAACACCATGAGCTGGTGGGGGAATGGCTTGTCTGCGCCATGGCGTCGCTGGTACGCGACAACGACGGAGGCAGCGAAGATGGCGCCGGTGTTTGACATGGCATGCACAAGAAGACGCTCCTTTTCGTTGCCGCTGCCGGTTGGCGTCGGGAAGACGGTATCAACGACCGGCATCATGTCTGTGATTCTGGCTTCCTCGGCTTGGTGGGTGGCCTGGAAGGTGCGCGATAGGATCACGATGATCCGTGCGGATGGGTACAGTTCATTGTAGCCGTCGGAATATTTGGTTACGTGTTTCGGCATGCCATCGCCCCAGCCGGAAATAATGATTGTTGTTGGCTCGTCGGCTGGGGATGGTTTGGCCTTTTCGTGGCCATTGCGAAGGTATACTCGATCAGATATCGGGGTGAAGCCCGGGAATGGAATAGGTTGTGGAGCCATTGAGATCTGCGCAAAGGGATATAGCTTGATCTATGTTGTAGCTGTTGAAATATTTTGTTGGCTTGGTCTTCTTGTTATATACTATCGTTCTAAAAAAAAAAATTGAAAAATGAAAAAATGAAAAGAAAAGAAAATCTCCTTCAGTGAGTACGCATCTAATCACCTGTGGAAATTATCCTAATGTAGGAGATAAAACATTGGTCGACCAACAATGGTTGGGATCTGTCTGATGTCTCGCACCAATCTTTGCCTGGCAGGTGGAGTTGTTGGGAAGAATCATCACAATATAAAAGGACCTCGGCAATTACCTGATTGGGCGAATTCATATGATTTATGCCTGAGGCATAAAATAATAAGAAAGAATAAGAGAGATTCAATTCAGTTTTCAACACTTAGATGCTTGTAGATATATCTCATTATAATGGACTTGAGAATTACCACAACTACCAGAGCAATCAACTCTTACTCTTCACAACATCTAACTAACTCGATCCTTAGATCTATGCATAACAACTTGTCTCCACCCAGGAGAAACCCGTGGACCAAAACGCATAAATCCCCGAACTCTGAAACCCAAAGACAAATTCTCCACTGCACCAAAGTCTAGACAACAAGCCAAGCCTAGTTCACACAGACTATTCCATGGGAATAAAGTTGACCATCCTCACCCGGCCGCAGGACTTTGCCTCTTCGCTCCGGAATGAGGGCACACTAAAATGCCATACCAAAGAGTGCAGTCCCCACAGCCCAAGTTGTTCATGATCGAAGTTTTGGAGCCGATTGGATGACTGTGAATAGAATAGGTCAGTGAGTTGGCGGTCAATACCTGGAATATAGTTGGACGTAAATAGAACAGTCGCAGTGGTAATAGGGTTCTGAGCTGAAAAGGAGGTGTGCTGTGGAGAATTTGATGCCCAATGATAGGGCCCAGATCGGAAGTCAGATCATAGGTGTAGATCAAGTCCACACCTAGTTTCCAAGGCTCCATGAGGATCCTGCACCGCTGTAGATACTACAGGCTCCGGTAAATCAAAACATACCTGCAAGTGCTCGAGGATAGAGGACTTGCGGATAATTTTTCAAACCCGTCCGGTATCATGGTAGCTTTGCAACTCTTTCGCTGCGCCTACACTCACTAGTTATGTTGTATGTTACGATGTCTCAAGGTGAAAACGTGATCCAGCTAAAAGCGACATTATACAACACCCTTGGGTAAACGACAACGTCAGTATAATTTCCGGTATTTATTTTCTCTCCTCATGGGTCCATTGACTTTGTGCTTCAACCAGCAAGTACGACAGGACAATTAGATAAAGCAGTCCTTGCCCCCCCCCGTGCTAACAGCATACGACGGACTCGGTCACTTCCCAATTTTCGCAGCCCGGCGGAGAACCTCGCACTGAAACTGCCGGGCGATCAGACGGGTATCGAGCTCGATGCCAGTAACATGCCGAGCAACCGTATAGCAGCTTCTCTTCAGTAGCATCCGGATGGAGACCCCACGAATTCGTCCTCAAGCTCGCGTTACCACAATGGCGAGATACACGTCACCTACCGGTCCCCTTTGCCCTGCTTTGGAGGTGTTGAACAATCTCCCATGCATGCATGCATGTTGTTTGCTGCAGACTGAGCCTTTTGATATTGTTTGCTATTTGCTATTTGTGAGCAATGTTCAGATGGTTTGCAGGGTATATAAACCCCCTGCATGTTTAGTTTTAGCAATTAACAATTCTTCTTCTGCTTTTTTCCACTCTCGTAATCTAAACCCATACATTGTTCATCAGGAGGCATTGTATGGTTCAGTGAGTGAAAGACACTGAGGGGGTATCCCGCACTGCTTCAATGGCTCTAGGTACATATCCTCGCTGGTTATAACCAATGGTTTTCTGAAATCCGGGTCTTCGCGCGGTGCGTATATGTTGAGAAATAATGTCGTCGCCTGCTCTAGTAGGCGAAATGGCAATTCACTTCCATTCTTGGAAGGTCGTCATACCTCTCGAGTCTTTTTTGAAAGCGCAACCTTGTCGGTAGGCTGGCACAACTCTATGAATATTTACGAAGCAATAAACGTACATTCATGCTAGAAGCGAATGTGGGGTTTGGTTGAGGTAGGGCTTGCGTGTTAAGCTCTGAACAATGCTTCAAAGGCGAGGGAATAAAGTGTGCCGTCGAGAGATGTCAGAACCGCGAGATGAAGGGACTGATGAATACACTGGAGGTGGTGGACCTCGTTCGGAGATGTTTCTAAATGCCTTTCTGTGACGTGGCATGAACACAACGGAGATATGAAGAGTGCTTCGGCGTCAAGAGGCGTTGGGAACATGACAACCTCGGGAACTGTCAAGATGTGTAAAGGGAGGATGAAGATGCATAGCAATGTATAATTGATGTAGTAAATACTGTGTACTGGGTAGAAAGCAGGAGTAAGATTCTTAATTGCTAAAACTTAATCATGCAGGGTTTATATCCCCTGTAAAAACCATCTGATCATTGCAAATAGCAAACAATTAGGAAAAGGCTCAGTCTGTAGCAAACATCATGTATGCTTACATGAGAGATTGTTCAACAATAATTATAGTTTTTGCCTCATCCTCATAACCTGTTACTGTTATGTATGTGGTACTTCTTTTCAACCTCGTGTCAAACATTTTATATATTTTTAATATTCCAGCGAGAGGGTTGTTGTAGCTATTAGCTACTGGAGAAGATGATGAAGAGGAAGAAGAAGAGAATTGTTCTGTAGGGAGAGCAGGGTATTTATACCCCGAATCTAACAAACAAACGCTTAGTTTGCAAGGAAACGACGGGAGATGGGATCATCTTAACAAGGCAAAGTAAAGAGACAAGTAACACGAGCATAGCAGAGTACGTCCACCATTCTACCTACTTTCAGTAGCAAACTTAAAAAAACCGCGGAAAAGGTACAATGCCATGCAAGGCGGTCTGTATGTTCTATATGTGATCCTGCAGTTTATCCATACTGTGCAAAGTAATGAAAAGAAAATAAATGTACAATGGCCAGATCATTACCCAGCCCCGATTTCAATCCCAGAAAGAAGGATCAGTATTCCTGCTGATCGTTCCAGTACGTCGTTCCAGCGGCGACTTCACCCGTGGGCTCAAGGTTCCACCTGAGAATCAACTTAACCCACTGCAACAAGTGACTCGCAATCTTGACATGACCCACATCCGTAAGATGGTTCTTGGGGTTGATATCGTTATGTTGCAGCAGACCCTCGGTGGAGAAATAGTAGACGAAACCACGGTCCTTGAAGTGCTCGTTGACCTCCCGGGTCTCTTCCTGGTAGTAAGTGCTACCGACGTACTTCTTTCCTTCCTTGGTGAAACTTCCCCATTGAGACTATTGAAGATTAGTTAGATGACCATCAATATTTACAGTCAAAGTTCTAAATTGAACAAGACATACCATGAGGATGATGATCGCATTAGGCCAGTTAGAGTGGATATCCTCCACCAAGTCGACGTAGGCATGGTAGTAATCCCTGCCGGGGATTTCGTTGGGCTTACGGTGATCGTTACCGCCCATCTGGATGATCACAAGGTCGGCCGGTTGCTCTGCTTTCACGTCCCACTTCTCGGGGCTGCGATCGTAGATCGAATGTGCGCGAGACCCCGGGTCTGAGGCACGATGCCAGTACCAGCCCTAGTGGTGTTGTTAGTTGGTGGTGAAGTTCTTAGTGAAGACACGGGGCTGGTGACATACCACGCCGCGAGAGCCGCCGTTGTAACATTGTTCATCGGCGAGACACACGCCGGGATAGGCCTGTGAGACTGTCAGCATATCGGATCGAGGATTCTTAAGTATGAGTGGACTAACTGTGATGCCATATTCGACATTGCCCAAGCCGTTGGCGAAGAGGAAGGACCATGAGGAGAGTGTCTCATAGGTGGCGAATTGTCCAGATGCAAGTCTTCGGGACAGTTAGTTGCATGGAAGAGTAGGTGGTGAAGATGGGAAGACTCACGAGCCGCCGATGATCTCAACTCTCTTCTCGAAGGTTGGGGGCTTAGTGAGGACAGCGTCATTCGCGACAGCTACGCCAGCGATTTGAACTGTGTGGACGGTAAGCAACGAACAGATTGAACGACAGGGTGAGACTTATCCAATGCCCCAATTTGTCACTGCAGTGTGGTTAGTATATAGACCTTGCCACTGGTTTGATGGAACACGTACCTCTCATCTCAAATGTGTTTTTCTCTACGGGTTCATCGCCATCTTTGAGCTCTGACTCTGGACCAACAAATTGATAGGTTGACGAGGCGGTGACATTAGAGAATTGCCAGTCAAGAGAGCCAATCCTGCTGACGATTAGGGCAATGAATACATAGAGAGGGAGATGATACATACCGGTAGGCTACTAGAACACCTGTGTCGGTGCTTGGGCCGAAGTGGACAGCAAGCTACAATGGAAGTTAGTATGTGGACCCATTTTTAAGGTTGACCGGAATGGACGAGACGTACCTTTTCCCCAGAGAACTCGACTTTGATTCCCGGTGCACTAAGTTAATTAGTAAACCGATAAAATAATAGAGAATGTGATACATACGACCACCCTAAGTATCAATCCAAGGTTAGTATTAAGGTTAAAGCCAGAATCCGGGGAAGAGGAGCGGGATATGGGGAAACATACAAGAAATGTGTTGGCTATCCCAACGACCTTTGTAAGATATCTCCGGAGCATCCGCAGGATAGTCCCTCCACGAATCGTCCAGAGTCACCGGTTGTAACTGGCCTGGGTATGCATTCTCTCTCACTTGACCGTTCTCGAGAATGGTGGCGGAAGCAACCAAGGCCCATGAAAGTAAGGCCGTAAATGTTTGTCCAAGCCGCATTTTGGAAGTGAGAGTTGTTCCCACGCGAATTCTGGTTCTTCGACTGTTACGCTCCTAAGCCTCATCAAGTTTCTCCTGACTAAGGGGTAAATTCAGAGTGTAAATGGATGTGTCGGGTTGAAACCAAAATTGCGTGATCTTGGCCCGCCACCACCCGGTCTTGCCAAGTTTGTGTGTTTTTTTGGGTATTGTCATATCAATTACAGTATCCTCTGAGAACCATCTATCTGATCAATTTCCTGACCCTTAAATCTTTCTAAATTGATAATAGTGGGTATCGGTCCACCCCGAGGCGGAAATTGGTAGCTCGAGAACGGTTAGTAGAAAAAGCGCACAGTGGCTAAAAGAGTATCTCAACCCCGAATGATATATATATGTACGTATGAGGTATGTTAAACGTCAATACCTAGGCCCGAGTCGGGGATATAGACAGCTACATACATATGTATGGATAGCCACCACATACACCCCTGCACATATATTATAATACCATGTAGGAGAGAAAGACGATCTTTTCTATATAAATCCCTCCAGGGCTGAAAGGCAGAGTTTCGTATTTTGTCAAATAAATGGGTCGCCAAGATCCGAGCTAATGCCCATTCGATTAAACAAAGATGCACTGTGCTGGCAGTAGTGGGAAGAAGATCCCCATAGGGCTTGAATTCCTTTTTTTTTTTTTTTTTTTTTTTGCTGTGCATCACGTTAGCTACATATCCCCCCTAGCCTTACAGAGATTATGCTGATTTGTGGTTCTAATAATAGACAGAAGGCAGATATATAATATATGCAAGTTGATTGGGACTTAAAATAACTAGGTTCAGTCCACGTTGTTTGTGTATACTGTCATGTGGTCGAGGACCGAGGTTAATGGACTCCGTACGGAGTACGTACAACATACAAGAAGACTCAGGGTTGGACGATCAACTGTCATAGGACAAATAAACAAATACAAAGTTGAATTAATTTCGGGTTCAAATTCGAGACCCATTCTTTCAATAGTCTAGCACACCTAGCACGGCACCTGAATAAGTCATCCCACTTAGCGGGAGCCAAGAGGTTCCTTTACATTATTGGCTGAATGTGATATTATTTAGTTTCCGATGTATGTTTCAAATCCCTTCGCTTCAAATCAATTAACTTCAAGTGTCACATTCCAAAAGGAAACGGAATGTGCTTTTTGTAGAGTCTCCTGTTCACCATTCCTGAAACTGTGTTCATGGGGGGTTGTGTGTCGGGAAGTTCCCGACGGCTCTGGCGATCCTTACGGAGTCCGAGTGTCAGATAACGTGCACAACATACAACGTTGGAACCTATCCGTACCCCATACAACACGGAGACTTCATATGGAGTTCATACTTCATAACTATACTCCGTAGTTAGTATACAACATACAGAGTAAAACCGCATGAACATGTCTAGGGTCCTCGGTTTCGTATTTGGCGGAAATAGGGGGCTGACTTTCCTTGAATTCCGTCCCCTTCGATCCCCTTTAGTACGTTGATACGGGAGGAAAGAGGCCAACGTAACCGAATTTCAAAGAAAATCAATTCGAAACCTAAATTCCGAATTGCCGCTGAGTATGAGTTTGACCAATTAAAATCGAGACCGGGGCGACGTGCCAGAAATGCCAAGATCTGGCGTAATTTGAGGCGGCCTTGAGCCCATGGTTTATAGAGGGAAAATAATAGCTCTTGATTGGTTGGTTTTATACTAGTTCGTGCAAAGCGTCGTCAGCTTCTACATCTATTTAATAGCTTAATTTGTGAGAGGCTGGAGATAGCTTCAATCTGCTACTTGGGTTAACCCCTTTCACTTGTTTGTATGGAGTCCGGGAACGGAGTATGCAGGATAATGCTCATCCCCGACGGCATAACTATGTATTGGTACATACAATACATGCCAGTTACCTATCTACCCTGGACGCGTTCTCTTGATCTAACTCCGTAGAAGGCAACAGAATACGGTAAACGAGCGGACTAGATTTATGCATCTTATGTATAATTTACATATGACAATACAGGAGTGGTATTACAATTGTTACAATTGTTACACTTGTTACACTTGTATACTTAAGCCCCACGCGATACAGTTGTAAATTGTAAATTCCCCAGCTCCAGTGGCCTCAATTCGCCTCCCCGTTTTCTACTTGGCATCTTCGACTCGTGGGGGATGGACTTCGGATTTCTCTTACATATACCCCATTCTCCTATCTTGATCACTTTTTCCTTTGGAACTTTTCTGTGCGATCTATGTTGTACGGGGAGATTTCGCATTTCAAGCCTCTCTTAAACCTTATTCGGTCCCTTCCTATTTCTTTTTTAACCAGCATTTTCTTTTCTTTTCTTTTCTTTTTTTTTTTTTTTGCATTTAGGCATCTCTTTGGAGCTTCAACGTTCAATGTTGATGGTCTCATTTGACTTTCGATTCCAACCAACCTACTAGACACCCCGAGTATCCTATCGGACTCGTTCGGTCTCTCATTCACTCGTTACAACACTCGTCATGGAATACATACAACCCAACCATATTTACTCGCGCATATTGGACAACATTCCCTGGAAGTCCGCAGATTCATCGGTGAAAGGTGATCCGCGGAAAAGTGTGAAGTGGATTGATGTGCGTTCACATCTCAGCCTTATAGGGATTGAAACTGGTGACTGACATCAAATCAATAGGGTCTCCGAGGAATCGCCTCATTCCTAGTGATCCTCACTCATCTAGCCCGAGCATGGGATTATGACCTCTTCGCCCCCCGCGACGATGTTGACAACCCTCCCCGAATTCTGCAGTGGCCCGTCCTCCGTATCCCTTGGCAGGGTCGTTTGGGTGTCACCATCTTTGCCTTCTTAACTGGTTACGTTTGCGCTCTTAAGCCGCTCAAACAGTCCCGCAATGGCGATATCCTTGGATCCTTTACATCGGTTGGCAAGAGTGCCTTCCGCCGTCCACCTCGCCTGATCTTCCCTGCTACCATCGCCTTGCTCATTTCATGGGTCATGGCACAGTTTGGGGCCTTCATCGCCGCTAATCGCTCCGACTGTTGGTGGTGTCGTTACGCAGCCGTCGACCTGGCGCCTACTTTTTGGGAGGAGTTCGTCCGGCTGTTCAAGACCTTCCTTGAAGTTTGGACCACGGGTTATATGGCATACGATGACCACCAGTGGGCTTTGCTCCCGCTGCTCCAGGCATCTATGTTGATTTACGTCCTTATCTGCGCAACCATGTTCTGCAAATTCCGATTCCGTGTGGCCATCTATCTGGGAATGTACCTCTACTTCCACCAAAACGCAGCTAAAAACACGGGTAAGTTCTACGTCAAACCTCAACAATACCCACCCTGGTACTAACGAAGAAACAGAAACCTTCCAAATGCAGGCAATCTACGGTATGTTCCTCAGCGATCTCTCATATGAGAACGGTTTCAAAGAATTCGTCGAACGTCACAGCTGGGGTCGCAAGATCGTAGCAGGCCTCCTTCTCTGCCTCGGTCTCATCGTCTGCTCATACCCCGGCGAACACCCCGAATGGGCCACTTGGTCAACCTATATGGAACAAGCCTCCCACTACATCTTCCCCCCCGAAAGTCAACGTCGGCAGACGCTACTCCGCCTTGGGTGTCGACCTCATCATTTTCGCCATCTATATCTCACCCTCCACCAAGGACTTCCTCTCCAGCCGCCTCCTCCTCTGGCTCGGCAAACAGAGTTTCGCCGTTTACCTCGTGCACGGCACTCTCCTCCGCACCGTTCTGTGCTGGATGCTTTACGGAATTACCGGTCAGCCCTGGGACGGTGATATCGTCGACGAAAAGGGTAACCCGATCTACGGCGAGGACGGTGAACCCCTTCACCCGCACTGGATCCCCATCCGCGCCCCTTGGGTCGTGGCTATCAGTATCCCGGCTTGGATCGTGTTGGTATACTTCTGTGCCACTTTGTGGACGGGATATGTTGACCCCTTCTGTGCGCGCATGGCGCAAAAATTGGAGAAGTGGATGTTTGAGGAGAGTGAGCAAGCTCCACCCCAGCTACCCATGACTAGCATTCCTATGCAGACAGCTTAATTTCGGAGCGTTGTGGTAAAGACGTGGAAACGATTCCTTAAAGAAGTGATGCCCTGGCGGCCTGAGCTTCCTATCAAGTGTCTATATGTCACTCTATTACATTGACATCCTCATATCTTGCATTTCTTTTCTATGATTCACCATTTGTTTCTTTCCTTTGCGTATTTTTGTCATATTTGTTCAGATCATGATTGGTGTTTTGTTTTTCCTGCCCCTCTATCTTTTCCGGCTTTTTCTCTCTACAAAATGGAGACAATCAAGCCGAGGACTGTCCGTGACGGTGGATAATTTCGGATTGTACATATGAACATAAATATCAATACCCAAATGACTTGTATAAATACCAAATCCCTAAATCAACCTTGTGAACACCAACTGCCGAGTACCACGTCACACAGCCTGCCTAAGCACCCAGACCTCAAGTCTCATGACTCGTGCTGAACATCCAACACCCTGATCAGAAGAAGAAAAAGGGGGCACGACAAACCCTTAACTCCGAAAAAGAACCATTGACACCAGACCCCACTACAATAATGAATACAAAAACACGGTATTACCAAAAACCACAAGAACCATGTCATTTCCCCTGACAGCCGCCAAGCCATCCGAACACTCGAAATAAGGCTGGATCCTTACTGCCAAGGAATCCAACCCTGGCGACTTAACGCCTTTCGAGAGTATTCGGGCGGCCCAATGCGCGCCAAGACCCTAACTGAGGATTTCGCTTTCGTACCCACAACCGATATAACCACGTCCCACACTCTATCCGCGGGCGCTTTTGGACACCGTTGTCTGTGAGCAATCGAGAAAGTATCCACTCCACCTCCTCCCCCGATCCTCCGTATCTTTTCCTGCCAATACGAGAACCGTCTCTCCCCCCGTGATTTCTACGGTGGGTTCCTCCCATTCCATGTGGGTTATCATACGAGCATGGGCCGTTCCAACGGAACCTTGTTCCATATTTTCGAGATTGAGGCTTGCTGAGTTGAGATCATTATACGGTTATACAACTGTTGTACGTATGTTGTATGTTGTATGTTGTATGTTGTATATCCGCTCTGCACATCGGCTACAGGATCCAGTTTGCGCGAGCGGACCGAAGGGATCCGGTTCGGAGTGGACGGCTGGCCTTACAATAAAGTACGTACAGGGTAACTATGTTGTAGTTACTAAGTGCATACAATATAGGTTGATATAATGTACTCCGTATGTTGTACAGACCACGGAGCATGTAGTATTTCGGTGAGTTATCGCCCGCCGATCAAACACCATGTCTTATTCGATAAGGACACGTTTGTGGTTTTCGAGATGTCTTGGTTCAATCCCCCGAAGAGGTAGGATTGTTGGTGGTCACTCCGTGTCTGGCGGAAAAGTCGGAAATCAGCGTGGGGCTTGATGGATGATCATCTCGCCTTACAAGACTTGCATGGATTAGGTGTTTTATTTGAAACGGTTTCGAATGATTTACTCCGAACTATTTACTCCGAACTGAGACCGAGGGTAACTATGTAGTACATGTCGGTTTTGTTAGGCGCTTTGGCCGGCTATTATTAGTTTGATAGAGCTTCGGGTAGTTTTATTTTATTCTGATAGGTCTTTAGTTTTATTCCGTTAAATGATCATCTACGTTGTACCTCTATAAGAGAAGGATAAAGAGTACGTATGTACTTTTTACTGACGAAATCTCAGTGGGGTATAACATCAGAGTTGTGATCAGTCTTAGGGAATCCATGGGTACGCTAGCGCCAAGCTTCAGGTTGTATATTCGTATCCCATTGAAATTGACCACATACGTCTATGTATAATGACACCTAGAAGTTGTAAGATATCAAAGTGATTAACTAGTTTAATTCGAATAGTTATATCATAGCCATGTATTCCTCTGTGTACGCCTATAAATATCAAATGATGTCTTGGCATGGTTCGTCCTCTCTCAAACTTTATACTAGGCTACTACTTCTACATCTACAAAGTTCTATATGTTCCATTCTCACATCACGACGGATGTTGATAGTGAATAACTCAACCGAGACATTTCTAATTCAAGATATGACGAAAAAATAAAACGCGATCGTCACCGTATGCTTCCCTTCACAGTGTGGTATTTCCTCCAGTCTAGTATCCATACCATGCAGCACGGCACTGCAACCAATACATCCATTGTTGATGCAGGTAGTTCAACGCAGCATAGGCCTCCAATGGGTCCAGAGCAATGGGAGGGATTGTTGGGTAGTCGATACCCTGACCAGGGACACCTTGCGCAGCACCGAATACAGCAGGGCCGTAAACTATGTACTAAACGTCAGTATATTGCTTCACAGGATATGCAACCCATATTAATAGGGGATGGGGAATGATGGCTCTGGTAGCTGCAAAGAATATACCTTTATTCTTCTTTCCCCGGCCCCAGCGGGCAATAGGATAGGCTGTCTTGCGATCAGCGCCCTATTATGTCAAACGCTTTATGTCAATATTTCGTTCTGTTAAGCAGTCCCTTGATGGAAGACTCACTGGGCCTTGGGACATTCGAACAGCCGTATCGAAGTTGGTCAGGTCTTGGTAAAGAACATGACAGTGGGTGATCAAGTGTCCTTCCACTTCACAGTGCTTGCACCACAACTATGATAAGATAGTCAGTCTTCGTGTCCCTGATAGAGATGCTGGTGCTGCGGTTTCTGGGGTATATGGTGAGGACAGAGACGGGAGGGTGTTAGAATATATATATTGATCTTCGTTGGGAAGTTCTTAAGAGAAGATGGTGCGGAGGGTTGGGTCTTCAGAGAAGGCAAGATAATCCCCCACGCAGTGGGATCAGACCATGTTCTGCTCAAGCCCGCTGGCGGTATATCGACAGCGTTCCAAAAGGTGGGAATTATTGGGATCGATGTTTGAGGGGAGGGGTCATGAGATAATATAGTGAGACTATGGATGGGAGACACAGTAATCAGCAAGCAGACAAAGATAGGCTCTTACAGGGTGCTGGTTGGCATCAGCCATGGCTCAAGAAGAGGGTGGAGAAAGGTTGAAGGTTGAAATGATGGCTGGATGTGCAGATTGTGGTGTCGTAGAAGTGGTGGATTTCGACCGTATGAGAGGAGAAGAAGAAGAGAAGAGGAGAAAGAAGATGGAAGGGAAGGTTCTATGACGAGGGCAAACAACGGGGGCAAACGACGGGGAGACATGAAGTTGTGAGATTAGATGAAATTTGTGAACTTCAAGACCATCTCATCTCTCTCTGGGTTTGGGCTCTTTGTCTCTTATCATTTTAACTCTCACTCTCTCACTTCAGATTGACTTGCCCTTCACCTGCACAGGCTTTTATGTTTTACTGCCGGCTAGGAGTACATATAGGTGGGTAAAACTAGCTCTTTTGGCCATAATATAGAAGAGCTGATATAGTTTGTTAGACTATCCATAACTCTCTCTTCGGCATCTGCCAATATCACCTTGTCTCTTCACATGGTTCGTACTCTCTAATGATTTCAATACTCGATAGCTACTCCTAGAATTGACAGCGGCGTTATAGGACTATTGGTATGCCAAGGTCATTGCCACACGAGTTCGGTTTGATGTCTATCAGGGACGTGTGCAAGACATGCGAACACTTCGGAACTATGGGGTAGTTCCGTGGGATGGCGAGTGGGTATTGAAGACCAGCTGGCTCCACATGCGACTTTCCTGGAGAATACCTATTCCGAATGACTTCAATGATAGGCCTGTTCTGAGATAGAAATGATAGTACGATCAACAAGTAAGAGACATATTTGATCGGCATTGCAGGTTGAAATATGGGGATCATATAATGAAGTCAGAATTATATATGCTAAATAAGATGCTCATCTCCGGTGAACTTTTCCTTCGTCATGTAAATGTATACCTGGCCAGTGTGATAAAATCATGGACGATATTTCACGACCATAATATTCGATAAGGCAGGGCAGTGGGGTTCAAACTGATTTGGATCGAAATGATAATAATAAGAACCAAGCTCGCCAAAATGACCTGAGCGTAGGGAGTTAATTAGCATTCGAAGACTGGCCACCGTCCTAGGGAGACTTACCCCAAATGATAAAATTCCCACCGAGTTTAACTCCCACCCTCCAGCATATACTTTCCCGCGAACAATAGCATTTTGTTGTCTCCAGAACCGGAACGCACCTATCAAAGCGACGATAACAGCCACGAAGTGACAGGCAACCGAAAGAGGGATACCGACTTCGTAAAACGACAGGCGATCGACAGTTTGAGACGGCCGTTGTAGACGGAAAAGTTGCGCAACAAATACCCCTTGCATAGCGATCACCGTGGAGGTGCGGATGTACGCAAGGAACGTTCTTTCTAGGGCTTTGATGATGTCAATGAGAGTGTCAACAGCGTGTCCACAGTACAACGTACCAAAGTGATCTCGATTGCTCTTCTGCGGCACGGTTATATTGACATGTCGAGCCCAGAACCGACAGAGCTGGCCCCAAAGGCCCTTGCGGGCTTCGCGTCTACGGGAATCCGCTTGGGACGTAGTCCGGTATGTAGACACGCGATGCTCTTCGCCAGACGAACCGGATGGTGTCGAGTAGTCCAAATCATTGTCTTCTTGCGTTTGGATTGAGCGGAGCTCTAATGCTTCGCGGTCGTTATCGCGGGTGTCGGCTGTCGGGCGGGAGTCGGTCATAATTACGTTGGGCGGTTCCTCAGGAACAAAGGCTTCGTGAGGCGCGATCATGATGAGAGATTGAAGGAAAATGTAGATGATAGCATTGCGGGATGTCCTCAAGCTGAGTGAGTTTGTCTTGAGGAAGAGTGAAGGTCTTAAGGACAGGGATTGTTTCTTGTTGGGTTCCCCGGGGATCGGCTCCAGCCGAACGTCAAACATTTGCCCCGCATAGGTATGGGGATATATATTGTTCTTTGGGGATATTATTTAGTATCAAAAAAGTTCATAGAGTATAGACAAAGAGGTTGACGATATATCTTGCATTTGAAACTAGTATGGAGTTATATACAATCCACTTGTATACTTATATTGTACGCCTCCATTGAATTCCACATTGACCAATCAGGGGCCATAGGATGGCGATTGCATCATTTTCACCCCGTTATGTTGGAATGTGCTGCCAATGACAATCCTTCAAGGCTTCACAAACCAATGATTTAGTGCAGGATCGGCTGTTTTCTTAACTACAAATAGCTAGCCCGAATCTAAAAGATACAGATGTGTTAGATCCTAGTGTTGCTTAAATCTAACGTGTTTTCTGATTCAATGTTTTGTGTTGGAAGCCCCGTTGAGGAACATAATAGTGACCTCGGGATAAGCCCGACTATACTTTAAAACTGGTATATAATTGTCATCATTCAATGGTGAAATATTATAGTGTGCCTCTACTCCTTACCCCGTGAGAATGATACGGATGTTTTGATTTTCCGCTCCGGTGTCTGTTATCACCTGAAACACACGTATCAGTGCTCACAACCACCTTAACTATTAACCCTGGGAGGACAACTGTGGACTACATAACAGGTCTTTTTTTGAGTGGATAACTACTCAGCCTATAGAAAGAAATATGAATAAAATCCAACCACAGTGAGAAATCTCAAGCTATGACGCCCCCCTCATACTAAAATTAGGACCCGTGACCCGAAAAGGAAATGTTATCCATTGTCAACCCAAAAAGCGCCACATCAAGCTGGTTCGCCAATTATGATTGACCTGATGAGCTTCATTATCGACCTAGTTATATCAACGTGGGGCAACCAACGTTATACCCCTCCATTCCGATTGCTGGTAAATGACACCCGTGTTCGTTACTGCGGTTCTCGGCTTTACATCGCCGGAACCCGTGCGGGGTGTAATATCTTTATCTTCAGCTTCAAGATACACTACATAATTATTGTACGCCAATGCGGGGTATGGGAACAAGTGTACGAGAATGTCACACATTGTACAACTCATGAACTATGTGAATATACAAATAGAACGAGTGTCTGCCACTTTCTAATGGATGTATCATAATAACAATCCCATAGAATAATGTCACTTTCACAACGAGTTGTCATCATTGGAGCCGGTATCGTGGGTACCAACCTCGCCGACGAGCTGGTCTCTCGAGGATGGAACGATATCACTGTGGTCGAGCAGGGTCCGTTGCACATGCCGGGCGGATCGACATCACATGCCCCCGGACTCGTATTCCAGACAAGCCCCTCGAAGACAATGACACACCTCGCGCGATACACAGTTGAGAAGCTTCTATCGATAGAGAAGGATGGACACAAATGCTTCAATCAAGTAGGTGGTCTCGAAGTAGCAACCACCCCCGCCCGACTGGAGGATCTAAAGCGGAAACATGGATACGCCTCGTCATGGGGCATCGATGCCCGGCTAGTCAGCGCCGAGGAGTGCTTCAGGATGTATCCTCATTTGAATAACGAGATGGTGTTGGGCGGTCTGCATATCCCATCCGATGGGCTCGCACTAGCAGCCCGAGCAACACAGCTGCTCATTGAACGGACAAGCAAGGCCGGTGTTCGTTACCTCGGCCATACTCCCGTGACGGGAATTGAGCGGGATGGCCGGCGAGTCACCGGAGTCAGTACTCCAAGTGGAACTATCCCGGCAGACATTGTTGTCTCTTGCGCTGGGTTCTGGGGGGTTGAATTGGGAGCTATGGTCGGTGTGGACATCCCTTTGCTCCCACTCGCGCACCAGTATGCAAAGACCACAGCAGTATCCGCTCTCGCTGGGCGGGATATCAACAGCTTGCCCAATGGAATGAATGCCGCACTTCCAATCCTCCGGCACCAGGATAAGCGTCTTTACTACCGTGAACACGGCGGGCAGTACGGCATCGGATACTACGGACATCGTCCAATGCCCGTCGTTGCATCATCACTAGGGCTCACGCCCAAAGACGTTGATGAGCAGAACATGCCCTCTCGCCTGGAATTTACAACCGACGACTTCGACCCAGCTTGGAAAGAGACTCAGAAGCTCCTCCCCGCTCTTCAGGACACAGAAATCGCGGACGGCTTCAACGGCGTATTCTCCTTCACACCCGATGGCGGCCCACTACTCGGTCAACCATCCCATCTCGACGGCTTCTACGTAGCTGAGGCCGTATGGGTTACACACTCAGCCGGTGTCGCCCGGGCCCTCGCACAAATCTTAACAACCGGCCGATCCGAGATCGACGTTTCTGAATGTGAACTATCCCGCTTTGAAGAAGTCCAACTCAATCGAGACTACGTAACCGAGACCGGCCAGCAGAACTTTGTCGAAATATACGACATTCTCCACCCGCTTCAGCAGCGGGCATCGCCCCGCAATTTGCGTGTTAGTCCATTTAACGCCCGCCAGCGCGAGCTGGGTGCTGTGTTCTTCGAGACAGGAGGCTGGGAGCGGCCGTGGTGGTATGAGGCAAACAAAGATCTTGTCAAGTCCCTCCCGCCATCATGGAAACCTGTCGATCGGGATGCCTGGTCGGCACAGCTTCATTCGCCTATCTCTGCTGCCGAGGCGTGGAAGACGCGGAATGTCGTCGCTATGTTTGATATGACTGCTTTCCATCGGTTCGAAGTATCCGGTCCTGGGGCAGTCGGTCTGCTTCAGCGCTTGACTACTAGTGATATTACCACCAAGCCTGGAACCGTTACTTATACTCTTCTCCTGAATGAGCATGGAAACATTCGGGGTGACATCTTTGTACAACGACTTGAGGATGATGTGTTCCAGATTGGAGCGAACACTGCAACCGATCTGGCGTATCTTACCAGAGAAGCTCGAGTTCAGGAACAGAAAACCCCCGGGAAATGGATCCAAGTCCGAGATATCACAGGCAACACCTGCTGCATCGGGCTATGGGGTCCTCGCGCCCGGGATGTCATCGCTGGAATTAGCACTGTCGATGTTTCCAACAAGGGCCTACCATACTTCAGTCTAAAGAAAGCAATTCTCGCCGGTATCCCAGTTACAATGATCCGGAAATCCTACGTCGGAGAACTAGGTTGGGAAATCCAAACCAGTGCCGAGAACGGCCAACGCCTATGGGACACGATTCATCAAGCTGGCAAACCTCACGGACTCATCGCTGCAGGCCGCAGTGCATTCAACTCCATGCGTCTGGAGAAGGGATACCGGACCTACGGCACGGATATGACGACAGAGCACAATCCGTTCGAAGCTGGTGTTTCCTATGCCGTGGAAGCAAATAAGAAAGATGATTTCGTCGGCAAAGCCGCCCTCCAACGCCTTTCTAGCCAAGTACCCTCGCGGCGACTGCGGGCTTTGACCGTTGATGATGGTCGCTCGATGATTCTTGGCAAGGAGCCGGTGTTCTATAATGATAAAGTGGCTGGCTATGTAACCACCGCTGCATTTGGGTACACGATTGGTAAGCCAATTGCCTACGCCTGGCTTCCTGGGGGTGTGAGTGAAGGGGAGTCGGTGGAGATCGAGTATTTCGGAAAGCGCATCAAGGCAACTGTTGAGGTAGAGTCGCTTTATGACCCCGAGATGAATCGTCTCAGTCAGGATAGCTTGCCCTCGGTGACTGGACCACAGGCTTCCTTCAGGTCACGACTTTGATAGTGATGCATGTTTTCAAAGAAATGGGTAGATTGCTTCAATCTCCAACCAATAATTATAGCACATAATGCAGTAGTCCAACTTCGCTTCATATTCTTTTTCTCGCACGTAAGCTCAAACACCCTACAATATCATTTGAGCTCTGTGTATTTGATGTGCTTTATTTCGCATCGTTTGACATATTTCATCTGGCCAAGATGTTGGATTCATTGTATCACTTCCGGGCCTTAGTCGGCCATATTTCATGGAATATACACCTAACATGGGACATTCATGAGGCACTTAGAAATGCTAGAATTTGATTGGTGCTTACTCCCAAATAACTATGTACATGGATTATATGCACTATAGCGGACCTCCGCACGCACTGCCCCGAAACAAGCAATCTCAGCCAATGGGATTTGGACACACGGCCTGAAAGTGAGACATTGGGGGAGGCTCTTCTCTTAGCATAGTGAAGTGAGATATTGGTATAAAAGTAGGGTGATTCCTTGGTCGGATGTCCTCCAAATCTTCGAGTTAGTTCAGTGTATTGAGGCTATTCGAATTATACAACTACCCCTCTTCATATCCATCCTGATTGATTAGATAAATGGCATCAAAGTAAGTACTATTATTTGCAAGACCAATCCACCCAAGAAGAGGTAGACGAGAAGAAGATCAATGAAGAACTTTTGAAAAGCGAAAGCCCATTCACCGATATTCACTAAAAGTCTTCAAAAGCACTATTCATAATGGACCTCACAACATTGCTATCGTGAGAGCAACAGTGGACGACGTTCCAGCGGTGCTCCATCTCCTAGATACCGCAGTCAAATGGCTTGCATCGAATGACAGGACTGGGCAGTGGGGAGCAGGCCCGTTCTCGGAGAATCCACGACGCGCTGAACAACTCAAAGAGTTTGCAACAACCGGTCATGGCCTTTGGCTGGCCGTGAAGGTTTCTGGTGGCACTCCAATAGACCAAAGCCAACCCTCCAATATACTCACCAGAACTGTGGACGGAGGAGCTCCGGGATCTATCATAGGAGCACTTGCTATCGGAGAGAGAATGCCTTATGTGACACCTGTCTCTGAGTCTGAGCTTTACGTGCGATTAATAGTCACGGATCGACAATTTGCTGGCAATGGGGTTGGGAAACGTCTTTTGGAACATGCACGCGACCTCGCCAACGGGGCTGGAGTCTCATTGCTACGGGTGGATTGCTATGCTGGTGGCGATGGGAAATTGGTTCAATACTATGAGTCTCAAGGATTTAAGCGATTTGAAAACTTGAATCTCGAAGGAGGCTGGCCCTGTCAAGTGCTTGCTCAGCATTTAAATGAGGTAGAGCTGTCTTGAATCCATCATGATCTCAGATCTTCCAAATATGATTCTGGCATATCCCGGACGTGCCAAGATTGAGCGGATGCAGCCATGTGGTGTGTGCCCAGGTGGGGCAATATACTTACGTAATACACTCAACGTGGGCCGGGGAGGCCGAAGTATCTCGATCGCTTGCTCCAAGGGGTTTTCCTATTTCCGAATATGGTTACTCCTGCTCTTTAGATCAGGAATCGGGTTGGAGTGGTTGACGCTATGTATATCACTGATCCAAAAATAACCACACCCGCCATATCGTCGTCCCAACATAACCGTCCCAACCGCAAGAATCAACTCCTAAACCGTTGCACAATGGTGCGATACTTGAATCCTTAAAATGACTAACTATACACACAAAATACTATGTGGACCTGAAGCAAACCAATGCTAGTCACCAGGGTAGTTATACTCTGAATCTAGCAAACAAGCGCTCAGTGTGCAAGCAAACCACGGGAGATGGGATCATCTCAACAAAATCAAATGACTTCCTGGTCGACATAAAAGGATCTTGAAATTAATATCCCATCCAGAACGCGCGCTAGAGATTTGATTAAGTGGGCTAACTTTGATCGGCTAGCACCAAGCTCGGGTTTTTGCGGCTGATTAAAAGGGGCTCCAGGTTGACTATCCCGAACTCCCGAGTGATCGAGCTTATCTCCTGAGATCGCCATCCATCTGCACGACTGCTGATCACATCTATACAACGCAGCATGGCAGCTAGGATTTCCCGAAGCCTGCCACAGGCCAACCGCCGTGTTTTCGCGGGGCTATCTTCCCGTGCGGTATCTCGCGTTGCGAGCGCCAGTGCCCGTACTGGCTTGGTGGCACATCGCAATACTCGGAACCTCGCGCCTTGGTCCTCACGCGTAACACAGGCCAAGATCGCGCGAGAACTCCATACAGATTCCGACTCACCAGTCAAACCAAATGCTTCCATCCTCGACGTTACCACATACGAAGGATCCAGCACCACGAAGAAACATTGGATGAGCCAGGACTCACCAGTTGGTACGGTCCTACTTGTCACTGCGCCGCTGTCACCTCGCTAACGAAATCAGTGGATGCCTTGATTGAGCCGCAAGCTATCTTGCATTTTATTGAATTCATAACGTATGGTATTCTACCGAACGGGACGAAGACCGATTTAGCTTTACTCAATGAAGATGAATTCCCACTGTTCATGGCTCCAAGTTCTGAGTGGGCGCCTGTGCCGTTCAACAAGGCCACTCTTTCAACTGTGGAGAAGGCGATGAAGCAGATCACGGACCGGGAGGATTTGAAGGGGCTGTGCCGAATTGGGCAGAATATACAATTTCTCAAAAGTCGCCTCTGGGGAGGCCTTGCCCCTGTGCCTGCATCGCGGTGGCACGAAAAAGATCTCAACAACCCGGATCATTTCACGATCGCCCATGAGTATCTGACTTCCGTCATTGCTGTCTTTGAGTACCTAAATATTCCTCAGATACGCACTAACATGTGCGACACCTTCAACAGTATATCTGGTGACTTGGGAGAAATGCAGGAGGCTTTGAATGCACGGCGCAAGGCCCAAGGTGGCCTTTCGCCCGAGCTTAGCCTTACTGCCCTTTGGGAACAATTCATTCGTGCGCAGTACGAAGTCATGACCAGCACTGCCCATTCCTGGGTCCTGGCCCGCGTTGCCGAACTACGTGAACGGGCATTGGACAGCTTCAGTGAGATCCCAGGTGAAAATCCAGACGCCCCAGAAATGAAGGATGTCTCACAGCGGTGGAGCGACCTCATTTGCGTCGTTACAATGGCAGATTTCAATATTTGGCTGTCCATGGATGGGTATAACGGCTACCATCCGCCCTCCGAGATCATCGCTGGGCTACACAATCCGGACCTAAAAAGTCAAGGCGACAACTATGGGTTTTCCAAGCTCCTGGTTGACCGACTCAAACAATGTATCGAGGCTCAGAACGAGGCCGCGACGGTTCAAGGTCCAAGCGCGAATAAAAGTGACGCAGCCCGCCGCGAGCGCCTTTCTATTAGCACGGTAGTACAGGATGAACTACGTGAAAAGATACGTGGCCGGACGCCATCCCCGCAGCCACCTATACAGCCCTGGATTCAGAAAATCCTTCGGGCGCACGAGGCGAGCTTGAGCCTGGAGCCGTGGGAGAGACACAACTATGGCTTCGGATTAGCAATCTACCGCGCAGCGCACATGTTCTCCGATGAGCAGTGGGAAAACCTAAAGCGGGACCTGGAAGCTCACTTGTCGGCATGGGGTGCTGGCGTCCAGGGCGCCGACGAGCTGAAACCACTGCTCAACCTGCATTGGTTCGACTGCAAAGAACTAGGCTTCGAGACATTTAACCCCGTGAAATCGGCAAGGAGGTTCGACGACCCTTATCTTTCCCATCGCAAAATTCACATAAGCGAGAGACTAATGCTGCCCATAGACACTTCCAAGAAATCCGGTCCTCGGACGAGTGGAGCCATAAGATAGCACCATCTGTTTTCCTTCTCATTGATAACATGGGCGGGGGCTCATATATCGACGAGGAATTACGCGCCTCTTTCACAAAGGACAAAGGCCTCCTCAAAGGGGACTTCCAAGGCCATGTCCTGGCTGTCGACGCAGACTTCGATGATAGCGCCACTGCAAGCGGAAGTGCAGGCGACATTGCCGATGAAGACTCCCAGATTGAAGTCTTCGAATACCCGGGTCGAATGCGCATTCTGGGTAACCTAGTCTGGAGCGAGCTCTATCCTATGCTAATGCTGCAGTCTGTGGTACTTCAAAATTTCTGGCTGCAGGCCGGGGCACATCCGATGAAGGTATATACGGGACCTACAGTGCCGAGTCAGGTTGAGCCATGGAAGGAGCGACATGCCATGAAGACTGTTATGATGGATAGCTTCGTGGAGTTTCTAAAACAGAAGAATCCCACCTTGGCAGGAAAAGTAAAAGGGTTGAGGAAGGATGGTGTTATTTAATTTGTTATAAAACTTTAGTTAGTTATTGTATGTATACATATCATGTGGTTAGGGTTTGAAAGAGCATACGATATATTATCCTCGGAAGTAAAAGTAGAAAGAGATATTATTCCAAGACACTAGGGAAGTCTAGAGCGAGATGGCTGTCAAATAATAATCGCGAGCCACGGCTGAATGTGAGGTGGGGGCCAATCTAAGCTCCATGATTGGTTGATTTCTCAGACAAACGCTGTTAGTGCGTCTCGGCACTTCCCACCTTGGAAGGTCGGGTCACTGGCCCATCAGATAAGATTGAGTGGGCAGTTTTATCTTAGACTTTTCCGTCTCTTGGCAATCATATTTTCCCTGGTCTTTTCCTGTTTTTTCCTTTATGTTCTTTTTCTTCTTCTCTACATAACTGAGATCTGAGTTGTGCGATTCTCATTTTGCACGATTATCATGTCGCTCATTCGAGAGATGAACGCTGATAACCGTATCAGTGAGGACTCGAAGCATCCCCGCAACGAAGCCGTCCCACTAGATGAGCCTGCCAATCTGCTGGGTCAAGGCAGTCCGGGTGTTCGTCGTATCGAAGCTATTACATCGCACTTTCGATTGACGGATCGGGTCTGCCTGTTTTTTGCCATTTTCTTGATCGCCTATGTGTACGGCTTGGATGGAACCGTTCGTTATACATACCAAGTACGTATCTCGCATTGCTGACGTCAAGACATACCGACGAGGATGAAGCATACTGACACGCCATGTTTTCGATAGCCCTATGCTACTGAGAGTTACGGCAAACACAGTCTTCTTGCAACCATCAATGTTCTTCGAGCCGTCATCGCTGCTGCTGCACAGGTATGAAACCCCAGGGACCAACAATTCATCACACCAGCTGACCCTTTTTCTTTCACAGCCTACTGCGGCAAAGATTGCAGATGTGTTCGGCAGAGCAGAACTTATCATTGTCTCGATCATCTTCTATACCGTGGGTACTATCGTGGAGTCATGCTCAAAGAGTTTAGAGGGTTTTGCTGCGGGGGCTGTTATTTACCAGGTAAGATATATGACATCCGCCCATAAACTCTCCATCTGTGTCTAATATTGTCTAGATCGGATACACAAGTATTATGCTTCTTGTCGAAGTCCTGATCGCCGATGTAACCTCTAGCCGATCTCGTCTCCTATTCTCCTACATCCCGGCCTTGCCCTTTATTGTGAGTGCTATATGTACCCCACATACCAAACCACAACATATTAATTCACTGAATCTATTTTAGATAAATACCTGGATCAGCGGTAACTTGACTACTGCAGTTCTCAAGGTCACCAACTGGCAATGGGGTATGGGCATGTTTGCTATCATCTATCCCGTGTGCTCTCTCCCGCTTATTACAGTCCTTTTCATCGTCCAGCGACGTGCAAAGAAGGCCGGGGCACTTGAATCATACAAGAGCTCGATGCAGTTACTTGGAAAAAGGCAACTGGCTGTAGAACTGTTCTCGCATCTGGACATCGTTGGTAACATTTTGTTAATTGCCATGATGGCATGTATTCTTGTTCCATTCACCCTGGCTGGAGGCGTAACCTCACAGTGGAAGACAGCAAAGGTAATTGCGCCACTTGTCATTGGTGTTTTGCTGATCCCGGTCTGGATTTTCTGGGAGAAAACCTGCCAATACCCGATGTTGCCATTCAAGGTTAGTCAAATATTCCAAACCACGCTCATGGTTTTCTTTTTTACTAACTCGCTTTGGTTCTAGCTTCTCAAAGACCGTGCTGTCTGGGGTGCCCTTGGAATCCCTATTATGCTCAACACTGGTACGTTCGTCAGAATACCATCCATGATCGAGATTTAACATTATTTTAGCGTGGTACCTGCAAGGAGATTTCCTTTACACGGTGCTCTACGTGAGCTTTGACGAATCAATTCTCAGCGCCACTCGGATCACCTCTCTTTACAGTTTTGTTTCCGTTATCACAGGTGTTGTTCTCGGCCTCATTGTCATGAAGGTTCGCCAGTTGAAGCCCTTCATCGTGGCCGGAACCATGCTCTTCATGGTTGCGTTCGGAATCCTCATCTATTTCCGAGGTGGCGTTGCGAGCTCTAGTCATTCCGGTGTCATTGGTGCGCAAGTTCTGTTAGGTATTGGTAAGTTATCGTCTTCGGCCCAGAGTACGGTCCAGAGTTGGTTGAACGCATCTAACAAACCTCCCAGCTGGTGGAATGTTCCCCTACCCGGCTCAAGCCAGTATCCAGGTTGCATCTAAGCATGAAAGTTAGTATTCCTTAACCGACTTTGTCTTGTCCTATGAACAAAGAACTCGAGTGTTAACAATCCCATAGATCTCGCCGTGGTCACTGGTCTCTTCCTCTCCGCCTACAATGTCGGTAGCGCACTTGGAAACACGATCTCCGGCGCAATCTGGAACCAAGTCTTGCCTTCCGAACTGAATTACAGACTCGGTAACGAAACCCTCGCTGCGTATGTCTATGCCCAGCCTCTCGTGTTTGCAGCGGCCAACCCTGTGGGTACGCCCGACCGAGACAACGTTATTCTCGCCTATCAGAAGACACAGCGTCTGTTGTGTATCACGGGTATCTGCTTGACAGTTCCTTTGATTGCCTTCGCCCTGGTTATTCGTAACCCGACACTCACGAAGGAGCAGAGTCTTATCAAGGCAGATGAGGAGAGCGAATGATTCTAATTTTGCTCCTAGGTGAAACAGGGGTACGTTGAGTATGCGACGTGGTTTCGTTTAACATAACTTGACTTAACATATGTTGTCAAAGTACAACTATGTTTCTTTTTGTTAGCTCAGTGTCACTGCGAAATAATCTTAGAAGTTAGAGCATTAATTAGGTGATTAGCGGTTCATACATTTCTATTCAGTCTCGATCTATCGATAGTCACGTCCTTTTCACATCATTATTCATAATGAGCAAGAATACGACAAAAGGCTTCACTTGCCGCTCAGGAGGGCGAATATTTTTATGTAGTGCTAAAAGCTTCGTCTTAACGACCTAAAAATAGAGAGATATAAAGATTGTATAGTGCTCAAAAGCTAGAATGTTTTATATTCAAATGAATCGCTTATATTGCCTTGCACCAGGGAGAAGAAGAAGAGTCCTTATGTATTCAATCAGGGAAAAGCGGGGTATTTCCAAGGTTATACGGAGTACGCTGAATCCGACATTTAAACTTGTACTGTTGTATACACCGGTGTAACAAGGAGTTCAAGAACCTGGCCAAATCGGTCCATATGCCTGTGTAGTCGTACCATTGATATTTCCCGAAGGATATTTCCCGAAGGAGTCGGTTGCCGATTACTCCGTGTTTAACGTACTGCTACCAATGAAGATCTTCACTGTCGTACCCCGCCCCTCGCTCTTCGGTGTTGGTAAACAGCGACAAAGACCGATCGGAGCAACCTACGGGCGACTCCTATGTCATAGGGGAACAACTCTCTCATTGGATATAACCCGACCGCTGTGCTCACCGTTCCCCCGAAGCATATAATTTTAATCTGTATACTATTTTCAACTTGTCTTTTATTTTTATACCTATGTACATTAATCGCTCTAATTATTAGAGTCTATAGAGTAGATAAGATCATGAAGACATACAAAGTAACTAGTTAATGTATTGTGGTGGTTGTATGTAAAGGTAATTAATTGACTAGTTAACTATGGAAGGCATAGATTATGTGACTACAATATAATAAGACCTAACTACAGTTGGTCTTGAACCTTATAAAGATAAAATCATCTGTTTTATTCCGATCAATTCTATATACGATATAATTATACGTGATATATTTCAATTTGATATATTTGTTGTTATAGTGGCCTTAGGCCTCTGTGTTCATACCTCAGGCATCAACCGTTCAAGCAGGTAGTTAGTTGGCAGATCGTACCTCTCTCCCTCCACACTGTCTAAGCCTAACTTTGTATGGCATAGAAATACATAGCCATATAAAGCTAGTCAACTTCGGCATTAAGATTTACGGAGCAATTGCCGTCGGTACTAGTACTCTCGTTTTGTCCCCATAGTTAACAAATCAACTAACTAGTTCTTATATACGGATAGAAAAGGGGGATCTAAAATACTGTCGGGCAATATAAACCAATGAGAGAGTTGTGTTTCCGAGAGCATCTTAGTCGCCCGTTGCAACCTCCCGCTTCCCCCCGTCCAAATTTACGTAAATACGGTGCAGATGTCAGCATGCATTCGATCCACTTGACTGCAGGAAGTAGAGACCAGAGAAAAAGGCTAGTTAGAAGAAAAGATTTTTTAAGCCCTGATCTAGCGCTTAGACGAGGAGAATCGAATCTATTTAAGAGAGAAGACGCCATCCGACCCCATAATGTTGCCATCTCTTCTCACTCTCATTGCCTTATAGCAAGTTAAGCTTCTTATCATTCAGCCACCATATTCTATGCATATCACGTCAAGCTAGAACAATGACTATCACTACCATTGCCCCTGGAAACAATGCCCCTGGAAACAATGTTCAACCCCACCGAATCTTCCTCGCCAGTGTACCTCGTACGGCCTCGAATCTCCTCTTGAAGATTCTCAACATCCGCAACCAACCCACTGTTCTCACCAACCAAAAGAGCGGCTACTTCTTTTACGATGCCTTCATGCAATCCAGAAGGGACGGTTGCATCCACAAGCCACTAGACCAATGGACAACAGAGGAGAAGACCGAGCTCAAAGCCACCATCCAACAGTGCTTCAACAACATAGAAGACTACTCCACCCGCGCCCGCGCCGAGAAGAAGATAATGTTCACCAAAGAACACGCCTTCTGGTTCGTCAACCCGGGATTCTTCACGAGCGCCAGTGACGGTGCCTCAACCCCCGCACCCGAGCAACTGAAACAGTTCCACGTCTCCATCCCAGAATGCTACGGATCCTCGCAGACTTTCTCGGCCAATAACAAAACCTTCATGTCGGACGAGTACCTGCGCACCTGGCAGTTGGCTTTCATCATCCGTCACCCGGCACTAGTTTATCCGTCATTGTACCGCGCTATGCAGAAATTGTCCAAGGCTGGTTTTATTGACGAGGATGGTATTAAGGGTTTGTCCGTGGCGAACATGACTATGGAATGGACACGGAATTTGTTCAACTGGTGTCTCGAGCAGCCGGATGAGCCTGTCCCGCCTTTGGTCATCGATGCCCATGATGTGATTCATAACCCCGCTGCTGTGGTTAAGTTCTGTGAGAAGACTGGTCTAGATACTGCATCCATGCAGTTTGAGTGGAATGACTCTACGAATGTATCTGAGAACTGGACGAGCGGTGTGGACGAGCAGGAGGTGGAGACGGGTAAAGTTGCTGCTTCTATCATGTTGTCGACTTTGGAGGAGTCGACGGGTGTTGTTAAGGGTAAGGCTCCGATATCGGTTGATATTGATGCGGAGGTTGCCCAGTGGCGTGTTGAGTTTGGGAATGAAATTGCTGAGCTGCTTGAGAAGGCTACTCGGGATTCCATGCCGGATTATGAGTATTTGAAGGCTAGCAGAATTACTGTATAAATTGATGTGATTTATTCGTTACATGGAAGTGGTGTTTGTCAGTGCTCTCTTTGATATATTAGCAAAAAGAAATATCAGAGGTCAACTATCTTTCTTTCTTCCAACACCTTTCTCATACTCAATGCCTAGTTATGACGATACTACAACTCCTGAATAGGGATAGCACAGAGTACGTATCTTCGATATTCTAGTGTTTACATGCTTGCTTATGAGTTTAACCTACAGGTTGGTTCTTAAAGGGCCGGGTGCTTCAAGCCCTTGAAATACAACGATTGTCCTGTGCAAATGAGTCCTTCGTGTACGCAAAATAGTGTTTATGCAACACTACATGATAAACCCATCTCACAGGTGCGGTTTCCTATTTCCCAGCTCCTAATCATGATCCCTACTTGTCTACATCACATTCCCAGACCCAACCGGACGACACCACGCATGCAAGTGCCTATTAGGATAGTAAGCTGCAATACACTCCCGCCACTGCATATCCTCTTCCGTCGTACCGTCAATAGTCAAGTCAAAATGTCTTATCATAGTGGCGAAAGCGATATAAATCTCCGCCCAAGCCAAGTTCATCCCAAAGCACATACGCGGGCCCCGACTGAACGGCACTAGCCAGTGATCCAATTCACTCTTCCCGTTCCGGCCATTTGCATACCCCGAACTCTCCAGCCACCGCTCAGGTCTGAACACAAGCGCATCCTTACCCCATACTTCTGTGCTCTGATGCACGTGCAAAATAGCCATCCCCACCACCGTCCCGCCGGGGATATGTTTCCCTGATATCATGGCGCCACCTCGTGGTACGACGCGCGTTAGCGATACGCCGGACGGGATGAAGCGGAGGGATTCTTTGATGGTTGCCGTGAGGAGAGGTAGGGTTTCGAGATCTTTTAGGGATGGCTGCTGGTCCACTTCTTGCCAGACGGTTAGCAGCTCGGTTCTCAGTTGGGTTAGTAAGGTCTGGTTTTGCATTGCGTGCCAATGGCCCATTAGCAGCGTGTCGGCTACTGTGTTGGCACCTGCGAAAATGAGAGTGAAGCCTTCGTCGTGTAGCTCTGTCATATTTAGGACCTTCTTGCTCCGGTATGACTCCGGGTCAAGCATGCGGTGAAAGAGGGTTTCATGAGGCACGTTATTGAGCTTCGAAGGGCAGTTCAGGACGACTTTCAGTTGTTGCTGGACGAGATCCCGGACCTGGTACAGTCGTGGTGTTAATTTCTGAGCATTGGGGATGAGGCGCATGACCAAGCCCGGCGGCACAGCAAAGATGAGATCTCGAATCATGGGGAAGTTCTTCATGAATGGCAGCATACGAAGGCTGGCGTCCATGGCTAGAACCAGAGGGTCGCTGAACGCCGGCGCATCGAGGGCGTCTATGCAGTTGCCGAATGTGAAGCACATGATGGTATCGAGAGTATAGGATCGGAACGCATAGAGTAGGTCGATGGAACATTTTGATGCATTGGTTTTGGCGATGGACGATGCAAGGCGGTTTGCCTATTTGAGGATCAGTGATTTAGTGATTGTTAACATAGGTTGGTAGTAAAAAGATATATGAAACGATATACTACTCACATTCCGCCAGACGAGGTGCTCAAGTTTATTAATGGCTTTCTTGGAGAAAATTGGAACAATCACATCCCGTCGCTCTTTTGCCTGAGCATACTTCAAGAATGTGAATGACCCGGATGAAACTCCGGGAGTTCGGTAAAGACCCGTATCCTTGTCCCACCTCTTGCTGCTGTGGTAGATATCGTGGAACGCAGCTGGGCTTCCAAAATGGAGCTGTGACAGGTGTGCGTTAGACCTGTTCGAGCCCTATAACCTAGAGAGGGCAATGTAGACTGCTGAGTTTATGACAACCCACCTCATTTGGGGTAACGCGGACAATATCACCTATTATGTATGTTAAATAAAATGTCTCATAGTCCTAATCTCATCATACCATATTTCTTATGGAGATGAAAGAGCTCATGAACGGCCGACTCCTGCTTGATAACTTCCTTATATGCTTTCCAACTCGACGTAGCCCCGGCCATCCAAGGCCCCGGGAAGTTTCGCAGTGGATGGAAGAAGACATTGTATACAACTCGGCCTAGTCCATAAAGACCAGCTGCTGCCAACAAAATAAGGCAGATTAGTGTAGTCGCCATCGTGTCATATTAAGACTTCTTTTCTATGCTAGCAAAGCCAAGTGATGGAAACCAAAACATTGAATATATATAGTTCGAACAAAACATAAGAAACTCCGAACTGAATGAAATATACCCGGCTGACCATTTTCCCAAAAACATCGTCATGACTCCAAGGATGTCTAAATTGGGAGACTCGTGTTTAGCCAACCCATGACAGGGGTGTTCTTTTACGCCGTAGAGATAGCAATATTTGGCGAGGGCACATACATCCAGGATTTATCGTCAAAGGCGTCAGCGACCTCTCCTTCTTCCCCCGTCTATTTGTTGATCTTAAGCCCCTTTCATTGAGTAAATATACGGCATTGTAAGTTGCAACGAAGGGCTTTAACTGGCACATTTTCTCACTATTGTACGCGGAGAATAGTCCAATCAGCCTTGTCCGTTTAATTTGCACAAAAGTACGCCAGTGCAACCCAACACTTCCCGATACAAACCCCCAAGACTTAGAATGAAAACGCACTTGGCTTATCCGCTAGACTCAGCTAGCATCAAGCTGTTTACGGGCATGTGTCACCTAGGCCTTTCGGTGTCCTATAGTGCTATTGAACTTTCTATGGGCCTTGTGCCTGTCAGCGAGAAGTCAGCAACAAGATTAAACCCCGGTACTTCAAACATGAGGAACTTCATAATAATCTCCGGTGATCAATAACCTGGAGATATACCCGTCTTTGTTAGTCAATGCTCTAAACTATTATTCATCATGCAGATTGTTCATTCAAAATTGAGAGGTCTCGCGCAATCCAATTATATGGCCGATACAATCCAAACTCATTTCATCGCAAAAATTCGTCTGGGGGAAGGTCAACCAATTGAGCACTATGGAGACAAGGCGACTCAAGAGGCGACAATACTGTTGAGATGACTTGCTTCCCTCTGCGAATCTCTCGGGAATCCATAGACTAGCATCTGGTATTAGAAGCTGAATACGAAGCCATCCACAATGATCAGCCTTTATTCCGATACAAAGTCTCTGTGCAGCATTGCTATAAAGCAAGGATATTTCCGTAAGAAATACAAGAGGAACATTGTAATCGGGATTTGCTTTACACCGTAAGTTGATGATTTTAGCCACGTACCACGTTGAGGAGGGTGATTGGAATGCAGGACGCAGGGGCTTGCATTTCACCTTCATAGGTAAGATCTCCCTATCCCTCGAATCCAAGCAGGGAGACGAGTGTATTTCCCAAGTTAGATAAATAGAATCTCATGTACAAGCGTATGTGCGAGATCTAACTTCATGTCAGTCTCTATACAAAATGTGGGACTACTACAATGATAAGACCCTCTTCATCACAGGTGGAACTGGCTTCCTGGGGACTGCTGTTGTATATCGCTTGCTCACACAAACATCTGTGAGTCATGTATATATGCTGTGTAGAGGAGGTATAGGGTCAGTTCATCCTCAACCCTTTCCCTATAAACCTTGCGAGAAATATAATTGACAACCAGAACTATAGAAAACTTCAATCAAAATGGACAACATCGCTATCATCGGCAACAGTCGAAAAACTGCTTAGCACCAATCGCGTCACAGTCATGGATGGTGACATCCTCTCCCCCGACCTTGGGCTTTCCCAGAACGAATTGAACACACTTCAACAGGAAGTCGATGTCATCATTCACTCGGCCTCCTCTATAAATCTTACAAAGCCCCTGGATAGACTATCAGAATCCATTCCCGGGGCCAGTGAAAGGATGGCAGACATTGCTCTGACCTGCCCGAATTTGGATCGCTTTGTTTATGTCTCGACGGCATATGCCAATACCTTCCTACCTCCCACCGGAGAAGGCATCGAAGTCGAGATCAAAGAAGACATCTATGATCCCAATCCCAACCCCAACGATCATCTAGATGTCATGAAAGAATGGACACAAGTGCAAGAGACCGGCACTAGCGATGCGTATGAAGCCCACGACTTCCCATGGCCCTATGCATACGCAAAGAACCTGACAGAGCGACTTCTTCTCCATCGCTTCGCACAGAGCGGCGTCAAGGACAAGCTGCTTATTGTGCGCCCTTCTATCATAGGATCAGCCCAGGATTTTCCAAGTCCTGGGTACATCGTACCCTTATCGAGCCCATCAACATTAATCGCCGCTGTGATTGCACTGATCCCCGGCGGCACGGCTACTATTGCAACGAAAGCAGTAGAACAATCCTCCCAGCTGTTCACTGATGAGGTTCCAGTCGATGTGGTTGTTGATCGCTTGCTCGCTCACTTGGCTGTGGGAACCAACGGTTGTGTTCATGCAGTAAGTGGAAAGCAAGCATGGCATCCACTCATTAAGTGGTGGGAGGCGGCGGCTTCACTACGGCGTATACCGGAGAGTGTTCATTTGGATTGGAAAGACATAGATTGGAAGTCCGATGAGCAACATCCGCTGGCTCAGTTCTATGTAATCTTTGGGTCTACTTTCCAATTTTATGAGGATAAGACTATCGCTCTTGGCCGACATCCCTTGGTGAAAACCTGTAAAGAGCTGCAACTGTTCAATCAGCTCGATTTTGCAGACAAGTTGCCAAGTCTAATGGAAGATATCTACTCTGTGATGAACCATATTGCCGAGAGTGATGAGAGGGCACGACGAGTCATCAAACGATACTATCAGGATTCTATAAAGGCTAAAATCTAGTGTACTATAAAGGCAAAAATCTAGTGTACTCTTGCATTGTCAAAAAGAAAAGAAAAGAAAAATAACAGTGTTCGTTTTCTGTCTTGAGGATTGGGTAAAATGCAATTCTATGGCTATGCGCGATTTCAGTAGTGTTGCAAGGTTGCAAGCCTCCAGGGCTTTCCAGTCCGCCATAATTATTCAGCGCCAGCGCCAATGTTGGCTTTTTTTTTAAATGGTTTCATTATACATCTTCAAATTCATCCTCATCCTCATCAGATTCCTCGGCTTCCTTCTTGACCTCGGGCTCAATCTTGGCATCAGGATCAGGCTTGATATCAGGATCAACCTTGATTTTCTTCGCTGCAGGGCCATCGTCGGCAGGGGTAGACGGAGTCCCAGCAGATGATGGGGGGACACTGGAGGTCGGTTCGAGCTCACGCTTGATGCCAGTGACAGAAGATGTGGTAGGGGCCGTTGTAGTGCCGCCAGCCATGGCGGGCGTACCCGGTCCGCTTGGACCGGAGATTCCCTCAACGTCCTCAAAGTCTTCCTCTTCTGAGTCATCGTCTGCACTGCTGGCATCTGCCTGGGCTTGCAGTGCTTTCTCCCGCTCCATTTCAGCGTAGTAAGCGGCGACTTTGTCATCCAAGGCATCTACGCTAGGCTTTTGGTCCTCATCCGCAAGCTCGGGCTTCACCAAGGTACCCACTTCGGTCTTGGTCTGAGCATCGCCAGCCTGGACTGCATTGACCGTAGAATGTGTGTGCCAAACTGGAAGTGCGTTTTGCTTTTCGAGGGCTGCTTTCCGAGCGGCCTCATCGGCCTGCTCGGCGGCACTCTTCTCTTCACTCGAGGTGAGAGAGATCTCCAGTGCAGCGGCATCCGTCTTGGCATTGGGACGTGTGATATCCTGGGCCTTGGGTGGAACAGCAATCGCAGCGCGGACGGGGTGTGTGCTCTGGTTCCGGATAACCTCCACTTTGTGATCCCACGCTGTTTCGAAGTCATTCGGCGGGATTTCCACCGAGTCAATCTGCTTGAGCAGTTTGAGCATGTTATCCAGCTGTGCCATAAGCTTACTGTTTTTCTCGTGGCCCGTACGGTCCGTTCCTTCCGCGCCCTTGACATCCTCCGTCCGTTCCAGGATGGCGCCGCAATTTTGACATTCGAAACCTTCATCTCCGACCAGACTCAGTACGTCCAGTTCAGTCCACTCTGATTTGCATCGTACACAAATATACTCCTTGCGCTCCTCACTCGGTGTGTACTGTGCCTTGATGATGGCTGTCAACTTGGAGACTTTGAATTTAATCGCATCGACAACCGGGTGTAGAGGGATGTAATAATATTCGCGGTTGACTGGGCGAGTAGACCCATCACGTATCTCGGCGCGTGTGCTCCTATATTCAACAGAGAACTAGATCAGCTTTGTGTTCTCCACCGTTGGTTGTAGATCACATCAGGGAGACGTGACATACACTCCGATCAAGCGATCCTCTCGAAGTTTGGCGCAAAGCTTGCGAAGATCTTTCTGTTGCATCCCCATCAAGAAGGCGAGATCCTCGGCGTGAAGACTATAGTTGGTCAGCAATGCGACCATTCAACATAGATCAACTCTCATCATACACTGAATGTAGAAAGAGCGCATCGACAACCAAGATGTGACGGGTCTCGTAGAAAGCGCGCGCCACTGTTCGGATAAGCGTCTTTGAAAGATCCATGATTGCAGAAGCTCCGGAGTAAAAGATGGTTGTCGGGAAGAAGGCCGGGAGAGAATTTAACTGGAGCGCAAGGCGAGAAGTCGCAGTATTCAGATATTAGACAAAACAAGCATGCTTCGGTCAAAGACAGCGAAATGAGTGAGGGGGTTCACGACGAAAGTGAGAGTTGAAAGTGAGAGTTGCGCTTGAGCGACAGACAGCGCTGAGCTAATGAGTGAACAATGAATGTTAACTACAATTCCCAGTTCACCCAGAGCTTCACGTCACATGCAAAGTTGATTCCTCAGGCGATAATATGACCCGATTTGGCTTAGTCTGTTTATATATACACTAGGCCATTATAGGACTAGTGTAGAGGTCATGGAAAAAGATGAACTGCGCGGAGTCGAAGGACAAATTTCCCCAAAACACTGATTTCATGCGTGCCTCGATCATTCACCAGCGGAACCTTTTTGGGATCGTAACAGCACCCAGGAGCTCAATTCTGATCCGATCACTCCGTCAAAACACCCAAAACCACACTGTTCCTCGTCAATTTTACCGATCTTTCTGGCGTGACCCGTCTGCACCTTATACAAATCTATCAGAGGTCTTCCAGCGGATACAATGGCCGACAACAAAGGAACAGGAGGCAGAGGTGGTGAAAGGCGTAAGAACCGCGATATGGGGCGAGCGGAATGGAGGTATGGGCGCATCAATTGTAACCTCCCATTCATCGCATTGTCAGCTAACTAATTAAGTCGCCAAGCGATAGACAAGCGTCAGCGTCATGAAGACAAAGCCGAAGTCAAGCGTCGCAAGATTGAAAACGGCGAAGAGGTCAACTTGCCGATCTACGCAACTCAATTCTCCAAGGAGGAGATCGACAACGAAGAGCGCCGCCCCAAAAAGAAGGTTGCGCTTCTGATGGGATACTCGGGCACTGGATACTCCGGGATGCAGTTGTAAGTCTTCTCTTGTTCGCTATGTGGCCATTCATTGTGTTGACAAGGTATGGTATAGGAACGAGCAACAACGCACCATTGAAGGTGATCTATTCACGGCCCTCGTCAACGTCGGCGCAGTTTCCAAGGCGAACGCAGCAGATCCCAAGAAATCTTCTTTCGTCCGTTGTGCCCGCACAGATAAAGGTGTCCACGCAGCTGGAAATGTTGTGTCGCTGAAGATGATCGTCGAAGAGGAGGATATCATCCAGAGAATCAACGCCGAGCTCAGCCCCCAAATCCGTGTCTGGGGCTACGAAATTACTAGCAAGAGTTTCAGCTGCTACCAGATGTGCGATTCCCGAGTTTACGAATATTTGATGCCAAGTCACTGTCTCCTACCTCCTCACCCAAGCACCTATCTTGGAAAAAAAATCATCCAGCTTGCCGACAAGGCAGGCGAATTGGATGCCGTCACCGCTCGACAGGAAGAAGTCGCAAGCTATTGGGAAGATGTTGACGAGAAGTACATCAAGCCTATCTTAGAATCCCTCCCGGAAAACGTCCGCAGCATCGTTGAAAAGTCTCTCTACCAGGACGAGAGCCGCGATGCACTCCAACCCGCAGAAGAGAAGGAGGTAGTCACCTCTGTGCCAGCGGAAGAACCCGTTCAGCAGGAGACCAGCGAACAGCCCCCCGTAGCTGAACAATCGGCCGATGGAGAAGCCCCAAAGCCCTTCGTCATGGACCCCCGCCAAAAGGCCATCAACGACGCCATCAAGTCCATCAAAGCAGCATATCTAACCGCGAAACGCGCATACCGCGCCCCTGCTTCGCGCATTGCGCGCCTGCAAGAATGTCTCGAGCGTTACGAAGGCACGAAGAACTTCCACAACTACACGATCCAGAAGACGCACAACGACCCCTCGGCGAAACGACACATCAAGTCATTTAAGGTGAACACCACGCCGATTATCATCGACGGCACGGAATGGCTCAGCTTGAAGGTGCACGGACAGAGTTTCATGATGCACCAGATTCGCAAGATGGTCGCCATGGCTACGATGGTTGTTCGTTCGGGCTGCCATCCTGACCGGATCACTGAGACATATGGTCCTGAGCGCATTGCTATTCCCAAAGCGCCTGGTTTGGGCCTCTTGCTTGAGCGGCCTATTTTCGACGCTTACAATAACAAGGCACAGGGTCTTGACCGTCAGCCGATCAATTTCCAGAAGTTTGAGACGGAGATGAATGAGTTCAAGCAGCGGGAGATCTATGACCGGATTTTCCGGGAGGAGGAGCAAAGTGCTGGGTATGATATTATTCCAATCAATGCCCTCATTTGATTTCGCAAGACAACAATACTGACTTTGACTTACAGCTTTGGTTCTTTCTTCAACCATATCGATCACTTCCCCGCCGGTTACTTCCTCTATGTTACTTCTGGTGGCATTCCAGCGGCTAAACTCGCAACTGCGCCTACCGCTGCTGATCCCAGCAGCCCCAAGGCTGGTAACAGAGCTCGCGGCCCTCCACGGGCTCAGCGGGATGCACTTGCTGCCGTGGAGGTTGAATCAGAAGATGAGGCAGATGCCCCAGCTCGCGGAGAACCAGAGGGTTAATCAAACAAAATAGATATCTACGTAGTATTACTCCATCATTAAACGGAATGAACAATAATGCGCTACGAACTTTTGTTGAATGCAATCCACTCAAAGACTGAAGTCTCAAAGGACCCGAAACTCTTTCATTTCAATGCTCGGAAATAGGCTTGCGAAATGTATGTAGATGACCTGTCTGTCCAAAGTCACCCTTCATAGAAATAAATCCCACTGCGGCTCATCCCGAGCAGAAGAAAACGCCAGTAACAACCACAATCATTGTAGGAACAAAAACAATAGCAAGAATTCGTAAAATCCGTGAGTATGAGGGTTTGCCTTTAGTCACATGCACACCTCGTGCTCGCTCAATCCGTTGACATCGCAAGAACGCATGGAAAAGAAACACAACAAAAAGCACATTGCAGCGGGAAATGTCATCGTCTAAGGAGATCCAGCGACTCCCATTTCGGAATCACTTGGGATCACCGAGTTTGCATCCCATTCCTCGACTGAGGCCACGTCCGATTCTAGGGGGATCGAGTTAGATGGTATTCCAGGGCCATTCAGGAGGGATAGAGATTCGAGCATACCGGAAGGCGGGTCATCGGGGACTTCTTCGAGCGACATCGACTTAAGCAGGGAGAGGAGTTCTAAAAGGATTGTGTTAGTGGGGCTGTAAGAACCCTAAGTGTATACACTCAAGCATACCCTGGGCCTGTTGAACTTCTTGCTGGTCCGTCTCAGAGTCGTCATAGAAAGTAGCCAGACAATAGTTGATCACCGGGGTAATGTTCCCAAGCAATCTGGCGTCAATATGACTGATCTGATCGGCCAGGAATGCCGACTTGAGTCGCTCAAGGCAGGCATTCGGCAGCCGACGACAAATGTTACGGCGTCGCTCTCGTGTGTAGATGGCCTGGTATTCGGCATTCTGTTCGGAGTCCTCTGTGTTGCCCTCCACGGTATTATCGTTGAATACCATCTCTTCGATGATATTCTGCATATTGCGACGAACAGACTCGTCCTTATCAATGAGCAAGGTCGGGGCCCAGACCGGGATATAGTCAAGAACAAGCTCGGTAAAGTCGGCAGAATCCATGTTGAGCCGCTTGTTAGTACCGCGGCAAAGACACATGAAGAAGTCCATGTGCTCCTGGCCGCCACTGTTGTCAATGCTATCCATCCCCTTGGCAATGAAGTCGATCATGTGAATGACTAGCTCCTTATCCGGACAACGCTCACAGAACGTTGTGGCAGCCTCCAGGAATGGTGTGCACTGGACGGCAGGTTCGAGTCTGACGCCATTTTCCAGTGTCGATTGAATGGGAGTCAGCAGATCTGCTTCAGGCTCTCCGTCCAATAGAACTCCAAGAATCGCGCGAGTAGTCTGGTTCTTCGCAAGAGCCTCATGCTTCAGCAGCTTCAACAAAATCGACAGGGACCCCTCAGGTTCGATGGGCCGGATGAGTTCCATTTCTCTAACACTGGCGGAGAACTTGCCATTCAAAAACCGCCGTTCTCCGCCAATGGGAGTTGGGCGGAGCGAAAGGTCAACGTGTTTGAAGAAGACCAAGCACAATGACAGCAGAAGCAGGTAGTTAAACCGACGTCCTTTGCTCAAGACACGGATGTAATTGGGATACCGGATCCGCAATTTCATACTATCGTCTTCATCGATCCAGAGAATCTCCAAACAGGCAGCAAAATGACCATGCTGGAGTAGGACGTGGATGATATCCGGGCCATAGGTGCAAAGCTTCAATAAGAAGCCAAAGTAGTCATCCCAAACTCGAGAAGCGGGTTGAACGTCGGGCCAGATACCTGCCATCATAGGCACAATTTGCTGAATGGCTTCATCGAATCGGTCACGCCATGAAATCCGTTCTTCTTCATTGAGATCCTGGCTTGTCGACATCAAGTGGAGATGTCTTAGGGCATAACTGATCAGCAGAAGTCCCTTGTTTCGGAGTTCTGCATTCGGTGGCTTCATCATGAGGTTGTACATTGAGGTTGGCCGATTGATAACCCATTCAAGCACCGATTGAGCCGCATTGGGGCTTTTGTTGATCATGTCGACGAGTTCGCTGTAAATCTCCTGGTGTCCTTGGCAATACTTGGTACGCGTGACCAATTGCTCAATAGTATCCATTCCGACATTGATTACCAATGACTCTGCCCTAGTCTTGTTGACATTTTCCGTTCCCATGTCAGGCCACCGCTGAAGCAATCTGCCCACGAAGTATGCGTATTGTGGGTCCAGGAGACAGTAAATCCGAACGAGCATTTCGTTGTCCATGGCAATGTAGTTCTGAGTCGAAATGGACACCGGCAGGTGTATAGGGATGTCGGGCTTCGTTGGCTTGAAGATTTCTTTCGACTTCTCGATCGTGGACACACGTTGGTAGAACAGCATGTATGCATTCCATGGCTTGATTTTGGGGGCTCCATTCATGAACTGCAACGTATCACTCGGGCCACCAAAGCATTGACTTGCGATTGTGCTAGGGTCGAATTTGCTGACATCGGAGTCGTTGAACTCAACCCAATTTGCTTCACCACCAGACGATGGGCGTTCAAGGGTATATGAGTAGTAGTGGCCCGATTCGGCTGTGCCAGTGTGCACAAGAACGCCAACCAATTCAAAGATATCCGGTGCAATAGTCTGCTCCGGATCAGAGAGGTGCTCGACCGTGTAGGGAGTCATGTCAATGTGGTGAGGGAATTGGAACTCGTCATTAATCTTGCTTCTCAGCATATGCACCATGTCGAAGTCAAACCGTTTCAGGTGGAAGATCAAATTGTCAGGAACATCTTTCAGGCAAGCACTAAATAGGAGTCAGAAAATCGGTTTGTATCACTATGTCATTGTCACTCACCGCTTCACAGCATCCACATGCCGGCCACAGGAGGTACAAGAGTATTTGTTATCTGAAAGATCGTTAGAATTTGAGCTCCGTTAGGGGGCGTGGTATTAACTCACCTCCCTGCATCACCTCGCCTGCAACGTAGGCCCGCAAACTGTCTTCAAGAGTCGCCTTCCCTTTGATCTCGCACTGGATTGCAGAGAATGGCTCAAGTCTTTCCGAGATATGATCGCATTCCATTGACTTGATTTGCTGAACAAGCTGCCCTCCATAGAAAGACCGGAACTTCTTCTTCTTTTCGGAATCGAGAACTTGAGCCTCCCAACGGTCAAACAGAAGATTGTAGAACTCATCAACATCCATCTGGACGGTCACATCGATCTCCTCGTTGTCGTAGGTGAGAATGCTTTTCACAAAGTCCGAAGGCTCAATGCTCTTGCTCCAGGTCTCCTGCATCCATGTAAATAGTCGCTGGGTTTCATAGAGAAGCTTTTGGGAGATCCGATCAGCAATGGGGAGGTTCAGGATAAAGTCTCGGAACTCAATATTCATGAAAAGCTGCGTCACGAGAGAGTTGAGGTAACATGTGTTCGAGAAATTCTTGAGGCCCGCATAGCCTTCCGGGGACCGGAGCATTAGCGATCTATTATAGCCATAGTCCAGATAAGGGGAGTCTAGATTTGCGGTTAGTTTGATGTGAAGATAAAATGTAGTGGGCAAAAACAGCGATGCGCACCTCGTGGAACGTTTGTGTTGAGGAGCTCCAAAACTTGACAATAAGTCTCATCGCTCTGCTTGCACAACAAGTTCACGACATTGTAAAGGTTCGAGCGAGTGTAGCTGTGCATGACTGGAACCTGAGGGACTGCATGCTCCACCGTGTCTGGTGAGAAATCTGGGTACAGGGATTTGTTGAATATGTCCTCGGCAATGTTCCTAGCCCCCAGTTAGAAATACAGGTAGACTTTGTCAGACAGGGGAGAAGTGAGACTTACAAAGTGTTCAGAGTGACGCCCGCGGCGTTGGCCAATTCCAGACACCATTCTAACAAAGCAGAAAGCCCGATGACCAAATTATCTGCCGGCTCACGCCCAACAAACTGAAAAATCATTAGTAAACAATAATTGTCCGTCTTTCGCGGATAGATTTACCTCTTCTGTCTGGTGAGTGAGCATAACTGCACTCCATTGTTGAAGGTAGTCGTTGAAGATCAAGTCCTTTGGTGATTTCTGTGCGACTACGCGGAACATCCATAGAGCAGCGTTGAAGAACTCCTCCGACTGGGCAACATGTTCAAGGGTCTTGGGTATCACTTGCAAAAATGAAGACCAAAGAGTAGCAAGCATATCAATCCGGTTGGGGTTCTCCGCGGCAGGAGATTCCGTATCAAGCTTCTGCATTGACAGCTTAAACGGTTTCAGTGGGCCGCAGGTTATCTTCAAGCGTTCCAGAATATCAGTCCGGATTGGCTTTCGCTTTTCTTCCAGGAGTAAAGATAGGATCAAGGCATCAAACTGTGCGTGCTGTTTGACAGCATTCCAGACATTGATGTCGCGCAACGAGCCCTCAACTAGGACCGCAAAGGAATTGCAAACCAAACTTTGGGCACATGTACCAGCCGGTGGATCGGTCGGGCTCGTACGGCCAATTTCGAGCAGCTCAAGAACGCGTCGGACCAAAGACTTTGGATCAGCAATAAGAAGGGCCTCGTCATCAGTCGGGCCATAGACTAGGTCACATTAGTTGAGGCCCATTGGCTGAACAATGATTACTATTCGACATACCAGATATAGCCAGCAGAAGACATTCGATGGCTCTCGTAGCCAGTACAGTGGTGATCGAGTTACCAGAAAGAGAGCTGAACAGCTCTTCTGACGTCAGGAACGCAACCAAGACCCGGTTGCTATGAGACACAAAATCTTGGTTTGGAGACATCTGTGACGATATTTAGTATGAATATCATTTAAATAAAAGCGACCAACCTACCTCTGCAGCCTCCTCGTGAAGACACATTGACAGTGTATTCAAGGAGTACAAGGCCTTGTAAGGTCTTTGCAACGGGAGCATGTCTTTCTCGGTATTGCTGCTGGATCGAACAAGTTCGAGGGCCCGTGCTTGAGGCGGGAAGCTAACCAGGAAGTCAATGATCTGCAAATTGTCAGTGTTGGTATTCCGCTAAAAGACAAGGGTCAAGGGGATTATACCTGTCGAGCCAAGTCATCCTTGAGGTCAAGCATATCATACAGCTCGTCGAAGTGCTTCAGCACTTCGTTGTCCACTGCTGTGAGAGACTGCCTACTCCCAGCCCATCTGATTTCATGGGCATCAGGCGCCTTTCGAATGATGAGTAAACCTGAAGACAGCTTCAAGTTTTTCACAGGTGTCTCTGGATCTTGTAGCAACTCGACCTTCTGTCCGCCGAGGATAGTAGTAAACTTAGAGAATCGACTCAGCTGCACGAGCATTTCCACAAACTCGGCAGCCGTGGAGAGGCTACCAATGCGCTTTGAGGAGATCTTAGGTACGCCAGTGCCATTGAAACATTGATATCGAAATTCGATGGGCTCGCCTTTCAGAGGACGTTCCGGAAGGGTAGGCGGAGAGCCACGAGGGGAGCTGTACTGTGGCCGAGTTCGCAATCCATGGAGCAACTGACGAAGGAAATGTAGAGACCGGCTGAATATAAGTTCATCGGTTCCGACAGCGGCATTGGAATTGTCGATATCCATAGAAGCACCGCCATTGGTTGTTCCATTGCAAGGCGGGTTCAACGCGATAGCGGCAGACTTTAGTTGGTCCACGCAGCGATTGACAAGAGCAATATGAGTAGCGTCAACAGCCGATCGGGGTGATCTGTGAACAATACCGTGGTCCAGGTAGCTATCGATGGCGAACTTAATAGCCTCGGCTTCGATCGATTGCGGAGGTGCCGTCAGTATGAAGTTCCAAATCCGATCCATTCCAGGAATAGATATGACTTCATTTTCCCCGACAATGGGAGGTGACTGGATTCGAATCTCATAGTGGACCGACTGCTGAGCGAACCACAATACCTCGCGCGAGTAATCCTTGGGAAGCACATCTGGTAGATACTCATGAATGCATAGTTCAAGAAATTGGTTCTCTTTGGCGGTACGGTTGGTGAGATCAACCATCATTTTCCAAATGGTTTGACGCTCCTGGGGGGCCAGGTTCTTGGACATGAAAATCTCCTCCCAGAGTGTCTTCCCGAGATCAGGTGTGATGGTGTCTGGGGCCAGATCAATAAGACGCCGCAGGATTTCCACCCGCGAGGCAAAGTCGTGCTTGAAAGACGGATGCTTAAGCTTCGCGTGGTCTTCACTGACGAGATGGTGAAGTTCGATTATCACCAAGCGCGTCAAGTCAAAATCGGTCGCAAGTTTCCAAAGCTCTCGTGCGTCATCACGGGGTACTAGTGCATTCAGCACTTGGATGCTGCCCGCAGTGCACTCATTCATCTCTCCAATGTCCTGAATGCACCGCTCATACGTCTCCGCCATGTCGGTTTCATTGAGTCCAGCCTTGATGAACTGTCCGAGCTGCTCGCTTCCAAATCCCTGCATAAGTTCCTTTTGTTCCAGAGGCAGGTCCTTTGCCCCCGAGCTCTCCCGGATTAGGCGGATGCAGAGCTTCAGTGGAATAGAATCGACATACTCCTCACTAGACATGTTGCGATAGTCCCGATCGCGATCCTGTTGCCATTCGCGCATACGAGGCACCAGCTGCTCACAGAAATCTATTATGCGACTGTCGAAGCGATCCAAGGGAAACTCGAGCAATTTTGAGCACAAATAGAGCAACGCTTTAGACCTCGACAGGTGCATGGGAAAGGTTCGCGCGAGCATGGAAATGACCTCGCAGACGGTGCGGTCATCTTGGCTCTCGGTAACGGTTTTCCAGATAGCATCCGTGTCGTGGTCCGTGTATCTCCCCATCACAATCAGAAATCCAAAGATGTTACTGCTGCGGCTGATCAACTGTGGGTGTGAGTCGATGCCCACAAGATAATCGAGGATCTTGATTTCCCGAAGATATTCAACCAAGTATTTCAAAAACGCCGTCTCGATCCCATCGCCATTCTGAGATAGTTTGTCAGTCCAGATGGTGACCAGGTCTGATTGCATCATTTCCACTCCATGGACACGAAGCTCCATCCGACCTTCCATGATTTGCTTTTTTAGGGTGTCGAATTTCCATGTGTAAATAACACAGAAGGCGGCCTGCTCTGCATCTGCGTCCTCGGGTACTTTAATCGACAATTCTTGGGCAAGTTGGAGTGAAAATTCCGGGAAACCGAAGCAAAGGAAACGGTAGCTGCGGAAGATTAGGTTCAGAAGGCTATCGCTCAATTCACTGGTGGCCAGTTGCGACTTCTTTTCAACAAATGTCTGGTACACTTTGTCAATTCCTCGAACCGTTTCGTAGAAAGGCTGAAGGCTAGTTGAATCGGCAAGTAGGTCAATGGGAGAATCAGAACCACCATTTTGGTTCTTCTTTGTGCCACATTCAAAAAATGCGAGGATGTTGAGCAAAGGCGCTGAAAGCATGGTGACTATCTGCGGACACTTCGGGAGCAATGCAAGCAGGTGCGAAGTATATTGCATAAGTACGCCGGGTGCATCAAACGGAGGGGCTGAGATCTGAGCTTTCAGTCGAGCAGAAAGATTGGGAGTTCCAGTGCGGAACTGGTTTTCCAGGACCCGGAAAAAGGGAATTTGACCGCCATGGAACATCCAAGGGAAGCTATGAAGATATCGTCGACAGGTGCTTGGAGGCATTTCGACGTCTTTGCCATATTCGTCAATAGCACTGAGAAGCGCGGTGTCCAATCGAACAAGATGAAGGACAATCCGGGCATAATCGAGAAGATATTGTTCGAAGAAACTGGAGGGGTCTTCGATGCCGTCTAGCTGCAGGTCATGTTGTCGGCGCAAAAGACGGTCCAGCACGGAGGGCAGATATTCCCAGAAATCGAGATCGGCGGCAAATTCCTCGATTGTGACCCGATCAAGATCGCGCGCACAAGTGTGAAGCCAGTCTTTTATTGTAGCAAGCGCCGTGCCTTCCCGTAGGTGTCCTATTTGCTGGATTAGTATCTGGTCAAGTCTCGTTGAGCGGAGCCTTTTATTACCATTCTCAAGCATATCACCAAGTGCCTTGAAGTTCTCTCGAGGTGTCAACTGAATGTGTACTTTGGGGAACGACTCGGACAGAGGAGTCACGTCCTGGATCTCTATCACTTCGGGCTCATCTTGATCCCGCACCATCTGGCCCAGTGATTTCCAATTTGAGGTGTTCGGGTCTTGGTTGATATCTTCCGGTTCCGCAACTTCGATTTCAGGACTTCGAGGTGAGGAAGGTGAGGAGGAAACTGAAATGGGGTCGGGAGCTGTGTCGGGATTTGGTAGGAGCTCCAGATCGCTACCGGAGAGCTCAGGGTCGGAGGGAGGAGGGAGGGAGGGAGGCATGGTAGATGTAGGGGATTTTGTGTTAATGGTAACTTTGTTAGCTGGATTTCCAGAATCCGAGGCCTCGTCCATGTCTGAGGCAGGTGCGATGGAGGCAGTACGCGAGGTTCCATCCAACGATAAGGTCGGACTGACGCGACTTCCACTGTCGAGACGCGGACGTTTCCGGGTCGCCTGGGGATCAAGATCCTCCATGGAGTCGCTGATAAATGGAGATTCTTCGATCAAGGGAGTGTGAGGTGGGGTGTAAGAGCTATCTGGCGGGGGTACAGCCATGTCATTTTCCGCGCGTAGTAGATCCAGGGTAGTTGAGATGCGTGAAATTAAGGTAATACAAGAATGAGAGTTGAAGAAAAGGAAGGTTGTGAGTTCAAGAAAAGGATTGAGTGGGAGAGAAGTAGAGAGGTGAGTTCTCCTCAGAAAATGATAAAGCGGTCGACAGCTTTTTTTTTGGGGGGGTGGACGCGCCAGGACCAGTGACGTTGTTCTGTGGAGAGAGAACGAACAGGACGATCTCTCTTTAAAACAAAAAGAAGACAACGATCAAGCTTTCCGGGGATTTAACTATTGTATCTTTACATTGTACATTTTCTATTGCAGTTTATAAAGAAATAAAATCATACATATACATTTGGGTGAAGTTTGTAGCAAATGTGACTGCCTACCTACACTATTACTTCCCAGCTAGTTATATAATTCCATAACTAGAGATAGATATATATAAAAAACGAATATAAAGCGCCAAAAAAGTGCACAGCCCCTTATGTGGCCTTATGCATCAAGTCTAGACTCTTGGCATTCATGGTCTATTCTCTAAACAATTCTGTTCAATTGGTTCAATTGAACCGTTCAATTTGTCCAAATTTTAAGAAGTTAAGAAGTTTTACTTCTTTATCATTATCTACCTAGGTAACTATATCGCCGTTTGGACCAGACATGCATAACGTCCATGTAACATATAATGCAGTTTCATTGACCCTTTCAATATCTCATAGATGTAACTCACCAGGAAGTTCTATACCTCTCTAATATCTATCCACTTAATGAATCACAGAGAGACAATCATTATTTCATTGTCGTTTCAATCTGACGAATGATTTTGGCTGGGTTCCCCGCAGCGACGTGAAAGGCGGGCACATCCTGAAGCTAAAGTTAGCTTATGATTGAACGATCCAGCCATGAAAAGGTGCATCCATGGATAAAACATACCTTGGTAACCACACTCCCAGCTCCAATAGTCACACCTTTGCCAATAGTGACGCCAGGAAGTACAGTCACATTCCCACCAAGCCAGCAGTCCTCTCCAATAACAATCGGCTTGCCAGTCTCAGGGCCTTTAGTTCCATTGCGTAGAGCAGGATCAAGCGGATGAGTGCCGGAGAACAAACTGACATTGGGGCCGAAAAGTGTACGAGCCCCAACTGTGATGGGACATGTGTCGATGAAGACACAGTTAAAGTTAACGAAGACGCCCGCTCCAAGCTTGACGTTAAACCCATAGTCTATATGGACAGGAGACTCAACCCAGGGCTCCTGCTCAAAGAGAGCTTCATCAGCTGCGGGATCATCTAGTTTTGGTGGCAGAGGGGTCTTGTCATCGGTGATACTATATATGATGGTTAGTAACTTAGTATAGTTAAATAGTATATTTTTTTAAGTTGTAGTAAACCCAAGCCTCAGCTTGACAGCATCACTCACTCTCTCCACATTTCAACGAGACGCCGACGAGGCACCTCGTCTGACTTATTGAACCGATTACAGGTCCACTTGCAGCGCGAACGAGCAGCGATCAAATCCGGCGTGAAGGCATGGTAGAGCTCCCCGCGAAGCATCTTATCTTTCTCAGTAGGCTCCGACATGGCAGTGACGGTCATAGTTATCACATACGAAAACAGACAAGAGAGACACTGGTTAGTATTTAACAGATTAAGTCCTGCGACAAACCCCACATTTTAGCGCTAGGTATGTCACCCCAACCACCCTTTTTTAATTTTTTCTCCTGCACCCATTATGCGCTCTTTTGGCGTTGAGATTTCTGGAAATAGCCGTGCCAGGCGCCCAACAACTGTTCCGGTTGTTGGTGCGCCCCGGCAAACACAAAATTCCCACCGAACGCAAAATCTAGAAAATTAAGTATCTTGTGTAACTATGACTTACCAATACAGAAGGTACTTAGGTATCCCGTTAGCATAACACACTTTTTCTCAGCCCTCGAACTAGTTAGGGCAAATATAAGGAGATATAGATAGTGTAAAGTAAGTCTATATTATTTATCCAAACTTTAGTAAGGAATATTAAATATTTATACTAAAATGGAGAATGTACCTGGTTATTTCCCCCATACAGCCTAAAATTATTCTTCTTCTTCAATATTAGATGCAAAGCATTTATACTACTATTAAATTAATTAAGCTAGTCTCGTACTATATATTCGTATACCTTCTATTACTTTAGCTAGTTCGAGTGCTGAGAAAAAGTATGTTAACTATGTTATCACAGTTCCTAAGTACCTTTTGTATTGGTAAGTCATACAAAAGATACTTAATTTTCTAGATTTTGCGTTTGGTGGGAATTTTGTGTTTGCCGGGGCGCACCAACACCAGGTCCCCTGGTGTTGGGCGCTTGGCACGGATAGGGGTAAATAAGCAGAGCTATCCCCTAAGCAACGTGCCGGAATCTATAGTGCCCTAGAATTTGGGGTATCTACTTCGAAGCTCGCCGTCGAATATAGCTATCATCGTAGTACAATATACCGTACTAGAGATCGATTTTTAGAGTAAAAGAATACCTCCTCGAGACCCCGTACCGGCCGTCCCCCGATCTTCAACTAACGCGCCCGTAAATATATTTTTTTATAAGCCCGCCGGAACCCTCTTTAGTCCTATAAACGCCTAGGCGCTAGCTACCCTAGATACCCCTCTCGAAGTATAATTCGTAATATCTACCGGGCTTATAGCCTAAATAAAAGACGGTCCCCGAATAAGATCCCTATTGGCGTTTAAACTATAAAAAAAAGACTCGCTTTTACTCGAAAATTGTAATGGATAAACCATACAACCCACAAAGTGGAGAATATCTCGGTCGCATGGCATGCGCAGGTATAGTGGAAACTCTGGTATGATAACCGAACAGGTTATCATAAGTGGTCTTTTTGGTTAATGCCTGCATTTTCTATTAAGAGTATTCCTTGTGGAGAATATTGGTCCAGAGCCCAATTTCCCTTACAAAAATAGCGGCTTAAGACTAATTTTTCGAATTAGATCTAGTCGGATAAATATTCCGTCTAACGAACATCGAATTCTAGTACGAAGTAGGCTTAGAGACTATAATCTAAGACCTACCGGCGTAAACTTATAAATATAAAGGTTTATATAAAGGATATTGCTTAAATAGTATAGGCTAGGATCTAGCTTAACTAGTAGGCAGATAAAGTTAGTATTTATAGAGCGGGAGGAACGGGAGGAATAGGGTAAAAAAACGTAATAGTTATACCCCAAATTCCTATCTTAATACCCTCGAAGAAGCTCTCCTTCTAATCTATACCCCCGGTACTATCTTTTAGTAAGATAACGCTAAAATCTATATATTATATACCGCTTAGGACTAGTTTTAGGAACATAGGGTTTATATTGAAGATTGGCCTCCGTACTTACCTGATCTTAGCCCTATTGAACTATATTAGTAGCCATTAAAGGTCAAATTGTTGAAGCTCTACCCCGAATTAGTAGAAATAGGTAGAAGCTAGGCGGATTGGGCCTATTTTAGGAGAGCTATATGCCATGCATAGGATGCACTTGATCAAGGTATAATTGATAGTTTGATCCGATCTATACCTAGGAGATTGCTTGCCACGCGTAAAGCAAAGGGCTACTATACTAAATATTAGATGCATTATATTCTCTAGGTTTTTCTCTATCTAATAATACTAAAATTATTATATATTTACTATATTATGTGGGTTATATATATAGTTGAATGTTGATATATATATTTGATGGGGTGCGAGTAAAAACAGGGCCCTAAAGCCAAAGCCATAGTGGACCCGGGCGATTGTCCACTGTCGTTATGCCGGGGGAAAGGTCCGTGGCCCAATACAAAACAATACAACTCTCTTCAGATTGTTCTCAGACAATGAAAACCACCACCCACTCACCACAACACACAACTATTTAAATTCCACCAATTCCCCTCGAAATGTGCGATCCTCGAACGAAATAAAACGCCCCCCAAAATAAGTCTCTTTCCTTCATCACAATGTATCCCAACGCATCCGCAACAACCTCCGGCGCAGAGCCAAACAAAGCCTCGGACTTCACGCACATTTCCAGGCCAATCCACGAACCCACCAGCAGCAGCACATCCTCCTCTTCCTCTTCCTCCGATGCCTCAACCGACGCGTCCGATGTCGATATCTCAATCTACCCAGACGGCAAGATGTCGCTGGCGGGGATCTCGCTGCGCGCAATGCTCCTCGGAACTAGTCTCGGACTGTCAGCAAGCCTGTCGTTGTTCCTAAGCACCGTATACCAAACTCCACTCTGGCGCGTGCCCTTCTTCGTCGCCTCGTTGAGTCTGTTTCACTTCTTGGAGTTCTACGTGACGGCGCAGTACAACACGCGGTATGCGACTGTATCCGCGTTCTTGTTGTCATCGAACGGATGGGCGTATAATATTGCGCACGGGTCTGCCATAGTGGAGTGCCTTGTGTCGCATATTTTCTGGCCCGGGCAGACTGCTGTGGGGCGGTTGGTTACTGTGACGGAACCGTTCTTCGGAAGCTCAGTCTCGTTGCTCCTTGTTGCAGGCTTTGTGTTTTTGTTGATCGGACAGGTTATTCGCACCCTTGCTATGGCGCAGGCTGCTAGTAACTTCAACCACCATGTGCAGAGTCAGCATCAGGAGGGCCATATTTTGGTTAATACTGGTCTTTATCGGTATCTGCGGCATCCGAGTTACTTTGGATTCTTTTGGTGGGGTCTGGGTACACAGCTGGTGCTGGGGAATATAGTTTGCTTTGTCGGATATTCCCTAGTGTTGTGGCGTTTCTTCTCGAGCCGGATCAAGCGTAAGTTGTCTGTTCGTTTCTGTACATTGGATATCTTGCTAACTGGTTTACGTGACCACAGGCGAAGAAACTTACTTGATCTCCTTCTTTGGCGACGAGTATGTTCAGTACAGAAAAGCTACCGCGGTTGGTATCCCGGGAATTTAGTTGCAAAACGTTACGGTATCGAAGATATTGAATCGAGTAAACACAAAGAAACCATTGATATCAGTATCAGTGTATGTGAACATGTATGGAGCTAGACTTGATCGATTAGAAGTCTGGTATATGGTATAAGGCGTAATCACACCCGTAGGCGTAGTAGCTTCAATCTTATAAGCTATTTACATTGGCATCGTTATAGCTTACTTTCAGGCGCGACTCCTCCAACCGCGCCACTCATGTAAGGTCCACTCTCATCCGACTCGTTCTCGGCGGTCTCCGCGCCGAAAAGGACAAGCTCACGTCCACCTTCAGTGCTCCACCATGTAACGCAGCAGTGCGATCGATCAACATCCATCTCACCGCCAGCTAGGGCTTCCCAGAAACGATCGATACAAGCATGTCGCATATTGCGGTCGGAAATTGTGTTGATCAATTGTGCTGCCAAGGGGAGCCATTCTTTCAGATCTTCGACTCGGAGGAATGAAAGGGAATCGAGAAGAGCAAGGGTTAGAACAGCCTGTTCGGAGACAGGTGGACTCTGGCTCATGTCTGGATTTGGACCCTGCGGGGGAGCGGTGTAGAGGAAGCATTCAAAGCACGGTCGTGAACAACTTCCAGCAAGATGGAGGGGAGAAGGGGCTGAGTATTTGCTAGGGGAGAAGGAGGTGCTGTAATTTGGATGACGGTCTTGAAAGCAAGGCGGAATTGGCGCGCGGAAAGGTTATTGGGGAAAACCTGCGGATGATTAGAACCTACTTTTCGTATACTAGCGGGGGTGGAACTCACAGCAAACAGGTTTTCGATATAGAAAGGCAGGTGTTTGGTAGCTAATTCCGAATTATGCGGAATAGCGAAGACAACAAGCACCAGGCTGTGAGCAGCTTCGAAAATTTCCAACAGAAGACTGTTAGCACCGGCTGCGAGATATGGGAAAGCAGCGGACAATAATAGTTCCTCGCTTGTCTCCGAGGATATAACAAGAGGGAAATGCTCTGCGACATTCAAGAAAAATAGATCCAGACATCGTTCAACTGGGTGAGCAGGAATTTGTCCAATATCGCTTGGCTTAATGCTCCGCAGGAAGTTCTCGGCGAGGACGGGGTATTGTGAAAGGATGTCTATGGCTGCCAACAGCACGAACGTCTGCTGAGATGAGGCATTCTGGCCAAGCCGAGAAGAGATGAAATACATGTTGCGAAGTATGTGGAGACATTGCATCGATAGGTATGGGGCGCCTGGAAGAAACATAGTTAGTACAGAGCAAACATCATGGCTCGTTCGTGACTTACTACTGTTGGCAGCAAGAGCTGGGTCGTTGATAGTTCTCCCCAGCACAGCCCGAAGGGTAATAACCACCGAATATAAGCAATTTCGCAGCATCTTCCAGAGGGCAGGAAGTGTAATTTCCCGGGATTCTGCGTCTAGGAACTCTGCTTCTTCCGCAACATCAATCTCAGACAATTTGTTCTGCCGCCATTGAACCATGAGCGTCCGAACGAAGCCCGCCAGATAATCAACAGTCTGCGCAACAATCCTCGGATCCCGAACATTATCAACAGAATGCGCAATGAGACGAGACAGAGGCCCCAGAGTGGACACAAGTGGGCGAGCGGCTACCCCCGAGACGACACCAAACGTGGGGGAGTTGGATGACCAGCGGAACTGCTTCCCGGGAGCCTCAACAACATCTTGATCGATAGATCCCAAGAAATAGCCACCCTCAAGGCCCTCCGAAGACAAATACGCCGACTGAATCATCGCCGGGAGCAAGCGATCATAATCCAGCTTGCTTCTCTCGAGATCAGACAGAAGCTCAAATGTATAGTTCAAGACCATGGTGATGCACTGCCCATCAACCCCAGTCTCAGGGCCAACCTCCTCCAGCGCTAATTGCGCCGCTCTCGCAAGCGCCGACTCGAGTTTCACCCGAACGTGCCGTGGTAAGCCCCGTCGGTTTTGTCCCTCGAATCCCATCAAGATTCCGCCCAGCAGAAGTGTATGCCTCCACCGCGGGGACTTATCATCGGCGCCCTCGGCGACCGCCTTGACCCACGCCTCATACTCAATCTTCCTATTACGCCCGTACGGTATCCGAGGTTCGTCGGTGGTATCATTCTGCAAGACAGCGATGGCGGCGGTGTTGAAGACGCTGAGGATCTTGCGACATGATTGGAGGTCAACGGGGTGGCTCCAGAGCGAAGGTGCCGTGAGGAGTTGCGATGAAAGAAGTGTTAGATTTAGAGGGTTTCCCAACATTGACAGGAAACTGGTAGCCGTGGGAAGAAGACTAAATTGGCCTGTCGTTAGCCTGCCATTGACCTCCCCAATCCCATTAGAGTATTTGGCACTTACGAAGCGGCATCTTGGAAGCTGGAAGTCGCCTGCAGCGACCGCAGCAGCGTAGCAAGAGATCGTTCCGTGGCCATTTCAAGACTGGAGGTGATAGGGATGCTCCCAGACAAGCGGCTCTACATCGCCCAGGGAGTCGAGATGATCAACCGCGGAGAAGCCGAGGTCCGGCTCCAGAGCCAAATACGGGGGCGTCAGGTAGTGTTGACCAATGACGCAGAACCAAACAGTGCAAACAAGCATCGTCATCTCCGAGGGTCTCCAGACTTGCCTTTTTTGTTGATACGCGTGCAATACAATACTTTATAGTCAAAGTGACTGCTTCTCTGTCCACGTGTCATGCTTCGTTAATTGATCTTCGCTGCAGCTGAACCGGCGCAGCTACCTCTTCATGGCCAACAATCGCGTCCCGATTAACTACGAAGTGCCTTCGTTTCCGTCGCTGTACGATCCCCTACCGGCACATCACCAACAAGCATACTACCTATACCACACGGAGGACATCTGGCGCTTCACACTTTTCTGGACGTTGATATTCTACGGCGCGACACATCTCACTGTTGCTGGGTGTGCAGTACTGACTCATTTCCGTAACTGGAATGTGATATGGATTGTGCCGTTGGTGTACAGTTTTATTGCGGCGCTGGAGTCGCTTATAGCTGGCAGTATAATTGGAGTTGTGTAAGTTGGTTGCTTGACACTTGACTTACCCAGAATGATTAGGTAGCTGACGTTTCTGCGGTGGATAGCCTCGGCGCGGTGTATGAAGCAGGCAATTTCAGGATGTCCACTTGGCTCCCGATGATTTGGGGTGGTGTCAACGTTATGGTCCTTATTGTCACCAGCTTCCCCATGCAAGGCGGTCTTTGAATGATATCCCGGCTACTCTACTACTACCTTCAACCATACCTCTACATAGATGTCTACGTGGACGGCAACTACGGATTTGGAATATGCCAAACCAACCTACGCAAAGTCTCGTCGACGAAGACCTAGGAGACTTTGAAAATCCCGAAAATTTCCTATGATACAAATGGGATTTGATATCTCAGATAACGCCGTCGCCACGCATCAAAGTAGCTATGCTATGTCCTTTGCGCCAATGCCAAGCCGATTCAACGTGCATTTCAAACCAGATGTCCATTTTTCATCACTGTCTCCGATTTCCGTCGGGCATACCACCGCCTTGTAAACCAGGCAGGCCACCAAATCCACCAGGGAAGCCAGGGTTGCTCGCCAAAGCTTGGAGGTTGAGATTTTGTGGCATGGGGAAACCCTGGAGTTGCTTCTGCAATTGTGCCAGGTCCATATTCATGGGCGGTGTTCCGGTCATACCCTGCGGCATGGGGAACCCAGGCATTCCAGGTGTGGGGGTACTCGACTGCGATGGAGGAGGGTGAGTAGACATGAGTGCAGCCAAACGGTCTGGATTCATCCCACCCATAGCGCTACCATCCACTCCTGGCTGCCGAGGCTGAGCACTGCCAATACCAGGTAGCAACCCTCCAACGTCGGGCTGAGGGCCGGCCGGCGGCGCACTTTGAATACCCGGCAGGGCAGGGCCGCCTGGTCGTCGTTGATCGACCAGACTGTCGGCTTCGTCCTGCATTTCTTGTTCCTCGTCCTCGCGCATTTGTTTCCGGCCAAAGCCGCGGTTCCATGTTCCTTGGGCTTCTGCGGCCTCTTCGCCGATGTGGAATCGGTCCTTCATATAGCTAGTCTCGCCAGGTCGAGTCCGCGACCAGAATCGAGTGAAGTTATCCTTAGATCCAGAAGCCAAGATATGGCCCAATGGGTGCCAGTCTAGTGACCAAATTGTAGCACCGTGCGCGTACTGTACCCGATGTGCCGGATAGATCACCTGCGGCGGAGTATTGGCCGGGTCCGGGCTGTCATACGGTGCCACGGTGGGAATCTGACCGGCCGGTAGGTGGGGCTCATCAAGTAGATAATGGTAGAGAGAACCATCCTCAGCGCCAGTCGAGATAAGGTTACTGTGAATCGGGTGCCACGTCAAAGAAGAAACCGGCTTGTCATGACCTCGCAGAATGCAAATATCACGCATCATCCGCAAATCAAATACCCTCGCGGTCTGATCTCGCGACGAAGTAGCAAGGAGGTTGCTGTTCACACGCGAGAATCGCGTCGACGTGACGGTATTTTTGTGGCTGTGGAGGGTCGTCAAACAGCGACCAGTGCGCGGATCCCAGAACTTGACCTGGTGGTCCTTCGATCCCGAAACAATCAGACCCTTAGTCGGGTGCCAGTCGCAAGACTTGACATCCCAGTTGTGTCCGGTTAGTGTTGCGTCGGCCGTTCGGGTTGCAAAGTCGAAAATTTTAAGAGTTGTGTCATCGGACGCCGAAAGGAATTTTGTATCACTGGGCGCCCAAGCTAGATCGCGGACTGCATCGTGATGCGCATCATCAATCGTCTCGACGTTGTTGAAGTTGGGTCGCCAGTATTTGATATCACCTCTTTGTCCACCAGAGACCAGCCAGTCCTGGCTATGGGCCCATGCCAAGGATGTGACACCAGCCTGTATTTGATCGTAGTGTGCCTGCACGGGGAGAACACCTCATATTAGCAAGGGCGAAATCCGTAGTAGAAGCTGTAAATACGCACATCCATAACCGTCTCAAAATTAAACGCCGTTCCATTCCACAGCATAAACTCTCCCGTATGACCGCCGGTCAACAGCCGCCTTCCCTCGGGAGTCCATCGCACTACGACGATGGGTTTCTTTGATTTTCCGATTGACTGGTGAAGGTGTCGGACGGGGATTGTATCGACAGCAGAATAGGGCCGCGCCATCGGGGGAAGAACCTGTCGCAAGTCAATCTCTTTGTCCACCAGCCCAGAGCAGTTCAAACGACACATACATCGACCGCGAAGCTGGGACTTGGTCGTTCGGTCTCCAATCGATATCCTCCTTTGTATCTCGGTTGCCGTGTTCGCATCCATTGTACCATTGAAGAGCCATAATCCGTGACGAGACCTAAGAGTAACAGTTGCCAGGTCAGTCAGGTTTCAGGTTATGAACAAGAAGAAGCTCAGTCAAAATAACTTCAAAGCAAACAAACATACGTGGTCTGCGAGGTCCAACTGGACCGTCGAAATTCTTCCCAAATCGCCCACCGTCACCTGCATTGTCGTCGTAGTAGGCCATGGCGACCGGTTGAAAAGATATACAGGATCAAGGCTATCGGTTCGTGAACATGAGGATTGAAGTGAAATTGAAGTTTCAAATCCCGATCGAATACTGAATCGGACTGGTCCAACAAAAAAAGCACAAAATATGCGGAGAGAGTCGAAGCTCTTTCGGAGCGCAGGATCCGTCCCTTGAACGCTTTTGACGCTGATTGGCCCCTGCGGGATTTAACTGCAAGCTTGCGCTATGATGTCTAACCCCCCCACCAATGTCCAAGTATTAAATCATCTTGTTTCGCCTGCTTGGGTGCTTTTGTCTTTTGTCTTCTTCTCCTCTTCTTCTCCTTTCATCTGCCGTAATTGTGCGGGTTGGTTGTTCTACTCTTTGCATTGCTCTTCGTCGGTGCTCCGGTTTAATCGGAGCTCGACCTAAGGACCTTTTGATTTCTCACCCTCCCAAGATTACAGAGGTGTTAAGATGACTACTCGCACTGGAGCAATTACGAGGGCTCGCGAAGAATCCCAGGCCAATTCAACTAATGGGGCCATCTCGACAGTAACCGAGGTCTCTCCGCCATCAACTTCAACTTTCAAGAAACGCAGTAAATATCGCCATGTAGCTGCATACCACTCGGAAGCTCGTCATTCCAGCCTCAGTCGAGAGGCTGATGTGCTTCCTAACTTCCTGGGGTTTCGAAATCTCATGGTGTTGGTACTTGGTAAGGATCGCTAGAGAGTTTGTATACGCAAACTACGCAAACGGCTAATGTTCCGACAGTGGCGATGAACCTGCGATTGATTATTGAAAACTTCATGAAAGTGGGTAATCCAAATGTTCAATTACTCTTTCGAGGTTGCCAACTAACGAGAATATAGTATGGCGTGCTAATCTGTATTAAATGTCATGACTATCGCAGGCAAGACGTTGTTTTGGGGTCCATATTGTTTGCCTCGGTTCCATGTCATTTGCTTGTGGCTTACATTATTGAGCTTTCAGCCGCTACTGCAGCCAAGAAGACAGTGGGTCGTCAGAAAAAGACAGAGAAAGAGAAAGAACACGACCAGAAGGTCTTCCAGTCCACATGGCCGTACACTGCTTTCCTACACACGCTCAATGCTACCCTATGCCTCACAGTAACCAGCTTCGTGGTATATTTCTACATTCACCACCCAGGCATTGGGACAATATGCCAGCTACACGCGATTATTGTGTGGTTGAAGAACTGCTCTTATGCCTTCACAAATCGAGACCTTCGTCTCGCGCTCCTCAATCCCTCCGCAGATCCGGGCTTGCCCGAAATCTACTCCTCGTGTCCCTACCCTAGGAATATTACCATCAATAACCTAGCATACTTTTGGCTGGCGCCGACGCTAGTGTACCAGCCTGTCTATCCGCGCACAGCATCCATCCGGTGGTCATTTGTTGCAAAGCGCCTTGCAGAGTTCGTGGGTCTGGCAGTGTTCATTTGGCTTCTGTCTGCGCAGTATGCCGCGCCGGTATTGCGCAACTCGATTGATAAGATCGCAGTAATGGACATTGCCTCTATCTTGGAGCGGGTTATGAAGCTGTCCACTATCTCGTTGATCATTTGGCTTGCTGGCTTCTTTGCATTGTTCCAAGCGCTTCTGAACGCTTTGGCCGAGGTAATGCGGTTTGGAGACCGCGAGTTCTACACCGACTGGTGGAACAGCTCGAGTCTGGGTATGTATTGGCGATCTTGGAACCGGCCTGTCTACCTCTTCATGAAGAGACATGTATACTCGCCGCTGGTGGGTCGTGGATGGAGTCCCCTAGCTGCGAGTGGAATGGTTTTCACGCTCTCCGCAGTTCTTCACGAAATGCTTGTGGGAATTCCCACACATAACTTCATTGGTATGTCTTGCACCCCCCCTGATCACAGCTCAAAGGCTAATCAAGTCTAGGTGTCGCGTTCTTTGGTATGATGTTCCAGCTGCCGTTAATTTCCCTCACCGCACCATTGGATAATATGCGCGGGCCTGAGGGTCGGGTCATTGGAAACTGCATCTTCTGGGTCAGCTTTTGTCTAGTCGGACAACCGCTTGGAGCGCTCCTGTACTTCTTCGCTTGGCAGGCCAAGTACGGGAGTGTAAGTAGGATGGTGCCGAACGTGGGAGTATGAACTTTTGAAGGAACATATAGCCGTTTTGTGTATCCCATTTCTCTTGACATATACTGGGTCTTCCAGCTCTCATTGAACATTTATTCGTGAAATGCTAGAAAAGGTCAATTGCATGACGTCATATTGTTGTTGCCTTCTCCTTAATACTCCAGGGCTGTCAATTCCTTGAGAAACTAGCTTGAACGAAGGATCTAGAAAAGTCTTCGACGTTCTCAAAGGCCAACTATATCACGTTCTCAAAGGCCAACTATATCACAACGATCTTTGTAGTCGAGACTCCTTGAAAATTCCCGGGTCGGCTGAATCGATTGTACCGACGGAACTCGGGGCGTGTGACCCCCGAACCTCCAATTGACGTATAAAGGACACCCAGAATCAGTCGAAATCACAACATAAAGCTACTAACTCACATCATTTCCCCAGATTCTCTTATCATCATGGTCGCATTCATTGTTCCTGGCAACTACGGGTAAGTTATGCCACTCCTAGCTCAACATTCAAGCTTCCCGTGAGATCCGAGGCTAACATTATTCTCCCAGTGCCGTCATTGCCGTTGCACTCGGCGCCATCCCCGTCTTGGGATTCGTTCACGGCTGTATCACTGGCAGCCTGCGCAAGGAGGCCAAGGTGCCCTACCCACACAGCTATGCCTCCATGGAGCTATGCAAGGAAAATGTGCGTCTCATTCCCCGTCTATCACCTGGTCTTCGCAAGCCCCTTTCAATGAATATATATATATATATATATATACGTCCTATGGATCAAATGATACTTACTAAACTGTTTATAGGCCAAAGCTGAGAAGTTCAACTGTGCCCAGCGCGCCCACACCAACTTCCTCGAGAATGCCTCGCAGACAATGCTCTTCACCCTGGTCTCCGGTTTGAAGTACCCGGAGTTGGCCGCTGGCCTGGGCGCTCTGTGGGTTTTCTTCCGCGTTCTGTTCCTCTACGGTTATGTATACTCGAACAAGCCGCAGGGTAAGGGCCGCATGATGGGCGGGTTCTTCTGGTTGGTGCAGGGTGCTCTCTGGGGATTGAGTGTCTACGGTGTTGGACGGCCGCTCCTTTCTTTCTAAGTGCTTAAGGCTTGAAATCCGCTAGAATGTCTCGAAATTGAAGAGGTGCTATCTATTCTTATGTCAGATGTAATGAGACGTAGAATGCGCCACAGTTCCCGCCTCGGAAGATTAGCCAGTGGGGGTCCACTGTGGCAGAAAAAGTTCCCCGATGGTCTTCGACTCAAACCTGCTTCGATTCTTCTACTTTTGGACCTGAGAAGGCAATTGTATTCTAGAAGCATTTGTCATTTACTCCATTTCCTTCCTCATAAAATCTCAAAATCACTTACCAAATACATAACAACCACCTCTTCATCCCGTCAACCCCACCATGTCGTCCAAGTCGCAATTGACCTATAGCGCCCGCGCTCAATCGCACCCCAATCCTCTTGCGCGCAAGCTTTTCCAAGTCGCCGAAGAAAAGAAGAGCAATGTCACCGTCTCCGCTGACGTGACCACGACAAAGGAGCTCCTAGACCTCGCCGACCGTAAGTGAACCCAGCCCACCCCACCCCTCCAACGAAACAGCCCACTAACCCATCCCCAGGCCTTGGCCCCTACATCGCCGTGATCAAAACCCACATCGACATCCTCTCCGACTTCAGCCAAGAAACAATCGACGGCCTGAATGCCCTAGCGCAAAAGCACAACTTCCTCATCTTCGAAGACCGCAAATTCATCGACATCGGCAACACAGTCCAGAAACAGTACCATAACGGCACCCTCCGCATCTCGGAATGGGCCCACATAATCAACTGCTCCGTCCTTCCCGGCGAGGGCATCGTCGAGGCCCTCGCACAAACCGCCCAGGCGACTGACTTCCCCTACGGTTCCGAGCGCGGCCTCCTCATCCTCGCCGAGATGACCTCCAAGGGATCCCTCGCAACAGGCTCCTACACCTCCGCCTCCGTCGACATCGCGCGCAAGTACCCCAGCTTTGTTCTGGGCTTTGTCTCGACCCGCTCGTTGGGCGAGGTCGAGTCTACCGAGGCGCCCGCCCAGGGCGAGGACTTCGTTGTCTTCACCACTGGCGTCAACCTCTCGTCTAAGGGCGATAAGCTCGGTCAGCAATACCAGACGCCACAGTCGGCTATTGGCCGTGGTGCCGACTTCATTATCTCTGGTCGTGGTATCTATGCCGCTGCAGACCCCGTTGATGCTGCTAAGCAGTACCAGCAGCAGGGATGGGAGGCGTATCTGGCCCGCGTGGGTGCGCAATAGAGCGTGAAGTCCACGTTCCACTGTAGTTACATGAGTGGTGATGCATAATGAAAAAAATATATATATTTGATGGCGTGATATATAACCTTTTTGCAGCCCCGGGGCCCCGGGGCCCTGGTGGTCTCTTACATCAGCGTTGTTCACAGGTCTTTCCAATGTCATGCAAGGGCTTTCCTGCATGTGCAGACGATGCAAGGGCAAGGTTAAGTCCAACATGCAAGTGCTTAAGAGCATGTTTCACCTCGTATTCTATTGATCATGAGATCAAGAGCGGGTCTCTGAATATTCGAATATTTGGAGTAGCTTTGATAAGGAGCCCTTCTCCAACAATCCGTACCAAGGGGAACACCGTGCTTTTATTTTAACCTTATAATCCGTATTCTCCATTATAATCCGACCTATAACGCAAGTTCCCTCACATACCCCGACAAGTAGCTAGCCCTATGTTATACGACAATGGCAGCATCTACCATGATTACAAATCGGCCTCCACGCAGACATATGTTTGTCAGGATGAACGGCGCCATTACCTATATCTATCAAATGAGAGACTTGGTATATAACAGGATTGTAAAGACCTTTTCATATATTCCGACTCAATGCAAGTCTTGGATTGGTATCGTTGATTGGGTGGAGGAAATAGTGGGAATACGACAAATGTAAGATGCCGCAGAGATATCAAAATACCTCGTTCTTTCTATCGCCACCAAGGAAATATGCAATTCTAGTAACTCTTCTAGCAGAGCGGTCCTGTGGTCATAGGCGCTCTAGACTTCGTATACATTCCAAGGTTCGATTTTCGTGACCGTAATCCCAATGGAGATTCATGGATGCCTATTATACATAAACATTAAGCCCTTTGCAAGTATACCCTTAGCTGGCCAAGTCCATGATACACGATAGACCGTAATCGGATATAGGCCAGTGAAAGATTAGATATCACCAATGAAATAGCTGTTTCTAGTGGGACTGGATACTGCAGAGATACATAGTACATAGATAGGGACTGGAACATCAAGCGTCGTTTACCGTCGATGGTAGAAAGTGCTTCGTACTTTAGTTAGACTGCACGCTTAGTTATACTTTATTCTCGTCTAACTATACTAGGGCTATCTTGAGTCTATAGAATATTTGGAAAATATGTGATATTCGGGGTAGTAGAAATCAAACAAAGAAAGAGAAAACAGAAGTTGGGGAAAAGCTTCCATTATCTCCAATAAAGCCCCCGCATCTCCGCATCCAATAATCTGTATATCCATGCCAAGTGAATGTACCATAGTTACATAGGACGACGACTGAGCTGCTAGCATTTACTGTAAGGGGATGACTTGTATGCGGCGAATGTATGCCATCCGGGGTACAACTCTCTCATTGGTTAATATTGCCAGGCAGTATTTTAGATCCACTCTTACTATACAAAAACTAAATATAGGACAAAACGAGAGTATCCATCAATTGCTCTGAATCTTGATGCTGAAGTCGACTAGCTTTATATGGCTATCCACATGCCATACAAAGCTAGGCTTATAAAGTGTGGAGGGAGAGAGGTACGATCTGCCAACTAACTACCTGCTTGAGGGGTTGATTCCTGAGGTATAAATATTTAGGCCTAAGGCCACTATCGTAATAACTATATCAAATTGAAATATATGGTGTATAGTATATCGTATGTGGAATTGCCCAGAATGAAAAAGATGATTATGTTTATAATTAAGACTAACTATAACTAGTTAACTAGGTGAGATGTCTCATTAGCCACATAATCTATAGTTACCTTCCATAACGAAGTACCTAGGTACAACATAGTCCTGTACTCCCCTTTCCTCTACTACCTTTACATACAACCACCACAATACATTACTTTGTATGTCGTCACGATCTTATCTACTCTATAGACTCTAATAATTAGAACGATTAATGTACATATGTATAAAAATATAAGAGATGTTGAAAATAGTATACAGATTAAACTTAGCATGTATGCTTCGAGGAGGGAGCGGTGAGAACAGCGGTCAGGTTGTACCCAATGAGAGAGTTGTGCCCCGGTTGGCATATTCAGTCGCCCGTAGGCTTGCGCTCTTCTTTGTTGGAAGATAACCTAACCTAACTTACCTCCATTTTGATCATTCCCCTCATCTCCCCCTCTCTTGAACGCCCAATGAGACACAGCAGAAACCGCCATAACAGCCTATTATCGTATAGAGACCCACAACTTATTTTCCGAGCGGCATAGGAGGATGTATCAAGGATATGTTCAAGATAACGGTGCAGTGCAACTAAGCCGGCTTCGCCTAGATGTACAGGGTATCGGAAAAAGTAACCTTGGAACCTAGTTGGTCTGAAGTAAGATCATCCTATACAGCTATCAGACGTGCGGAGTTATCGACCTTACTCTTTTTACTTTATTTAGCGGTCCCCGCCCATCTGTTGTTTTCCTTTTTTTTTATGCATTGCCTTAGTATTGCTTATAGCTGCACTGCCGTTAACTTGGCAAGAGCTTAGTTTTGTTCTGCGTGACCTTGTCTGATATCAATTCTTCTACCGCATTCTTCTACGCTTTACCTTGTAAAACTGACACTATGGCCTCCGAGGAAAGAGCTGTTGGAATTTCCTCTGGCGTGGACACCGGTATCGCCATGGACAAAATAAAACATGTTGACTCTACAATTGAGAAGCATGCTCATGACGCCGATGAGGCTCTGAAGGCTTTGGGTGGTCTTCATGGTGAAACCATTGAGCTGGACGAGGCCACCAATCGCCGCTTGTTAAGCATTATTGATTGGCATATGATGCCGATCATGTGCTTCATCTATGGCATGAACTATCTGGACAGTATGTATACCCTTTCCTCGATTTTGTTTCTTAACGGAGCATGGCAAGAGCCAGCTTGGTTTTATGCTTGTTCTGTTGGCTGTTTAGTCCACTCGAGTGTTAATCCGTGACCCGATGTATAGAGACCACCCTCTCCTATGCCAGTGTTATGGGTCTTAGAACGGATCTGGAGCTCAAGGGAGACCAATATCAGTGGCTCGGGAGTTTGTTCTACTTTGGTATGTTACATCCCTACTTTTCTCCTCTGAGATTGATTCTTCTCCGGGAGCATATAACCTAATGGTTCTTCTGCATAGGTTATCTGGCCTGGGAATACCCGACCAACCGCCTCCTCCAGCGGCTCCCACTAGCAAAATATTCTGGAGCCTGCATCTTGATCTGGGGAATGATCCTCAGCTGTTTCGCCGCTGTCAATAACTACGCCGGTGCTGTCGCTATCCGTTTTATGCTTGGTGTATTCGAAGCCGCTGTGACACCGGGCTTTGCACTGTTAACTTCCCAGGTACAAAACTCATGACTATAAACTCGATACCAATGGATCGAGCTAATTTCCCAAACAGTGGTACACAAAACACGAACAAGGCATCCGCGTCAACATCTGGTTCAGCTTCAACGGCGTGGGCCAGATATTCGGCGGAGTGGTCGCGTACGGCATCGCTGTCGGCACCGAGAAATACGGGTCCTCCATCGAGCCATGGAAGATTGTCTTCCTCGTCACTGGCCTCCTCACCGTCTGTCTGGGGCTAATATTCCTCTGGATTGTACCAGACAGTCAACTCAATGCACGCTGGTTAAACGAGGAAGATCGCATCTTGGCTGTTGCCCGTGTGCGGGTCAACCAGCAAGGCATTGGCAATAAGCATTTCAAGCTATATCAGGTCAAGGAGGCGCTTTTGGACCCGATGACCTGGGCTTTTTTCCTTTATGCTTTGATTGCTGATATTCCAAATGGGGGTATTTCCAATTTCTTTAGTCAGTTGGTATGTTGACGATAGCTTATTAATAACTTGATGGTTCCAAGCATTGCTGACCAGTTCCATCACAGATTACAAGTTTCGGATACAATTCGAGAGACAGTCTGATTCTGGGTGTCCCTGGCGGCGCAGTAGAAGTCGTTGCACTGTTACTCAACGGCTATATCGGACATATCACGGGGCAGCGCATCCTTGCTAGTTTGGGTGGGCTAGTCGCTTCAATCGTGGGGATGCTGCTCATTGTCGCTCTGCCCTTATCGAACAATGTTGGCCGTCTGATTGGATACTATCTCACACAAGCCAGTCCGACCCCTTTCGTGGCATTGTTATCGCTGATTTCTTCGAATGTTGCGGGGTATACTAAGAAGACGACTGTGGCGGCTTTGTATTTGATCGGATATTGTGCGGGAAATATTATCGGTGAGTACTTCGTACGAAGTACACAGAACATCAAGAGATAAGGGACACGCTAACTCAACTTCCAGGCCCACAAGTCTTCCGTCCAAAGGATGCCCCCCCGCTATGTCCCCGCCGAGGTGACACTTATCGTCTGCTGGGGGGGTGTGTCTATTCATTATGCTCGGGATCTGGATGTGGTATCGCCGCGAAAATGAGAAGAAGATCCTTTTCATTGCTCGACCAGAGTATGTGAGATTAGAGAATCAAGAGTGAGTTATTTACATCGAGCTTTATTAGCTATTTTGTTTAACTTTTGCTAACTTTTATAGGTTCCTTGATTTGACTGATCGAGAGAACCCCGAGTTCATTTATTCTCTTTAAATTATAAAATTTGGAGAGTACTATTATGGGCCAATGCATTCCCCAGTGTTCTATGAAAAATGTAGATCGTTGAGACTTAGGGCTTGGCGTCCCAACACACACTTGCATGCAATGTCTATCATAGGTTAGCGTACAATAACTAGTTAGTTATAGTACTTTGAATGGACTTAATTTAGTTAACTAGTTATTATTTATCAAATTCTTTGATCCAAACAGAGTTTCTACATTGACAATGTGACCATGTGGTGAATACAACATAGTTTCCCTTGTAGCCTTATTATTGTTATTATTAGCACCATTATTAACATAAATTACCATAGCATATTTACCCCATACTATGTTACATGTTACAATTAAAGCCCCTGCATTTATAACTGCAAGTACAACTGCAACTAACTGCAGGGTACGCGCCTTCTTAGGACGATCATGGCCAGACACTCTAGACGCCCCCCCCACTCCGCTAAAATAAATGAGGAGCGGTGTGTTCATATCCAAAATAATAAAAGGAAAGACATTTGCTTGACTTTCATTCTACTATTTTCTTTCATTTTTGTTTGGTTTTGTTTCTTTCATGCCTATCTTCAAGATGGAGTCAACTTCTCATTTTAATACATTGTAGCCCTAATCTTCTTATCTTACATGAACTACTGCCCAACTACCCCCCTTGATATACATCTGATCAGGGCACCTGCCTTGTCTACGGGTATTTGCCTATGATCAAAGTTGCCCGCTGACGGGAATATGGCTACAGTCACATGTCTGGCCCTTAAGCCATCTTTGGCTATTTCCAAGTGCGAGCCCACTATCACAGAGCTCCAGGGATGTGAATCACCTATATCTTCTATATCCCCATCTGAGATGGCACCGAAGGTGAAAAGGATCAACCCACCGGGAAATGAGTCTAGTCGGCGAGAATCACAAACATCGACATCTACTTCGATCAGTCACTCTCGCTCGGCATCCCGCAGCACCCTGCGATCGCGACCCAACAGCCGTCGCAGTTCCGTCCACTCACCGCGCCGGGCTGTGCCCAACGCCGCTATCGTGCCTGTCACATCACCTCGCAGTTCCATGCAGGATAAGCGCGAGTCACTACTAGCTCTACACCGGGAGTCATGTCGTCTGTTCCAAGGCGATGGATCCAACAGGTCCTCAACCGAGACAAGACCTTCTCTACACCGGACAGCATCAGCTACATATAGATCTCAGCGAGATGGCCGCATATCAACAGAGAAAGGCACCTCGGCACCCTCGTCACCAATCGCACCTTCATATTCCAGCTTCCGCTTCGAGCCAGAGTCTACTTTACCGACCTCGCCGAGCGCACCACACTTGGTCACTTCAAGAGATCGATCAAACACCTTGCCCACCAACCACCACCACAGCCCCTCGTCCTCGTCCATCCATGTCCCGGCGACAGTAATGGAGTGGACCTCACCCGATACCCGTCGGCGTGAGTACGAGAAAATCGACCGCGCAAGCAGTGGTGTCCGGGGTCTCTGGCGCCGTGTCGCGCCTCGCTGCTTCCAGTCCCGCGAGACTCGCACCCCGTTCTTCGAGGAGGGCAAGACTGAGCGCGAAGGCAGCGTGCGTCGATTCCGCATGGATATCCCCGAAGATGAAGAGCCAGAGCTGGATTCCCATCAGGGAAAGTCGCAGACCCAGGTCTTGGATTTCCCGGCCAAAAAACCGACCTCAAACTCGAATTCAAATAAAGATTCCACCGACGGAGCTCGAAAACGTTGGACGTGTCTCCGTTCAAAGTCTTCTCCTCTTCCTAATACCTAAATTCTTGATTCCGATTTTGGATGCCCCAATATTTATCACTATCACCTTGTCACACAGAGCATAGCACAGGTGCTGCTCTCAAAACTACACTGCCTCAACCCCTTTTCCTATGATACCATGATCCCCGAGTGATGATCTGCATTTGCATCCAGTGGTTCCCTATCCCGCCGTCCAACATGTCCCTTGTCTGCGGGAAGTTCATTCTCTGGCCTATTCTTATCTCCAGTCCCTTTTGCATTTGTTGCATTGCTCCTGTCGTTTTTTGACTGAGATACCCTTATTGTTATTGGAACGCTGTACATAGCCCCCATATTGGTACATATATAACAGATAATATCTGGCATCTGAATCCTTTCTCTTTCTGTTTTACTTACCTCTTGCCGCTTTTTGAGTACCGAGTAAAATCTTATATGACGATCACTGATCATGATATTTGGGAATATCCGAACAAAATGCTTTGTTCGCTAAGTATCGCCTGATCATCATCTGAACACCCCGATCCACTCACTGATCATCATCCCTGAGGGCCCTGATTTGCTCATTGGACATGAACAAAGTTTCCACGTGTAGAGGGAATATGCTGTCAATGCTCTCAAAGCGAGGGGAACGCGTAACTTCCGAAAACAGCATGCAGGAGCAGAGTTTCTTTCTAGACATGGTGGACAAGAAGATCATAACTCGGATTGGGTTTGGGGTACATAAAAGATGGCCATTTCCCACCTGAGCAGATGGACTTGGACCAGTAAGAAGCAAAGGCGAGAGCACCAAGATAGTCCAAACAAACACTACAAAGCGGTGTAGAGCCACCATATAACCTTCCACGTTAAATCAGTTCTGGCAGCTCCGGGGAATAGAAGCTGAGCTTCTTCAATAGACAATGAAGTAAGCACTTGGTGGTATACAACGGTTTACTATCTATGGCTCTAGAGAACATAGGTAGTATTCATATCCATATTGAGTTATCAAGGGAACCTAGGACATGAGAGATCATTTCACGAAACATCAATACGCCAAACCTAAACAGGCCACAATGCACAAGCGCCGGGTATATCAGAACAAAAACCCAAAATGCTTTTTCTTTTTTTTTTTTTCAACCGAGTCGATCACAGAAGATCAAAGTCATCCAACTTCTCACGGTAACGCAAGATATTACGCTTGATCTTGCTGGAATCAACCCAGGTAACGAAGTCCTCCATGTTGCGCGTAACCAAGAAAGCAGGATCATTGACGACCTCCGTACCAACACGGACATGGCCCTGCTCAATGAAAGTAGTAGCCTAGCAAGAATAAGTCAGCATTCCATCACATACATGCTCAACTCCGAACCAAGTCCCCACTCCGCAACTTACAGCTTTGATAGTCTCAACCATGCCAGAGCGCACCATGAAGACGGCCAATCGGCGACGGCACAGCGCGGAAACTGTTACTTCGCGCTCGACCCTAGACAGACCGGCGCCCTGCTCGCGGGACTGCTTTAGGATTCCCATGCGCCATAGCTTCTCGAGCAGCTCGGATTCGAGCTTCTTGCGCAGCGGGTCCGCATCTGGGTCCAGCTGGGAGAGCTTGTGTGCGAGTTGGCGGAGAGAACCGCAGAGCGCACTGTATTTGCGGTAGTCCATTGGGTCTTGGAGGAGGTATCTTTGGCGGATTTCATGTTCGCGGTGGTTGCCGTCCGACTTGTAGTTATGGAAGTCGACCTTCCGGAGAAGCCTGCAGGGGTTTTATTGTTAGCAATTGATCGTTGTGGTATCGTGAAGCTTCGAAGATATTGGATGGGATCGGGTTGAGATTTCTGCGGACGGGAGTATAGGTGTGGACGTACTTCTTCTCGTGGTGCTTGAGTTCACGGACCATTGTGGCGGCAGTTTCGGCTGGGTAGTATTAAACCGGAGAATATATCGAGAATGACTGAGCAAAGCGTGGACGTTGTTTCCAGAAGAGTCGCTGCGATAACAAAAAAATCAAGGCGGTCGATTTCTGCCGGGTAGGTCCCTCACACCGCCCGTCTTTCCCCAACCGCCAACATCTCCCCACGGCTACTTCCTGTCAACATTGGTTGACCTGAGTTCACAAAAATGGAGAGTACAGCTGATACACCAAGTAAGGTGACAGGCCGCCCTCGGGTGGACATCGACCCATACAAAGATGAAGTCATTGCCCTGTTCGAAAAGAAAATGAAGAGTGAAGACATTTGCAAGCACCTGAAAAGGCAGCGTGGTATTCAGATCTCGCCGCGTACTCTAAACAAACGTCTACAGGTATGGGGCGTCAAGAAAGTTAAGGAAAACAACTCCTCCAATCCAGCGCTACACGCCCGCATCAAAAACCTGTTTTTCGACGTGGGTCTGACAGACCAAGAGATCGTCACTGTTCTACACGACGAGGGCTACGATGTCTCCAACCGTACGCTCCGCAGACTCCGTCACAAGCTCGGCATCCGCCTCCGTCTTGATTCGCCTGCACAACAACAAGCACAGGTCCAGGAGATTCTCGACGCTCTGACCGAAGAAATGGACAAGGGGACCATTGAGGGATATGGAAAGGAACTACTGCACAACCACTTCCGAAGCAAGGGGTACGTCTTTGCGCGAGATCGTCTCTACAGTGTCTACCGCATGTTGCGCCCGGATACAGTGGAACGCCGCACGAACGATGTGCCCCGGCGTCCTCCCCCGCCAAAGATTCTAGCCGGCCCTAATCTAACCTGGCACGTGAATGGGTACTCAAAGCTAGCCAATTTCGGGTTCCGCATTCATGCCGAGCTCGATGCCTACTCCCGATATGTCCTCTGGATTCATGTTGGGGTGGAAGCCCACACGGCCGCGGGCGTTCTCAAAAACCACCTTGCGACTGTTGCTTCTAAAAACCGCCAACCACGCACTCTGCGATCTGACTTGGAGTCCGAGGTTCCTCTTTTAGCCGATGCTCACTTTGCGCTCCGTCGCGTCACTCAACCGGATGTCCAGCGTGAGCAGTGCTGTGCACCTGGACGAGCCGCAGATACCCACCGGATTGAATCCTGGTGGGCCCAGCTTGCTAAATCAGTAGTAACACTTTACTATGTTAGTCAACTTCCACAGTTTCCTCCTACATTCAATTGCAGAATACTAACCTTAGCCAGAACTATTTCCGCGATCTTCACAACGAGGGCCTCTTCTCTTCAACAGTAATTTCCGAACAAGTCGCCCTCTTCGCTATCTACATGCCCACCCTCCGCTCCCACATCAATTCCTACGTCCAAACTTGGAACATGCACAACATCCGCAAACAAACAGACCACCCAGAGCGCACCCCCGGAAAACCCTACATGAATTACCACCACCCGCCTAAGGGCGTAGAGAACTTCGGTCTCCCAGCTGACGTCCCGACGCTGCAGGCCATGCGACAAAACCACGCCGAGTACGATACGGAGCAATATCTACCGCAAGATACTCTGCATTGGTGTGAGTCGCAACTTCAGCAGCTGGGCTTCGATCCTCGTAACCCGCCTCCTCGGCTTCCTGGTGACCTCCAGCCGTTCCGCTCAGTTTACTTGGCCCTGCGCGAGCGAGCGTGGCATCATGAGCGGTCGGGAGCTGAACCAAAATTGACGGTTTGTGCGGTTCCTGGCCAGGGCTTACGGGGTTATTTCCCCTCGGGTTCTGGTCGGTAGATGTTCCAAGGTCGATGGGCATAACGAATAATGAATGCAAGGTTGAGGGTTTGGTATCAGCTAGGTTTTATTGCAAGCGCAGCATTTTTACTACTATTAATATGTCGGAATTGATGTTTTCCTATTCCCAAAGCACGAGTCGGACAAGTAACTTCGAGGGATCTCATTTATTAAATCATAAGTCTCCTTGGATGAGAAGGTATGTAGGAAATGTCCGTATGTATTCAATCTAGTCTCAAACGCATTGGAAAAAAAAGAACCTACAAGAATGCCCCAGCAAAAACAAAGAGACAGGATGATAGTCATAGCAACAAATCATGACAACCCAATGCAAAGTACTAAGAAACTTGCTGGAAAAGAGACAAAAGATCACCCAGGAAGACTAAGAAGTAGAACCTCCATCAACCAAACGACTCCTACCAGCAATCTTCTCACTCAAAGCCCTAATATTCTCCGCCCCCATAACATCAAGCAAAGAAACCTCAGCCTTAAGCTCCTTAACAATCCACGCCCGGAACTCCATAGCAACAAGGGAATCAATCCCCCAAAGCCAAAGCGCCGAGGATCAATTTCCGAAGAAGAAACAGCAAGCAGCGAAGCAAGTCTCTCAACAATCCCATCAGACACAACAGCAACAGCACCCTCGACACCCGAAGCAGCCGACAAAAGCGCAGCAATACTAACAGTCTTCTGCTGCGCCACCTCACTACTCTTCGCCGTCATCGTGTTCCGGAAGTGCGTGAACATCGAGTAATCCAGGTAACTGGGCAGCGGCACAGCGTTCTGACGACACATCTCCGCAGTCGGAAGACCGAGGACGAGCTGTGAGCTCGACGACGCATTACCGCCGTCCTGCTGGTCGCGGATGAGGAAGTCGACTGCTGCGTGGACTTCTTCTTCGCGGAGAAGTTCGAATAATGTTGCTGTGTGCGTGCGCATCGAGCTTCGGTTCTCCGCCACCCAGCCAACGTTGGATACACTGCCTAGGTTTATACTGGCGGCATGCATGCCCTTCGACACGCGGTATGCCGCCAGTGCGTCTTGGAAGGTGTTGCCTGCGGCGTAGTTTGATTGTCCGCGGTTGCCGAATATGCCTGCGACGGAGGAGAGCATGATGAAGAAGTCCATGTTGGATGGTAGGACTTTATGCAGGTTCCAGGAGCCTTGGACTTTGGGTTTGATGGCTGCTTGCCAGTCTTCGAAGGAGAGTCCGGCGAAGGCGCCGTCCTAGTAATGTGTTAGTTGGTGTATATCTAGTAACCCGAGGTGTGGTGACTTACTCGTAGTACCATGGATGCCTGAATGCATCCTTTGATGGGAGGTAGATTCGAAAAGCTATGTCCTGATAATTGCTGCAGGCTAGAGATATCGGCGACATCGCAGGCGAGGGAATGGACCTCGCATCCCATTTTGTCGAGATCGGCAATCAATTCCACTTTCTCTGGACTGGAAGCCGATGAGCGGGATAGGATGATGAGGCTCGTTGCACCCCGGGATGCCATCCATCGTGCTAAACTACGACCCAAGCCGCCGTAGCCACCAGCAAGAACGTACGAGGCGCATGGGTCAAAGTGACATGGCGAGAGTGGTCGTGGGATCACAGGGACCACGTTGGACGGATTAGGCGCAATCACAACTTTCGCTGCTTTTCCGCTCTGCGCAGCTCGAATGCCCTCTTTGATCTGAGTGAAGTCCATGACAGATGTTGTTCGAAGTTGGCCGATCTGGCCTTCGGAGTACAATCTCAGTACCTCGATGAGCAGAAGACGAACCCATTTTGGTCGATGCTGAGCCAGCGAAAGAATATCGACTGTGTGGAAACTCACATTGCGAGGCAAAGAGGTCAGCTCGACTGTGGTATCGGCTCGCAGATCTGGATTCGACACATCAATAAATGCCCCAAATGGAGCAAGGCATGCAATTGATCCCCGCAGTGCCTGGCCGCTCAGTGCATTGAAGACGACGTCAACCCCGGTATTTTGTGTGCACCGCATGATACCCTTGACAAAGCTCAGATCCCTTCTAGAGAAGATACGGCCTTGAGAGATACCGTAGTCAGAGACAAGCAGATCACGTTCTTCGACCGTTCCCACGGTAGCGTAGATTGTAGCTCCAATCATCTGGGCATACTGAATGGCCGCTTGACTGATATCCGTTGCACTGGTATGGATCAGAATAGTGTTTTCGGGTGCCAGATGAGCAATCTCCCTGAGTCCTTGGATTGCTGTCACGTATGCCCAAGCCAAACCGGCGGCAACTTTGAACGAGATATCATCAGGGACTCTCACGAGTTGCGACTGATCAGTTCGACCATGAGTTCGGACGGAACCACCCTTTTGTCGCCCAAAATGTAGATGACTCTGTCACCCAGGGTTGGGCCTTCAACTTCCGGTCCTACCTTGCTCACGACACCGGCAATCTCATTCACCAGGTGGCCGGTGGAAATATCTGAAGAAAGGCCAATTGCTCGGATCTCAATCTCGACCTCAGTGGCCTTACATGATTCTTCATGCTGTGTATCAATGACCCAGTGGCATTCACCGGTGCTAATAGCGGCCTCGTGTAACTGAATGGGAGTATGATAATCCCGGAGGCGTTGAAGCTGAGGAGCTTGCTGAGAGGACTGTGCAGCCAGGAACTGATCCGCAGCCTCCCACTCGTTCAAACGGCCAATGTGGATGAGACCATTCTGCAACATGTACTCCGCATGACTATCATTCTCTGGCTTGTCTACGAATTGACGTTTGACAATTTTGCCGATGGCTGCAGTAAGATTCTCTGGCGAAGCGATCTCCGATCCCGGCTCCGCCTCTGTCAAAATGACGATATTTGAGCCATCGGCATCTCTCTCCCAGCGCACTGTTCGGAGAAGACCGAGGCTCATACTTGCATGTGGATGCGAAAGGGGATTTCTGGTCACCCACAGTAAGTTTTGGCACTCGCTAAGCAACTTCTTGAGTCTGCTGTATTCCACCTCGTTCATATCGAATAGGTATGGAGACTCCAAGTCGATCAATGAGATGTAGAGTGCATCCTGCAGGATAGAAGTTTCCAATTCCGCAGGCTCCTGAACGAGAATATTCATATATCCCAGTTCTGGTAGAATTCCTCGGAGGTTCTCAATAGCCTCCCCTTCCAATTTATCGATTGTCAAGATAACCGCTGTATTCGGTGACTTCTCCTTGGGTATTTCGATGGCAGAAGAAACCAGAATACTCTGCCATGTCAAATCTGGATCGTTCGAGCTGGGGTACTCAATATCAATGCCTGAGAACCCCGCTTTCAGCAGCAGAGAATTCCATTCAATGGCCGGGATGTACGGACACCACTGACGACATGGCTCATCGCCCAGCCACCACCCGGAAAGCTGACCAAAAACAAGTGGATACCAGAGGAAATCTTGTCGGATTCCTTCCTGCATGATGAGCTGGCCACCTGGCTTCAATAGAGATCGTAGGTTCTGCAAAGCGTTCTGAAGGTTTGCCGTGGCGTGGATGACATTGCCAGCGAATATCAGATCATATGTCCCTAGTTTGAGTCCCTGATCGACTGGCCTTCGCTCGATATTGAGCGATTGGAAGTTCATGATGTCAGACCATGCTTGGAAACGCTGTTTTGCTTTTTCGAAGAAGCCCGACGAAATGTCCGTGAATGTGTAGCTGGCAATGTTGCCTTTCCTCTTCCCAGGGTCTGGTGAAAGAACAGCTAGAACTTCCGCAGTAAAACTGCCGGTGCCCCCGCCGATCTCGAGGATGTTCAGTTGGGAATGATGGTGACGGAGGAGAGACAAGTGGTTCTGTAGATGCTGTGGCAGGTTATACAAGTGGAGGCCTTCCTTGTACACTTGTTCCATCACGTTGTCTTGACCAAACATGAGATCCAGCGGATCAGTCTCCTGGCGCACAACATGGGCGATGTTGCGGCCCATTCGGGCTGTGATGGCACCTTCAGCACTGTGGTCCTCCATTTCCTTTTCAATAGCTTCCTTGAGAGACTCATCCTCGAAAACCTCCTGGAATTCGCTGTAGGGCAGATGGATTATTTGATTGCACTCGAGTAGCCCTCTCATATGCTCCATCCAGCCAAAGAATCTTCGCATGTGCAGATCTAGTTTCATAACATCAATGTCCTTGAGCTCGTCCAGTGCATCCACGACGTAAAGCATCGTTACAAGCTGAAGGCGCCTGACCCAGTACAAAGCCTCGGTGTTATTGGTGGCATCGAGAGAAGTCAGTGCACAGGCGAATTTGGAGTCGAGGAAATGGAGATCAGGCTTGTATTCAATCGCGCTGCACAGTTTTCGCTCACTACTTTCGGCAAGACCAGACTCCAGTGGAGTGAGCTCGATGCCGTTCATGCGGATGCGAGGTGTGTTTGTTCCCTCATCGAACATCTGGATTTGGCCCTCAAATTTATCAGATCCCACCATAGACACGGTTGCATGTCCTGTGAATTTGTGCGTTGGGGTTGAATTCAGATCTGCTGAAACCCAGACATCGCGTACGAAAGTTGGCAATCTGATCTGATCCAGGGTGGACTTGTTGGTAAAGTCGAGAACAGCCGCAATCATCAAGTGGATCATACTATCCATTGTGGCAGGGTGGATGAGATGAGAATGTAGATACCGCTTTGGCATAGACTGTGCAATGTCCGGGACCGTCACTGATCCAACAACTTTACCAAGCCCACGCCCACTTGCACGAACGTTTGTAAGGTTCCGGAACAAAGGACCGAAATTGAGGCCGGATGTCTGGAGGTTGTTGTATGTGGATTTGAAGGCCATGACCTTGGCACATGTCTCATTTGCGCGGAAAAGTTCAGATCCCAAAGCTCGGCTTTCTTCTTCTGCTTCGCGGCCATTGTCCACTGGGTCAAGAGCTGTTTCGTGGTCGACGGTGATGTGACCAGTGCAGTGTTCTGTCCACTCGTCGCTCGATGCGTTGTAGGAAGTTATTTGGAATTGGCGCCACGTTTGCGATGATTTCGAGGAGTCTTCGACAGTTGCCATTGCCAAGGAGACTTCAATTCCTTCTTTGGTATCGGGGACAATCAAGGCTCTTCGGATGTTGACTTTTCGTAGTTGGAACCCTGTGATCTTTGCCTCGCCAGCCAACTGCCTCGATGCTTCAATTGCCATAATCAGATAACCCACGCCAGGGTAGACGTAGTTGCCAGTGACCTCAGCAATGTTAATGAATGAAACTATCTTAGAGAGAGTTTCGGACTCACCATATGATCCCTTAACCAGGGGTTCTCATTCAATCGGACAAAATGTCTCCATCTGGGAGCAGTAGGATTCCAATCCGTGATTGGTGCGCCAAAGAGATCATGACGAGGGAACTTTCGAGTTCGAAGATTCTTGCTCAGTCGACTCTCAAACAGAATCTTCTCGGTATGCTTGAAGCTGTATGGTGGCAGGTCCACCATCAGTCTGGGTCGTCTTCTTGCCTTAGAGCGAGGAGCTTGATTCACAGCGTGAAAGTCTAGTTCACATCCACTTGAAGCTAGGAATCCAACTGTAGTGAGTAGAGTGTTGAGGCTATGATCTGTCCGTTTAAGAACAGCCAGGTACTTGAATTCCAACTTGGGGCTCTTTGACGCCAGTGTCTCTTTGATGGCACTCTGCAGGGTTGAGTGAGGCCCTACTTCCACAATAAGGCGCAAAGAATCCGTGGAATTGGTCGAGCCATGACTGGAAATTGATCTTGAGGTCATTGCAACCAAACCACTTGTGAAAAGAACAGGAGAAACCATATTATCCACCCAGTATTGAGCAGGAAGATGTTCCTCTTTGACTTGCTGTCCTGTGACAGTGGAAAACATATGCACTTGGTGTGGAGCTGCGAGTCGCCTTCCATAAGGAAGCGTTCCCATCAGACGAAGGTAATCCTCAGCAATGGCATGCATGTGGGCCGAGTGATAAGCATTCTTGACGTTTAGCTTTCGAGCAAAGATGCTATCGGCATCGAGAAGATTCTTGAGGCAATCAATCATGGCATCGTCTCCAGACACAGTGTTGTTCTTGGGACTGTTGCGGCAAGCGATGATGAGCTCCCCGGTGTTGTCCTTCTTCACAGAATCGATATAAGGCTGCAGTTGTGATGCACCCAGACCCACGGCCATCATCGCTCCATTTGCGGAAAGCTGCTTGGATGATACGTATCCACGATAGTATGCAACCTTCCAGGCGCCTTCGCGGGACAGTTTGCCAGAGCAGTAAGCGGCAGCTATCTCGCCGGATGAGTGCCCCGTTACATGTTTGGGGAAGATTTCCCAACTGGCCAAGAGATCCACAAGCGCAACTTGCAAGACTGTGCACAACGGATGAGCGATCTCGGGCAAGTTGACTCGGGGTGTCTGTCTTTCAGTCAAGAGTTCGTCTATAATACGTTAGTCGAGCGCATTCGGCCAAAGCTGAAAATCAAAGTATTACCAAGTAGCGACCACGGACTACCAAGCCGGCGGATATAGTCCGATGCTTCCTCTACGGAATCTTGGAAAACGGGGTAGACCATGAGCTCTCGGCCCATGGCCTGGTATTGAGCTCCCTGGCCAGTGAAAACAAATTCAACCTCTGGCACTCTAGCAGTTCTGGTTGGCTTGGGAAAATTCGATTCAGATAGGTTCCATGCGAGTTCTGTGACGGAGGACGCCATGACGAAACTCTTCCAGGCAAACTGGGATCGTTTCTTTGACAAGGTGAAGGAGAGATCATCAAGGAGATGGTCGTGGAGAGCCGACTGCGTCGTTCTCCATGTCAAGTACTTGGCAAATTCAGCTGCGTTCCGCTTGACGCCATCTTCGTCGAAAGCCGATAGCAAGAACACCTTTGGCTTCTCGACCAAGCTGGTGTATGTGGAAGACGTGAAGGTTGGTGATGCACAAAAGCCATCGCTTGTGGGTGTGTCCACAAATGTGTCCCCAGGCCCAGAGTGATCGCTGTCATCGAATGAATCCGTCGCAATATCATTTGATTCATTTCCTGATCGAGACAGAGCCAAGAGCTGGCTCCTGATTTTCTGGACTGTGGGGACAGTAGATGTGGTGCGGTGAGCACCTGTAAGACGGCGGTCATTCAGATAGTGGTAAGCGTCATCAAGAATGCAGTGAGCATTGGTGCCACCAATTCCAAATGAGTTGACTGACACTCTTCGCAGCCCTGATGATGGCCATGGAATAGCCTCAGTAGGGAATGCAATATTCCAGTCCGCTGCGGGAATGGAGGGATTTGTCTTCTTCATATCAAAGTTTGCAGGTATGATCCCAGTTTCAAGCGTTAGAATAGACTTGATAATGCTTGCCACGCCCGAGGCACCTTCTAGATGCCCAATGGAAGATTTGATCGCCCCGACATAAAGCGGAGTCTCTCGGTGACATTTGAATGCTCTCGCAAGAGCCGCGGCTTCGATTGGGTCACCGGTGCTTGTTCCCGTGCCGTGGGCTTCAACAAAGCTTGTGTCTTCAAGATTCAGGCCGGCTCTCCAGTAGACCTCACGGATTAATCTTTCTTGTGCGTCTGAACTGGGAACCGTGATTCCTGGCGTGCGGCCATCCTGGTTGACCCCGGTCTCCCGAATAACCGCACGAATTGTATCACCATCTCTGATGGCGGCACTCAAAGGCTTTACTACAACTGTGCCTACACCTTCGCCTCGCGCATAGCCTTCGGCACGGGAGTCGAAGCTGAAAGACCGCCCTTGAGGTCCCAACAGACCATGGTGGCTCATGCCGATGGTTTCCACGGGATTTTCAAGAATGCTCACACCACTGACGACAGCCTTGAGGATTATCAGTATATCAGCACAAGAATATCAATATAAACACAGCTATCATACCATGTTCGTCTCTCTGGTACGTAGGCTCTGTACAGCGAGATGCAGCGCCACCAAGCTGCTGGAACAAGCCGTGTCAATGGTCATGCTAGGTCCTTTGAAGTCAAAGAACCAGCTGACACGGTTGGATAGAATAGCATTGGTGACACCTGTGGGTTTGTATTTTAAAGTGGTCTCAGGGTCTGAATTGAGGATACCCAGGTAGTCATGGTTGAATCCACTGACATAGACCGATGCGTTTGAGCCAACAGCGCTAGTCAATGGAATGCCTGCATTTTCCAAGGCGTGGTACACATTTTCCAGTACCAGTCGCTGCTGCGGATCCAATGTCAAGAGCTCATTCTTTGTAATGTTGAAAAAGGAGCCATCGAAGTAGGCGGGGTCTTCTGAGAGGTAGTGACCTCCTTGGACATGAAACTATAGATAGATATCAGTTAGCCGAGTATTCATAGTGATTTTGGTTGGCATGGCTCGGATATTGGTTACCGTTCCACCATGCTCAGGGTCTGGATGATAGAAGGCGTCTGAGTTGAAACGTTTTTTGGGTATCGATGACCATGTCGAGCGGGCCTGTAGGAGTAGCTCCCACAGACTCTCGGTGGTCGTTGCTTGTTGCGGAAAGCGAGTGGCTAGGCCAACGATAGCAATTGGTTCCAGAGCATCAGAGGGTATGGCTCTATCGTTACTGGAGCCGCATGCCAGCGAGAGGGAACGCATCTTCTAATGCTGATGAGGGATAGGTCGTTATGATATCAAAATAACTAGATTTAGAAAAGAAAATGGAAAGTATATGGAGGAGGTATAAAGAGAAGGTATGGAAGGGTAAAGAATGAGATGAAGATGACTGAAGACAGAGTTTGCATATAAGATAATGAGGATTTTGATAGTAAAGACCACTGCGTACCCCCCTACTTATATACGCGAGACCAGACCAGTAAAGGCATGTGAGGCTAGGGAAACGGGATTTTCAAGAAGCCGAAAGCACTGTTAGAAACCCGAGGATGGAAGTCTAGCCAGTGGGCACGAGCATTTCTACTGATCTTCGCGACTTTCCTCTTTTGGTTGCGTTCATTAAAAAGGTGGCTTGGTATATTTGGAATGTCTAGGACTTCTGTCGTTCCTGTATGTACTTTGTTTGTACTTCAGAAGGTGAACATCAAATTTATATAATCTATAAGCATATTTGGCCTACACATGAACATATATATATCTAGGTAGTATTCTCCCAAGTAGAGACCAATATATTCCCAATTGATCCCAAAAAACCAAAAAGTTCTAGATGTCATAGGTTTCCTATACCAATGATGGCCTTCTATAGATATTTCCCGATGCAGATGGCTACAGTATAAGCACACTAAATGTATACCGAACCAACAGGTCGGAATCATCGGATACAAGATCATCAAATCCGAGACGCTGGGCCTGCGGGGAGATGCATTGCCGTTATTAACCTGCAGCCCAACGTTTGTCGATCGCTGTCAAATTCGGCTTTTAGTTTGTTTTTTTTGCTTTTTGGAGTTAAGATGGTTAGAATATGCACTGCTGATTGGCTATGTTAATACCAGGACTATATGTATACACGCTTCTATGGGATATTTAGGTATTACTGCAGATGATCAACCCCAGCTTAATATGGGCTTATATGTTGTAAACAAATGTAGAATCCATTCTTATATCGTATCCCCCTTATAGTTGCGAACAAAATAACAAGATAGGGATATAAGTTGATGAATCTATCTACTTTGACTTCAACTATAACAACCCCACTAGAAACATACCCTTGAAACCCATAAAATATAAAAGTACCAAACATTTAAACTCTAAAACAGCAAATCAAATGGTGATATCAAAGCATAGAATTCGTCATAATCCCACACCGCAACCCGCCATAGGCGATCTATCTGTTTGGATCCCCTTAAACCCCGTGATGCTACTGGTCAGTGAAAGAGACAACACCAAGCAGCCTGGACGGAGAACATAATCTCATGATCCAAAGGCTCCACGGCTGCAGGTGTCAAAGGAATCCCCGTAACTTTCTTTGATGCACTATGCGCACTATATGCCCCTGCACGAAAAGAGATGCTACAACATACGGAGTACATGAATCAAACTTTGGGATATGTCGATGCAATTGACCAATTCTTTTCCGGCACATGGTCATTAGTGCTTCCATATGCGCACGTTCAATTTCTTTTGCTACGGAAGGCAGCCAACAACCTTCCGGCTTGGATTCTGCTTCCGCGTGCTCTTTGCCCATGCCCAAAGTCTGTTTATATGCATCTATGTTGTAGACGCAGTCTCCTCAGCGTGGACAGTATATATTGGTTGGATTTCCATTCGGTTGTCATAGGTTCATATAGTGGGTTTGCCCAAGATTATCATACGACAACAGGCATATGAGGTACATATGGACGTACCAAGGTAGAGGCTAGGACTACAGCTTGGGATGCGACGCCGGTAAATCATTTTGTGGAAAGTTGGCCCCGTTAGTTGGTACGAGCTGTGCGTTGTAGTATAATCTAGTCTATATGCGAGGCTTGTAGATCATCTAGTAGTTCGTGCGAGGTGTAGTAGCTCTGTTTATCCTTGCCTATACTGTAAGTTGATAGGGTATCCGATAGGTCGAAGCCCGGGGCTTTGTAGCTGATTTTCGAGAATATTTACTTCGGATTCAATTTTTACTTGATACCTGAAACCTTGACACAAATTAATTACACTTTATTCCCATCCCCGGCCTGTTTGGGTGTTTCTCGGTATTGTATCGGTGAGAGAACGACGTGATGTTCTTCCCAAGATATAGTACCTCTTCCACAAACCAACAGTATACGAGGCATAGAACGAGGTCCGCAGCATAACCAGTACATAAACCAAGATCTTCCGTAGAATAAACAAAATCCAAACAGAGCCCCTACCCGTGAAGTGGATGCTTCTACGCGTGTTTGCGCATGGACAGAACACCTCCTAGCCGAACCTTCAAACGAACATCGACACATCGATTGATATCAGTCACATCGAACACGAACATGAAATGACGGTCAAGGAAGTGGATTATGTGTGTAGTTGAAGGTCAAACAAGCCTATTCGTCACAATATCCAACCCCTGTCCTCGTAGGCCTATTTCAGTTAGACCATCGCCGTAGATCTATGCGCTGTACGTCCTGTCTTTGTTTACATCCTGCGCCACAAACCCCCATCATGTTAGGTGTATGCATCGCGACCAAACAGGGTACGGTAGAATCAGAATCTGGAGTTTCATGTGTTGGATGTAGAACTCCATCCTGGCTAGATCTTCCAGATCGTCGATCTGCATCCGGCATCAAGGCAGCATGAGCATGATCCTGGTTGCCCCACGTGTGGTGGCTAAGGTCAGTTGAACGAGTACGGAGAACTCCGTAGAGGGGGTTTGGCTTGATATTGAGTCAGTTCGAATGCAATTGCCGATGGGCCAATTGGACTATGTACAATTCTATATCTACACCATCCTCTTATTGAGAAAAGCAGACTACATTGTAGGATTCGGTCTATTGTGTATCATATCCAACCATTTCAATACAAGCCAAGGGTCTAATCCATAGTCTTAAAATGCACGCAAATCAACAGATGCAATCAATATACAATGACCATGAAAAAGCAAAAAGGGAATAAAAAAAAAATATACCAAGGCCTTGAAAAGTAATCATCACAACTCATCCTTATCCTCCGCCGGCGGAGACACAACAGGTCGCCCAGAATCCTTCGCCAAATCAACTCCAATCTTCTTGCGCCACTTCTCCCAAAGGGCATGGAAGTCCTTCTCCATCCCGCTCTCCATCTGATCCGGCAGGATAACAGTGTACTCAACAAACAGATTGCCTGTCTCATCATTCTCATCATGGTGATCATGTAAATGACCCTCGGAGTAATGAGGCATACCCTCCCCGGCAATAGTCTCAACAGCCAACGGCTGCACAACCTCACCACGACCACGTCCAAGACGGACAACATGTCCATCAAGATGTGTAAGATTGCGACTCCAACCCCCCCATCCACGCCTCACGCAACGAAAGACTCTCCTTCCAGAAAAGATCTTTCCCCTTCCGCCGGAAGAACGTCCCATCCATCTTCTCCTCCTCTTCCACCCCAAGCTCAGGCTCCTTCTCATCCAAAACAACAATCAAATCCCCAGCAATCCAGTCGGGGCTCTCATCAGCCTCATTCTCAAAAACAAGCCTAGTTCCCTTGCCCATCCCGGGCTCAATACTAGCACTGGTCTCAACCTCATTCCGAACAACCCGATTCCCTTGACAAACAGGACAAGGATTCTTGATCTTCTTCCCCTGTCCATGACACTTATCACACTGCATCTGCACCTGCTGGAACATCCCCGGCGCAAGCATATGTTTCTGAATAACCATACCACGTCCCGCGCACCGATCACAAGTCACAACCTCTCGATCCTTGGACCCGGTACCCTCGCACGAGTCACAGATCTGCTGCTTCTCAACGAGGAAGTTGATCTCGCGTCCATTGTAGAAATCCCGAAGTGGCAGCGCGGCCCGCACCTCCATGTCCGGTCCGCGGCGGTGTCCAGGCGCGTGCCCGGAGTGCCCGCCTCCGCCGAAGAATCGCGAGAACAGATCGAATGGGTCGTGGCCACCGCCACCGGCTGATCCGCCTTTGCGGTGCTGCTCTACCCCGTCGTGTCCGTATTGGTCGTATACTTTGCGCAGTGTGCTAGTCGAAAGTACGTCGTAGGCGTCTGCTATTTCGACGAATCTCTCGCGCGCCGTATCATCGTTGCTAACGAGGTTGGTTAGCAATTGCCTTGTGCGGGTGTAATGTGCGACACCACAGTAGAGAAATAAAATCACGGAGAAATAGAATAGAATAGTAGCCGCACTCACGGGTTCTTGTCAGGGTGGTATTTCTTGCTTAGTGTTCTGTACGCGCGCTTGATGTCCCTCTCCGACGCGGACTTCGCGAGTCCAAGCACCTTGTAGTAATCCTCGGCGGCGATTACAACGACGGAGAATAGCACCACGGCTACCGCGACTAGGAGTCGTAATAATTGCATTTCAGCGGTGCGGAGCTGCGCGAGCAGCTGCTCGTGCGCTCGGAGTTGATGTGGAGCTTTTGTGTTTGTGTAGACCGGGGTATGTAGGTGAAGCTTCGACGAGCTAGGGGTTTGGGTTTGGTGTGATGCTTAATTATTCGACATGGAATATGCAATTAGTCGAAGAAGTGTACTCCTCCGAGCTTTATGCCACCGAGTAAAGATGTAAAGAATTAAAGATTGCAGGTGTTAGCTCCACGGCCTAGATCTACATTAGGTGGCCTAAAAGAGGAACAATGTTTAGCCGGGTAATGGGTCACGTGGGAGTGTGTCTACAGATCAGGATTCGGATTATTTGGGAAATAAGCAATAAACAATCAGTAATATAGACTGAAAAAAAAAAAAAACACAGGTTTTGTTTAGAACTAGTTTACCATCTGAGAACATTATCAAAGAAGGCTTTATTCATTTGTGGTGCAGCTTTATGTGACTACATCTTTTACTGTATGGTTCAATGCTATAGATACATCGCGTTGAAAATCCTATCTGCCTTGCAAGATATGGTAATTCTTGTTAACGTAAATACCCTTTGCATAGCAGAAATAACAAATGCCATTCACATACATAAAACTATCGGTTCTCTTCTCAGGTACCGAGGTGTACTAGATACATAATAACTAGAATACCGCACGTAACTTCTGATCACGACCAATCTGCGTAATAATCAAAATCTAGATCCTCTGTTACAGCATTATTAGACTATATCAAGGCTCTTAATTTGGTAGATCATTCCACGATTAAAAGGAAAAGGAAGCAAAAAGAAGCAAAGGTGAGCACTAAACGGAAAATTAAAGCCATCAAGCACAGCCTGACTTCTGCTGGTATGGTCCGATTCATCATAAAAACATAAAAACACTGCTAACTAAGTAGAGTAACTCATCATAAACACATTGCTAGTCAAGTAGAGCATCCTTGGAACTCCCCAAACACCTAAATCAAATAAGAAAAAAGCAATCAGTGTCGCGCGGGAACATTAAAGATATCATTATGCCAGGTGTGACCAATTCCATGCGTCTCATCTCCATCCTCAACAGCCTCCTGCGCACGCGTAGCCTCCTCATGCCAAGTCTTGACAAGACTACCGGGAGCATAAACACCCTTAAAGACACCCTTACCCGGCGGCTCAAGACCAATTCTAGTCTCGACATCCGAGTCAGCGGGTTTAAGGCGCGCGAGGACAGCCCGCACAAAAGTCGCCAGGTCCTGCGGGTTAGCGATGCGCGCAGCACGCAGCCGTTCACGGGCAAAGACTAGCTCGCGATTCAATGCGAACGTCGCTGCAACAATCTCCTCTGCGATCTTCTTCTCCAGCACACGCCGCACAAGGTGTTTCAAAAGTGGCTTGGTCAGCCAGAGGAGGAATCTCCACTTGCTGCGCTTGACTGTGTAGTCGAGTTTGTGGATGCAGACGCGAACGCCGCGCAGAGAAAATATCTGCTCCAGGCTGCCACGGCCGACTTCGATGTCTAGCGAGATGTCGATACCGCGCCGGTCAAGGTAGAAGCTTGCTATGCCTTCGTCCTTCAGGTGGAAAAAGCCTGTGTGGGTGCGGAACCAGTAGCCAAAGTCTTCGGCGCTGATGTTTAGACCTTGGACGGTAACTGTAAAGGCTGTTTTCATGAGTGTTTCTGTGCGCTTGGAGTGGGTTTTTACCACGTCGATGTCATTGCGTGTGAGGAGATGCATGCGGTAGGGAAGGAAGGAAGAAAAGTGTACTGTGTGGCCGGGTTCAAGAATTAGGTTCTCCAGGAGGAGATCCATCTCTGGAGCAGAGATCTCCAAGCGGGGGATCGGGATGTACTGGATTGTTCGAAGGAGCACTGGGAGGAAGACGTTCACCAAGTCTGCTGGGAGGTCGGCCTTCGTGTCGTTGTAGGCGCCCCAAGCATCCTGGTAGATCTTCTTAGTGGCGTTGATTAACTTGGAGACGGCTGGGTCTTCCGGCACGGTTCTAATTGTGCGTTTGGTCTGTGCTAGAAAATCGTCCACATCCTTTCGCAGGGTCGTCTCCGAGCCTACTTTGTCGGAGTGTTGTTTGAGTTCATCTAGCTTCTGCGGTGCCGAGTCGAAAAATTCGGGGTTGGTGAGCATGTCCTGCAATGAAGTTCCGACCTCCCCGAGTAGATCATCAAACTCAGGATCTTTGTTTGCATGGCGCAAGACACTGTGGAACTTCTCCTGCAGCCGATCCCACTCTTCTGCGCTGCCAAATGACCGCAAGAGAATCCAGAAATTGTCGACCGCCCGTTTCAGGTCAGCATTGACTTCCAGGTCTTCTTGAGCGACCGAGGCAGTATTCTCTGCTACATCCACGTAGATCTTAGCATAGCGTGATACCAATTGAGTAAGTGTTGCAACCGAGTCAGAGTAGTCCGTCCTCTCCCGAAGTCTTTGAACTGCCTGCTTCAACCGGAACAGCAAGGTATCCCTCTCTCGGCCGGAGAGATGCTCTTTAGCACTCTGCACCGCATCATGGCTTGTCTGAGCGACCCCTTCCCCGGCCACATCCGCAACATGTGCAACATCCTCGTTCACCTCGGCCTTCGATCGTGCATGCCCCTCATCTGCACCTGGACCCTGTAGCGCCTGCTCTTCTTCCTCGGGCGGTTTGACTTGTTCGGCAACTCGCTTGGAAGATTCAGCGAGGGAGTCAGTAGTATCAGCGAAGATTTGGCGGCCAACGGTAACGATGTCATCGACGAAAAGACGGAAATCGGCGTTAGTCAGAAGTAGACCACCGACAGTGCGGAAGCTATCATATGCTACGTGCAGGGATTAGCGAGCGGTCATCATCTTGTGATTTGCATGTGCCAAGCCCGTAAGTTGGGGAGTGGAAATGCGCGACCCACCAGCTTTAGTATCTGCCCGCGCCTTCACGTGGGCGGCCTCTCTAGAAACCCTCTCGCTATCCACCTCGACGCGTGAACGGGCCAGGCGCCACAAAAATTCCTGGAGTTGGTCTTGGCTGTTCTTCTGTTGCAGAAATTCGATGAAGACCTGGACCCACAGTCGACTGTCCCGTACTAGCTGGCGACCAACACTGCCGATATCCTGATTACGTAGGTTTAGAACATCAGAGGCTAAGAGGGTGCGTAGGTTGACGATGGTTTGTTCCGTTGTAGGCATGTACCCCTCGAAGATGGCGCGGATCATCTGGTAGCTATGTAGCTTTTGATGGAGTTGTCGCTGACGGGAGGTGTCATCCTCATAGCGAGGGAGGAGGGGTTCAGTCTCGGAGGGCATATTGAATACGACCCTAGACCGTGTGTGATAACAGTTTTGGAGATGAAGCTAAATGAAGGTTGAAGTTCTTAGGGGGGAGGAGTTCAGGTCGGGAACCTGTTTTGGGCACATGACGACACCTCAGTACCTCACTCGTACACTGCAACATAAATGTTTACTCTCGCTATTTGCTATTTACATAAGTAAAAATTAACAGAATATTTCTTGAATATGATTATCATCAATTAAGAAACTATGAAGAGACATACAACATAAAGCTTTGAAGGAATTGAATTGAATTTTGTACAACATACGGAGTAAATAAATGGATCCGCGATCTGGGGAAAGCTATGGATTTAGCCGGACCTTTTCCGTAGCCTTTTATGCAACTATGGCAATAGTGCCATTTAGATCGGGCTTATCTTGATATTTACTACGGGGTTATATTTATTTACTTCATTTTGATCTTTGATTGATCCATTTTGCGCTATTAAATTGGGTAATTATTGACCAGGAGACCTTGATCTGCGGTAGTAGAAAGGAGACAAAAAAGCAAAAAATGTACATATATGCCTCATGCACTTGATCGAGAATGACAGGTCTAATGTCTGAGCTCATCGACATTCTACGATATACGCCCCCAACGTTGGGAACTGCAGGTGAGAAAAAAAAAAAAAAAAAAAAAAAAAAAGAAGAAGGCTGAGGGGGTTCGGAGATATGTATCGAATACATATGTACGCAGTAGAGCAGAGCATAGGAATTCAAATTATTAATCGAAGCTTTGCGCCTTACACAGAGCTCAGGTGGTTACCCGGACAAGGGGTCCAATCGGTGATGGAATATGAAATGCCTGGATTCCGAATCGTTGGCTTCCGAGTGAAGTGGATGTGGTTCCAGACCTGATGATTTCAAAGAATAGAATTGAAAGGGGCAAAAAATAAAAATAAAAAAAATAACGCAACCGTGCTGGAGAACATAAGTAATCAAAAGCCCCTGGTGTCGGCGACCGAGAGCCATTCACAAGGCCGAATATCATCGCCAACGCGGCGGACTCGAAACAAAGACCTAAAAGTCTCACCGGGAAACTTCCGATCGGAAGACTTCTTTACCACATATACTCCGTATAGTTTTCCTATATATTGTACAATATAGATGTCGTGTGTTGTATAACATATGATATTATACGGTGATCTCCGTCCACTGGTTTACAATATATACAATTGTTGTTTTTGATCTGTTTAGAAGCTTTATTTTTATGAATTTACATTTCATTCAAATAACAAAAGACCAAAAATGAAGAAAAAGAAGCCAAATGATGGAAACACCGAATGGACGTTAACTAGGGTATAGCTTCACTCCACTTCGGCACTATCTGCGGCTCTGGAAGCTCGTAGCTGTGGATTTGGGTGGATTTGGGTGGATTTGGGTGGATTGGGGTGGATTGGGGTGGATCCTATAACCCAACAAGGATTAGCATGGACCCATAGCGTTGTCCTCCCCGGCTTTTGTAGCCAATCAGATTACAGTCTTTCTCTTTTATTCACAAATTTACTTGGTAGCTGTCATCACCAAGTTCACCAGTTCGAGGTCTACCGCGTAAATTGGGAAATTTAAGAATCTTCTACCTCCGATCAACTCCAATCTCCAATTCTATCCCCTCACATCCCAATATCAACTATGTATGTTGGATGTGTTTGTATGGTGCAACTCCCTGCGCAATGCTGGAATGAGAAAATAAATCGCGCACTGATCATCCACATAATTTCCATGTCAATTATATGTTTATGTGTCTCTTTTTTTTGGTTCAATTCTAATATTCAACACTGATTTGACTATGTCTCCGCATTTGTCGGAGTCGGCGCCTCCCCGTCTCCACACGGTGATACACTCTCCTTGCTGGATCTACGTCCCGAACAAAAAATAATTAAAAAATAATTAAAAATAATAAAAATAATAGGGATCCAGATTCCAGAAGGACTTTCAGGCTTTCATGCACAACGGTTCGCTGTCAACACCGAAATTGAATCCACATGGGTCCTGACCCTCTTCATCATCCGACTCTTCCCGACTTCAAATCATGACTCTTTTCTTCCTATACCGTGTCGCCTGGACACGCGGTCCCGGTTAATTATCTGGTCATCCTCCTGTCGGAATGTCTTTGATGTGCGCACGAACATCCCAGGGCAAATTTAGCATGTTGTCTCGTGTACATAAAAACAGACTCGCATCTGCTCCCAAATCCTTTTCTTCTTTCTATCATTCTACTTCTACTCCAAACTTGAAGTCTACTCAGTCTATCACAATGGCTCGATACCCTTCACTGCCCACTCAACAAAGCCGGCCGGTGCATGCCACCCCAGCTCCTTTCGTGAACCACGCCTCGCCTGCGTAAGTCAATATCCAGATCACACCCAATTGAGGGTTTGCCATGAAGAAACCAAGTCATTAATATCTCCTCTTTAGCGACGCCAACTATGATACCGCCAACCCTGCATACATCCGCAAGTACCTGCGCACATACGGCCTCACTCCTCCTCGCGCCGAGGGTTACGAAACACAAAAGACCCGATGCCTGGCTCAGCTGGGTCTCAAGAATACACCCATTGACAAGTTCCTATACCTCAGCACTCTGCGCAAGAACAATGTGCACCTATTCTACCGTCTGGTGACAGACCACCTCAGGGTATGTTGCGCATCGAGTCATGTGATTGGACCGGGGAAACATGAAGAACGGAAAATTAACCATAATAATCCCTGCAGGAAATGACTCCCCTGATCTATACCCCAGTGGTGGGCGAGGCCTGCCAACGGTGGTCCGAGATCTACCAACAGCCCGAAGGTACGTAGCATAACGGAGTTCATGTTCTCCGCACTTAAAACATTTTCTCCGCACACGAATTAGAACCGGAGACGCTAACCGTTATTTTTAGGTATGTACCTGAGCTGGGAGGATCGCGGAAATCTGGCTTCGGTCATCTCCAATTGGCCTGAGTCTAGCGTCGAAATCACATGTATCACCGATGGCTCCCGCATCCTCGGACTGGGTGACCTGGGCATCAACGGTATGGGTATCCCCATCGGAAAGTTGGCCCTTTACACCGCCTGTGCTGGTATTCGTCCCGAGGCCACCCTGCCTCTGACTCTTGATCTGGGTACTGGTAACAAGGCCCTCCGGGAAGACCCGCTCTACATGGGGAGCCGTCGCGAGAAGGTCTCACCCGAAGAGGAGCGGGAGTTCTTGGATGAACTGATGGCTGCTCTTACCGAGCGCTGGCCTGGGTAAGTGACTCACTCTCACATGTCTTTCGGAGTGATCTCCCTATAGCAACCGCGACTAACAAAGCCCCTCTAGTATCGTCATCCAATTCGAGGATTTCAAGAACCCCTTCCCCGCTCTGGAGCGGTACCGCGACATGTACACTTGCTTCAACGATGACATCCAGGGTACTGGCGCTGTCATCCTTGGCGGTGTCATCAACGCTGTCAAGCGCTCCGGTCTGCCCTGCAAGGACCACCGCGCGGTGTTCTTCGGCGCGGGCAGCGCCGGTGTCGGAGTTGCCCGCCAGATCGTCGAATTCTTCATGCGCGAAGGCATGACCGAGGATGAAGCCCGTAACTGCTTCTACCTCGTCGACACCAAGGGTCTCGTCACCGCTGACCGCGGCGACAACCTCGCCGACCACAAGGTCTACTTCGCCCGCCGTGACAACAACGGCGAGCAGTACAAGACTCTCGATGAGGTCGTCGATTACGTCAAGCCCTCCATCCTGATGGGTCTCTCCACCATGGGCGGCGTCTTCACCCCGGAGATCCTGCGCAAGATGGCTGACTGGAACACCGCCCCTCTCATCTTCCCCCTCTCCAACCCCTCCTCCAAGTCCGAGTGTGACTTCGAGACCGCCGTCACCAACACCGACGGTCGCTGTCTCTTCGCCTCCGGCTCCCCCTTCCCCAACTGCACCTTCACCAACTCCGCCGGCGAGACCCGCACCTACTACCCCGGCCAGGGAAACAACATGTACGTCTTCCCTGGTATCGGTCTCGGTAGCATCCTGTCCAAGGCCGTCCGTGTCACAGACAGCATGATCTACGCCTCCGGCGCGGCCCTTTCCGCTGCCCTCACCGGCGAGGAGATCCAGCGTGGTCTACTTTACCCCGACATCACCCGCATCCGCGAGGTCAGTGTCGTCGTCACCCGCAAGGTGATGCGCGCTGCCCAGGAGGACAAGGTGGACCGCGAGATTGCGCTGCGTTCTATGAGCGACGCCGAGTTGGACAACTGGATCAAGTCCCGCATGTATGACCCTCACACCGAGGTCCGCGCTCTCGAGCGCGAGGTCGGCCACCTTCTCTCCAGTCTGGGAACAATCTCGCCCCCAATGACGGCGAGTGGATCCCCCACTGAGGAGAAGAATGCCAAGTTGTAAGATTTGATCTTTCTTTCTTTCTTGACCTTGGATTTGCATATTGAATTTTGCAACGAAAAAAGAGCATCTGTTCTAATCTGCCAGCGCTTAGGATCTCTGCGTGATGGACTCGCATGTCACTTTTGACTTTTTCATATTTCCCCCTTTTGTTGGTTTCGAGCGCACTTTTGGTTATTTCTTTTTTTTATATATATCTTCTCTGCCTATTTTCGGGTTGGACACGAACTTCTTTTTTTCCCTGATTGAATACCCAGCACTTATTTTCTTTTGGTTTTTGCTCACATTTTGAGGGTCTTTACATCTTGGGGATAGTTAGCATTTAGCTGGCATCGCCATTGAATGAACAAATTAAAATCACTTCAAAACACTATTCTATTATTCTAGTCGCCTACATCTTATCTATACTTTAGCTTGTCCTCGGGTTGGTTTCATCCGATTCTTCATGAACAAAAAGTCCAATATATTTAGAGCTCGCAACATCTTCTCTTTCTAAGTTAGCAATGGTGGCAACTATATACTAAAACACTCCCAAACACTCCCAAAAATCCAAACGGATGAACCCAACTCCCCGATCTTCCCAATCCAACTTTCTTCAACGTGGAACCTCGGCACGGATGACTCCACAATATCAAAACGGGACATCAATCTCTCCGCGAGATGACTAATGCTAGATTTGCGATGGTTCCAATGCCTTCGAAAGAAGATCTATTTTCTTTTAATTGTTGATAAAGCTGTCTGTTCGTTCCTTGCAGTTTTCTCGTTTAGATTCTGTGGTATAGAGGTATGTCTGCTTTTTCAGTTGTGAGATGAATTGGGACTAACATCATTGACAGTGTGTTTTCATATCCATTGGAGTAATATCTACATCGCCAATTGCATTAGACTATATACTTTACATAGTATATTTTGGTCACATACGAAGTTGCATATACACCATGCCTTCTCCTCTCGCAGACCCCGTCAAGCTCCCATGTGGACTGGTTTTGCCGAATAGGCTCAGCAAGGTACATTGTTCAGGCCTAATAGCTATACACGAATGGAACTAACATCCTTCCAGGCCGCCATGGCTGAGATGTTAGCCAAAACTAACGAGCCAACAAGTGCCTTGGTTGATGCCTATGAGCAATGGTCGGACGGTGGATGGGGGAGTATCCTTACAGGTAAGGTCTAATGGTGCCTGAGACTTCTATATCAAATTCAAACCCCCAAACCCTAACCATGACCCTAATCTCACCCTACACTATAAACATATTCCTAATAACAAAAAACCTAACCCTAAAATATTACCAGGAAATGTCCAAGTCGACGTAAACCACATGGGCAGCCCCTTCGACCCAGCCCTACACAACGAATACAAAGACAGCGAAACCAACAACGCCCTAGTCGCTCAATGGAAGAAATACGCCGACACCTGCCAGAAGCACGGCACGCCAGCCATCGCCCAGATCTGTCATCCAGGTCGGCAGTCCTTCCGCGTTTCAGGCCACCGCGGCATCTTCGCGCCTACGCTCGCGCCCAGCGCCGTACCCATCAAGGTTGGGAATAGCTATCTCGAGAGCCTGATTGGGTGTCTTGTTTGGTCTGGACCCAAGGAAATGACCACTCAGGATGTCGAGAGGGTTATTCGTCAGTTTGTCGATACTGCGAGACTTATGGCCGATGCTGGGTTCTCGGGTGTTGAGTTGCATGGTGCGCATGGGTATTTGATTGGTATGTTTTCTTTTTTTCTTTTTTCTTTTTTCTTTCTTCTTTCCTTTTGAAGGATCGGCTTGATGATCCTTATATGCTAATGGTTTTCTTGGTTAGACCAATTCCTCAACGGCAAGGTGCGACACTCACTCTCTTGTTCCTCTTCCTCTATCACCCCAGCTCGACACCATCATAAACATTAACACCAATACTAATTTTAACCACAGACAAACCTCCGCACAGATGCATACGGCGGCACAGCCGAAAAACGCACCCGCTTCGTCCTAGAAATCCTCTCACAAACGCGCAAAGTCGTACAATCAACCTTCGCAATCGGCATCAAACTAAACTCCGCCGACCACAGCTCCGCAACCTTCGAAGAAACAATGACGCAAATCGCACTCCTCGCCGAAGCCGGTATCGACTTCATGGAAATATCAGGCGGTAGCTATGAAGACCCAAAGATGATGGGTAGGGGTAAGGCCAATCCGGCTGTAGCTCCGAAATCGGCACGCACCGCAGCGCGCGAGGCCTTCTTCCTCGAGTTCTCGAAGGAGGTGCGACTGCGTCATCCTAAGCTTGTTCTTATGTTGACTGGTGGGTTCCGCTCCCGTGCTGGCGCTGAGGCGGCTATTAGGGATGGTGCTTGTGATCTTGTTGGGATTGGACGGCCTGCGGCTATTGATCCCGGGTTCCCGCGGCTGTTGCTTGATGAGAGTGTTGGGGATGATGAGGCAAGTATGGTGTTGAATAATGTGGCTGTTCCTTGGTATATGCAGTTCTTGCCGTTGCATCTTGTTGGAGCTGGGGCTGAGAGTGTAGGTTTTCCTTTCTTTTCTTTTCTTTTTTGGGTTGCAAGGTTGGGTGGTTTGCTGACTGGTTTTATAGACCTACTATTCTGGACAGATTCATAGTCTGGGCAAGGGGATTGCTACTATTGCACCTCCTTTGTAGACCTTTTGATTTGTATTAATACTTGTTTTGGTATAATAATATTATTGTAGAGTACATGACATCGTGATGTTCTTCTGAATACAAACAATGTTAGAACTAGCAGCCCACCATGTCTTCGTCCTCAATAGGAAATAATCGCAACTGTTTCAACTTCTCCTGTTCCTTCAACTGCCCCAGTTGTTGATGAAGGGTATCATTCCCCTGAATCAATCTTTGAATCAACAATACAGTCTCCTCGAGAATATATTTCCTCGTGTATTCCTGTCTCTCAAGCCCTGGCACAATGCGACAGAGTTCTTTATACCGGTCTCTAACAAGCTCCCTTCTCATCTTTTCCGCTCGGCAATGGCACAATTTCTGACCTGGCTTTTGCACACATTTTCTCTTCTTTTGCCCGGACCGAGTCCTGGATTTGACGCAGCTTGCCCGTTGTGTGCATTCGGTATCATCCAATGAGAGGATTTGGCCTCGGTACGAGGATGAAGAGGGCGGTGATGGTGTTTCGGAGAGTCTTTCATTTTGCGGAATCATCGAGGGTTGGAACATGGGTAATGTGAATCCGTTCAGTTCTGATGGATCTAGTATATGCTTCTGAGATGTCTCATGTATGGTTTCAGGAACATCGAAGCCGATCTCCATGGTAGCACAGAAACTGGCCATGTTCCGCATCAGGTTTTGCACGAGCCGCTCCTCTGTCCAGGTACCGATGGGACTAGAGTAGCCATGGTAGCAGAAGCTGGGATCGGACCCCCATTGGAGACCTTCTTCGGTGGGCCATTGGTCCCGGGAGATTGGTTGAGGTGTGTCGACTTGCCATGGACAGTGGCGTGAAAGGGTAGTATGGTCCATTTGAAGCGTCTGATTGTTGTTTTCCATTTGGGTTGGTGTCTTTGACTGTAAAATATATTCAGGTACCAGGTGGTATGCAGCTGAAGCTGTACTTTGGGGTTTTAGATGTTGGTGAATCTGGGTTTGATATTCTGATATCAGGCTTCAGCGTGGAACGACAACGATATGTAACAGTACTTGATTTTGGATTCTGGAATAAGGAGGAAAGTGAGGGGGAATAGCTTTATCATATTATTCTAAACAAATGTCTCATTAATGAGGCAGCAGGGTTCCCTACGTCAATTTCGGAATGCACCCGACATAGAGTACCTGCGGATCCGCAACTGCATTGCATCCGCAATACGTCTGCAACAATGAAATGATGGGCTAAGTTGACTGCATTTATCTCTATACCCCTTTAACTGTGTAAATATAGATATACTAGTTGTAAGATATAGTTGGCCTTTATTAAGTATTCCACTCTTGACGCCTGCGCTCTGTGTAGAAACACACCGGGTGCATCCCGGAGGGCTCCATGTAAGATGTCGATCCGACACATTGGACCCAGTAGCCCAATTATAGCACTCAGGGTTCACTAGTCAAGGTCTTCTTGACCTTAAGACAAAACAGGAAAACGTTTCTCCATTTCCCCATTTTATTTCGAGCGAATTCCGAGGGTTACGGATTGACACGTGACCATGTCTCCGGGTACATTCCGGACACCCCAGTCCCGGGATTGTTCCACTCTTTTTCCCTTCCCCTGCAGCACGAGACCTTGTCTTCGGTAATCACCCGGATCACCAATCAAATAGTGCAGTAACAATACTGTGGGTTGCACATACTCTTAGCTGTGGCTTAAAGGAGCGGCCACAGATGCCTCCCAAAGGCGGAATCACCAAACGAGAGCCACCGCGACGTCGCAAGATTGCCTTGGCATGCGAGTCATGTCGAGATAAAAAGGTCAAGTGCGATGGTATAAAGCCAATTTGTGGCCCATGCGCTCGACGCTCGTATACCGTTAACCAATGTGTATACAAGCTGGACAATGCGAGGTCTGCCAGCAACGATGAGTACCTGAAGGTTCTCCATGATCGTATTCGAGAGCTTGAAGACACATGTGCAAAAGGCGGGGTTGACGTCCCGCCTGGACCTTCACAGCATGGAGACTACGGGGTATCTGAAAGTCAAAGTCATATTGGGGAAGATATGGATCTGGATGGTCTAGATGCAGAATCCAGGACATCTGTGGCCGCAGAAGGACTACTAGGACTAGGCTCCACCCCCATGCCATCTGGACCAAGTCGCCTGTCTTCAACTCCTACTTTTCAACCGCCAAGGTTTCCCGCCCAAAGGAATCGATCGGAAGCTGAGCGCTATAGATCTCCACATGCGCCACATCTGTCTCCTGAATCTACCCATCCACGAGCAGGCGGTATATATCCTCCGCCATCTCTCAACTCCCACGGTAATGTCACCGCTATGGGCGCAATATCTGTTGCAGAAGACGATCCAAGCACAGACTCTCCACAGGAGCAGCAATACTATGGAAACTCGTCAGTGGCATCTTTTATGCGTCTCGCAGGAGAGTCTATGCCATTGCAGTCATATATGTCAACTTTGCGGGGCAGTAAGAGTGAGTCGCAAAGATCACAAGGCCCTGATACAGGGATTTGGCGAGATATAGGCCATCCATCGGTAGATCTTCGATTCGACGATTTCTCCTTGCCACCTCGATCTCTGGCAGACCACCTTCTTGAGTGTTACTGGGACAGAGTACACTGTCTATTCCCATTTTTCCATCGCCCCAGTTTCGAGCAAGCGTATGAAAATCTCTGGGGGTCGGACAAGACATCGAAGGCCGAGTTGCCACAACTCAATATCGGACTCGGGGGCGCATTTGATTGCGGTCCTAATTCAATTGTATTCCATTGCGCACTCAATGCCATCTTTGCCATGGGGTGCTATTTCTCTGATATTCCTCCTGCGGACCGAGAGGCTGCGGTTTATTCGTTTTTCCTTCGCTCAAAGCGATTTGTGAATCTTGACCTTCTCGATATAGGCACTATCGGCGTGGTTCAAACGTTTCTGATTATTTCACTTCTTCTTCAGAGCACCCCTTATCCGAATCGGTGCTGGAATGCAATTGGACTGGCGTGTCGAGCTGGTCAAGGTCTCGGGCTACACGAGACAACCACACACGCCTCGAATAAACCTCTGGAGACAGAAATACGACGGCGTACCTGGCACAGCTGCGTCATTATGGACATGTTGGTGCAATCGATTTTCTGGATTATTTCCCCGAAGACACAGCTAACTAATTAAAATAGGATTGTGAGCATGACACATGGAAGACCGAGCATGACCTCTCACATCTCACCGTTACCTTTGCCTGTAATGGGAACGAACCCCGAAGAAGCCGATCCTTGTGAACTTAGTGGTCAACCCTGTGACCATAAGTTGGGATACATGACGTTCTACGTTTCAACCATTGAATTATACAAAATTCTCGAGTCTATTCTATCCGAGGTCTATAACGCTTGGCAAAGTCGATCGAATAGCACTAGCACCAGTCTGCCGCGAAGCTCCAAGCTTTGTAGCCTGGATGTGTTGATGGGGCTCGATGATAAACTTGCTGCCTATGAGACCAGCGTACCCCAGCCCCTGAATTGGACAGATGAACCATCCCTGCATCGTTCAGGCAGTGGCAATGCATCGATCTTCAAGCGCCAGCAGAACGTGTTGCGTGCGAGGTAGCTTCTCTCTTCGGGCTTTCGAGTCACAATTTCTAACCATAAAGAATAGATTCATCCACCTTCGCCTCCTGTTGTATCGCCCAATGTTCACTCAACTCTGCTCTGATGAGCGTGCAGGATCATCCCGCCGACCTGACATCCAACCCGCCGAGAAAAATATAATCTACTCATCTGTCTTCTCGAAATGTGCCGCCTCCTGCGTCATGGCAGCCATAGACCTGGTCTCCCTTGTTCATGAGACATATCGAACAACTGTAACTGATGCATGGTGGTACAATGGATTTTGTTCGTGACCAGTTCCCGCTCATTGTTATTCATGTCCATCAACTAACATGTACTAGACACATCGACTGCAGGGTTCATTTTGATAATGTCGTACTCCTGCCATTCCATCCGAGAGCAGGTTGATTCACAAATCGTGGATGAGAGTTGGCGCAAGTGCGAAGAGATCTTGGCTTTTATGGCTATGTTTAGTCTGTCTGCCCGCAACTCGTTGCAGTTCTTGCAAGTAACGCACCAACATATTATGCAAAACTACTCAGGTTCGTTGTTATGGATATTCACTGGATATAGGCTAATGCTCGTATAGCTACTTGTCGCGCTGGTGATACTTCCTCGTCGGTGCCTACTCAGCTGCATCAAAGGGGCAATCAGCAACCCAATCGACCCGATTTGTCATCGCAGCCTACTGAGCCGATATCAGACGAACACAACCTCCGTCATGAACCCAGTAACATGGATATCAATCTGCTTACAACTTGGGATGAGATGGGCTTGGGCCAGGAAGAGTTCGGTTTCCTTGGGAGATTTGATTTGCCGGATCTTGCAAGCTGGTTCACGGATATACCCCCTTGAACATATCATAAAGGTGGATTCTTCTTTCCGAATATATAATAAGGGCCATCATACCTGATACTAGCCGACCACTTCGCATGACGCCACCAGACCTGAGATCCAAAAGGGTCAAGGCAACATCAAGGAAGCATGGAACCGAATATACTTCAGACATACCCTATCTTGAAAACAACGGCCCAATTTCCTCATACAGAGGGCCTCGAATTTAGCCGACTCTTACGATTTCTCTTTCAAAAATTCCCGCAAATCAACCATAGAACAGCTCCCCTGGTGAAGAAAGGACGATCTCATGTTCATCACAATAAAAGGATATCATCTTCATTTCTCACACTTATGTACACTTATGTACAACCGACATATCAAAAATGAATCACAAAGGATCAAAAAGTCTCGTATCACCATGACTCCAAAAAGTCCCAGACAAACTCTCCAAAGTCTCAAAGTCCGGCACCCACAGCGGATCACTCTCATCCTGGTCAATCCACGGCGCCAGCTGCAACGCCATTCTAACCGCATGCTCAGAATCATCATCGGGACAACCCTGATTCTGGGGCGTAGCACCCACAGTATCAGGAGCCAGCCCCGTCGGGTTGACCGGGGGAAACTTATCACTACCAGACATGCCGGGGGCAGTCGTAGAACTCCAATTAACGCCATACTGAGCCGTCATCAGCTCCGCCATTCCGGCATTCCGGGCAGTCTCATTGCCCTGCAGTTTCTCCATGGCAGCGTTGACTAGCAGCTCGAAGGCGTCGCGGTATTTCTTGACCCATGCTGCGCGCTCGCCCATTACGAAGAGCACTGTTGAGCAAGCGCGGATGTCGTTGCTCATTCGGACGGACCAGACTTGATCTGTGTGTGTCCATAGGGCGTAGAGGAGGGTTATTCCCGCCATGAAGACTGTTTGCACGGCTAGGAAGGAGTGTCCGTATTCGAGGGTTTGGTGTAGACGTTTATGGGATTGGCATATGTTCCCTGCGGCCAGGATGCAGATTTGGTAGTATGGGTCTGTGATTGGGAGGAGGGGGAGGAATGGCTGGATTAGGAGTCGTACTGCTCGGTTGTAGTGTAGCATTGGGTAGTCGAGATCTGGACCGTTGAATCGCAATACGGCGGATTCTTTCCATTCTTCCAGTTCAAGATATAGAGGGTCCATTTTTGGTCGGAGAGAAGAGAGGGGCCGGTCGGCGCGGTAGATTTTATGTTGGATGCGGGAATCGATACGTCGGAGTTTGAAGAGGTATATTGCGAATGTCAAGGTTGTGGTTTTGGTCGGATCTAGGGGTGCTGTGAGTAGTGTGGGATCTTCGATGTCATCGTTCACTTCTAGTGGGAGGTCAAGATCAATGTGACGATCGGATATACTGAACGGGCGACCGAGGGACATTGATATCACTCGCTCCAAATAGTATACAGTCCAAAATAGTCTTCGTCGCATTT